ACCTGCCCAGGGTGGGCGGCGCAATTCCCGATGGGAGTATTTGCCGATCCTGCTGCCCTACGCGTCCAGTCGAGCATGACAGCGGCCGAGCTGCGGCTCTCTCGAGACTTCAATGCCAATGAGGCCAAGCAAGTCGAGAAAAGTCGGAGTCACCGGGAGGGATATCAGTGGACCACCCACTGTGAAATGACACTTGCTAGTTGGCAAAACGCCCAACACCGCCGCTACTGGCAGAGTTTTTGAGCTGCCCATCTTGCATGAGTGGATTCGTTAACGGTCTTTTGACAAGGACCGGGCCTGCTCCGTATGTCGACGGAGCAAACATACACTGAAAAGGGCACTAGAGAGACACCATCGCGGTGACACTGCTTCGTATATTTCGACATGGGAAATTACTCCGTGAAGCAAGTTCCAATTTCGGGTCTTTCGAGCAGAGGCCGGAGGTAGCTCAAGCCGACAAGTTTTCGGCATCCACCTCAAACGCGCACAGAGGACGGCAATGAGGCGGCGATACTGGGCATCTTCCCGCAGTTTCCAAAGCGGTAACGGCCCGAGTGTTCTGGGCTGCCCTCTCTGATGCCGAAAGAAGAGCTACTGGGATTTCTACAGCCCTGCCAAGAACTGACGATATCCACCAAGCCTCCGCACCCTCGTCAGATGCATTACCTTTTGTGGCCAGACATGTGGACTCTGTTTTAGGTGGCTGGTGTTTGACGTCGAAACTTGGGCGAGTCAGTGTCTGTCTTCCGGGTGCCGGCGGCCGGAAATGCGAGGTTTGACTGCAATCAATTCCGCTCCGAGATGAGATGCCAAAACCGAAACACGTTCGAGTTACATTCGGCACCCGTGCTGGACGAATTCCAGTGCTGATCATATAACTCCGGCCTTGCTCCCAAGAAAGAGACAAGGAAGGACACATGAGGCTGAGAATTCCACGGTCAATGTCCGTGGCACGTTTGGCCCGCGGGCAAAGCAGAGCAATGGGCTGCAATCGCCATGGATTGCATTCCTGGGCTGGTCTGTCATGCGTCTGAACTGATACGTCGTTCTTCACCGAGCCGAGTTCCGGTGAAACCTTTGGAAAGTCCATCATCTTCCACCTATGGCGTCGGCCGTCCCAGCCATCAGCTACGTTGGCCACATGCTGTCTTTCGCCGTTCCTTATTCCTCATGGACCCGAAGGGGCGAGACGCATCATATCAGCTCATCGGCGCACTGAAGTGCATGTTTGCCCTTCTCCCTCAACTGACAGGTCACAATGCAAACAAATGTCGAGGATCTACATTTTGATTGCCCCTGCCTTGTGCAGTTTTTACGATGAAGCGAGACAGCTTCGGCCCGTGTTGCTCGGCTGCTTCACTGCCAGAGGAGAAGCAATCTAATCCCTGGTGCATTTTGACAACATCCAGAAGAGGCAAAGGTTGCCGCGCATGTCAGCACCAAAGCAAACACCAGGGTCCCAAGCAATCTTGTATTCGTCATACCAGGGGGGCACAGGTCCCCTACTTTTTGCCCTTGCAAGTATGATGGACGGTAGCAAAACGTCATTGAACCTGGTCATTGTACGGTGGGCAGTGGACACTCCGCAACTCTTCTTGCGAAGCTGCGTTTTTGGACATGAAAAACGTCAGTGACAGAGGAGAGGAGGGCCTGTGTGGGACGTCGTTTCTGTCAGGTGGCTCATTTTTCCTCACTAAATGAGTCCAGGTCCGCAGTGTTGGGTCGGTACATGAGTAGATCACCCACTCGCCCGTAGATCTTCTGCTGTGGTTTTGTACCCCAGAGAAGGGAGAGGAGCACATGGCCCCATTGACATGGAAAACTGCCTTCCCTCCAGGGCATAGTAGGCCGCAAATCTTGTCTACTTGAGCATCAAGGTCAACACCAATCTACTGACAGCCGAGATGGCGGGCTCGCTAGGGGCCTAGAGGAGTAGAAAGCGGCCCTTGGGCAGCTCGCCCTGCTGAGTCCTGACCGCCATTCCCTCCAGGAAACGGAGTGCTTCTGCCGTCAGGCGGCTTTGAAGCCTTCACCGATGGAAAAACCCAGCCCTGCTGTGCCCCTCCTCTCTTGCGCTTTCCGAGGTGTCATTCGTTTTCGTGGCCGTGGGGCATTTGTCCACACCCGGAGGGATTGAGAAGCAGGGTTCCGAAACAAACACCCTTTTCCTCTTCTGCATACGAAATAGGTGTGTGGCTTGCTTGCCTCTTTGCCTTCTGGCTGGCTGGCCGGCCGGCTTGCTGCTTTGCCCATCCACACGACTCGGGAAGGCGGGAAAAGCTGGGCTGAGAGTCGGCTTCAGTGCTAGGCCCCTACCCGCCGCTGTTGCTGCCTCAAGTCGACGGGCTCCTCTCCTCGGCTGCGCCAGCTTCGGGCCGCCAATGGGCCTCGGCCGGGGGTGCCCGTGTCTCCAAACGAAAAGCGACTAGGTAAACGTGGATGCAGTAAGGGGCGGCGATCACAGAACCCTGAAAAAGGCGTTTTCTAGTGGGAAGGGTAGGTGACTGACAGGAAGTTCCTGATCTCCAGCGCTACTGCTAGCGGGATGCTCGGGATAGTACTAGAGGGCCACTATGGCTCTGGCTCCGCGAGGCACAAGTGCTTCGTAACGTAGGTATCTATCGTGAAAGCCCACTCGCAGCCCCCCTCGGCGGCCATCGTTTGCGCGCGTCATGTCCCCTCTCGGACTCAGTGACTCCCTGACTCTCCCCTGAGGTCTGAGGGGGTGGATCATGACCCTTGTCTGGAGCGGTGACATCTTGAAGGACGAAATTCGCTCTTGGCGAAGGGCCGGCCAATCAGCGTGGGCCCAGCAGGTCTCCTCGGGTTTACCAACAGCATGGAATCGGGTTGCTAGCTGCCCTCACTAATCTTACTGATCTCCGCTTTGGACCCTCTGGGCCATCATGGCCGACGATGTTGGGCTTCGTCCGTCCCCCCCCCTGGAGGGAATTGGCCGATGGGACGATGTGGGTTATGAGGAAAGGGAAGCGATCTTGGTTCCCGGCCGATCCCGCGACGCGCCGCCATCTACAAGGACAGGGAGAAGAGTGAAGGGGGCAAGATGAAGGAGATACGAACACATTCGACTCTCTCTCGGCGAAAAGGGACGCTCCCAATATACGCAGAATGATCTATCAGAACTCGCAAACCTCGGCCATATCCACTTGCGGGGAACGTTTCCCTCTGGCAGAGATGTCCACATGCCTGCAGGCACTCCGCGTGTTTGACAGGCGCAGTCATTTAGTTAACTGTTCCCATTCCCTCCCCTCCCATCACTCGACTAGGCAGGTAGGGTGAGCGAGAAGGATCTGATCTCTTCACCGGTGCGGAGCCCCAATCAGGGACGACGCCGACTCGAGACCACACACCATCCCCCTCCTGCTACAGACAATGTCGGGGGACGTCGGCGACCTGAGCAAGTGCGCTTGGATTCCCGCGCATGATTCTGGCATGATCCGGGATTTTCTCCATCAAGAAAGGCGCGGCAATGATAGGACTGCGCCGCGCCTCTGAAAGCACGAGACAGAGAGGGCAGAACATGTTGCAGCTGAAGCCCGGTCCACTCTTGGCGCAGTGCGCTACAGCTTCAACAAGTTTAGCAGGGCCACCGAAGAATGGGATCAGCTTCTCAGCTGCCACTGGTCAGATGTGACAGGTGAGGAAAGAACAGACTGAGTCAACGGACGGACCTGGCGAGGAAGACCGGCTGCTGGCATGGCCTTGTCGGCATTGCAAGGAGTCATTCGCTGGCAATGGAGCACGTGGGCAGGCTTGCCTTGAGACGAGGACCTGTGTCTCCCTAATCCCATCTCAAACTGACTAGACTGCCTGTATCTTGCCGCACTGTGTCTGTGTGTCTGGACTCGGCCGATTCCATTAGTTATCTCGCGAAACTCGTCTATTTGCCAGCATGTCCGCAGCACCAGGATGGCCATGCTACACCGCTTCCAGTCCTGTCTATCTGCGGGGACACCAAGCTGCGCAGATCTCTCCTCTCCAATCACGACAGACATGTGATGCCGGGTCTCATCTAGGAAACCCTTGATGATGAACGGTTGCATGTTTCTGACCCAGATCCGGCACACAGACCTGTCAGAACCATGCTTCCGACTCGCAGGCTGTCTGGTGCATGTGAGCAGCTCGCCTCGCTCATCCTTCAGGATCTCTCTCCCACCCCGTAACTACCCCGGTTGCAAAGAGCAGTGAGGAAGTGAGGGGATAGGCCAGTTAGGCGGGCATCCATGTATGGCGTGGGGGCCAAGAACAGAAGCCATCCAGCCGTTTTGGCGTGTGCGCGGCCGGGAAGGCATCGCGCCGTGCGGTTCGTCCCATTCGCTAAGTTTAGCGTGGGGGTTTTGACATCTCCTGGGCAAGAGGCCTGGTTTCAGCACCACCATCGTGTGTCATAGAGAGGCTTCCAAGGTTGACAGAGCGGCCGCGTGCATTAGCTTCTTCCCGGTGTAGCTCTATCAGCGGCGCTATCCCACACAGAGTGGCAGTTGACAAAGCGGAAGAGCAAGTTATGTTTTCATCCAGCATGCGGGCGTGGATGAGGTCAGGTGCGGTCGGAATGGCGTTCTAGCCCTTCGAGTGAATCATTGAATAATGACGATCTGCGTCGTTGTGACTTAGATTGTCTAAATAGGTATGCAGTTCGTTAAGCTTCTGGCTTAGTGAAGTCTCCATTTTCCGTTTATGAGCAGTATTGCAACGGTATCTGATTGAGTAGACCGTGGAGTCCAGCTCGCCTGGTTCTGCGGGGCATGACATGATTCAACTCCAGATCATTTTTGACCACATCTGACATCTCACATCTCAGACACCTCGTGAAAGACTTCGTGTCCAATTAAGGATATGCCACGCAAAGTTTGGAAGAGGGTCGAATATTCAGGGAGTGGCAATAGATGCGAGCAAAATTGATGAAGCTGTCTTCTATGAAAATCGGAGTGCATGTGAGATCCATTCAACAGTCATCCGGATCCCAAAATTAAGACCTCATGAAGTAATGATTGAATAAGAAAAGGCCTAAAGAAGGGCAAAAAACGTACGCAGAATCTAACAAGAAGAAAAAGAAGAAAAAAAAAGCCTGAAATCGTAAAGACGTCGCAAGTCAAGAGCAGGAAACCCTCACTACCTCTCCATTCTCCCAACAAGAGTCTCGCTCGTCGTCACCGAGTCGTGCTCCCTCTTGTCCGACACTCTCTCCGCCAGCACCCGCCACGCCTTCTGCCTCACCCTCTCCCTCAGTGCGTTCATCATGGCCAGCCTCCTCTGCCGCACCACGTCCGGCTGCTCACCCCTACCGCCGTCGTTGCCGCCGCCGCCGCCAGAACACCCGCCGCAGCCTCTAGCCGGCCCGACGTCCGGCCGGTCCGGCATCCGCCACGCCGGGTACAAATTCCCGTCGTGATGACCGGACCCGGACCCGTCCCGGAGCCCCACGCCGCTCGGCTGCTCGGCAAAATAGCACTGGCAGAGCATGCACGGCGGCTTGCTGCAGCCGACGAACTTGACGTTGCGGAAGAAGCGCTCCGGGCGGGTGCCGCCGCACGAGTGCTCCAGCCAGTTGAGCACGGCGACCTCGGCGTGCACGAGCGGCTGGAAACTGGGGCAGCGCCACTGCCTGGCGACGGCCGCGTCGACGACGCCGGCACCCAGGGCGCGGTCGACCTCCTGCAGGAGGGAGGCGTGGTGCGGCCTGTCCATTTTGGAAGAGTGTTGCCTGACGAGCTCGCTGGCCGACTTGAGCTTTTCGCCGACCGGTCTGCCCTCGCACGCTGCGGAGGGGATGGCGACGACGTCAAAGTCGTCAAAGAGCTCCGGCCAGACTATGGCCACGATGCCCAGGTCCTCGACGAGGTGCCCGTAGGAGAGGAGGCGGCCCGAGTGGTGGTGAAGCTCGCGCCAGGGGGCTGCGTTGCCTCCTCGGTCATTGTCCAGCCGGCGGCTGATGAACATGCGCAGGGGATTGTCGTCTCTCAGGCACTTGAGGCGCCTAATGAGTTTCTCGACAACATCGAGGACTGATACACGCGTTGTTGTCAGCTTCGCACACAATCCATCAGGATCCAAGTTGCATGCTTGGGGATAGAAACTTGCATTCATCTTCAACCATGTCCTTGAGCTTCGCAGGTGGTAGGATATCTTGCAAGCCTCGGAGCTTCTCAGCATACACCAGTGCTAAAGAGTACATATTCAGCAACAGTTTCGTTTACTAGAGAGGAGTAGGGCCAAATAGACAACCGTTCCTCACCTTCTTTTGAAGTATCCCTCATACAATGGCCGATGCACTCAAGCAGTGCCCCTCGCAACCCATTGACATAGCACTTGACCCTTTCCTGACAGAATCTCAAGATGTTCCTCTGATTCTGGTGGTACGCCTCCTCACGCGACCGCTTGGTGTGCGAAGTCCGCGATAGCTCCCCGACAGAGCGTAGGACGGCGGTGATGTGTTTGCAAACAGCCTCGAGCTGGGCCGGCGTCCGGCTGTTCGACGCGAACACGTAGCGGACTCTGGGGTCCGTGTTCTGCAGCGCGGCAAAAGCAGTGACGGTGGCGCCTCCAGGACGCGAGTCACAAATCTTGCCCAGCTTCGAGAGATAGAGGCGCAACATATCCTCGGGCTCTCCTGGATCTGCCGTGCGAATCCGGGGCGAGTCAGGAGAGCGCCTTTGGCTTGGCCGGCTGCAGACTTGGTTCAGGGCATGGAGCAGGACTATGAGCTCGTAGAAACGCCCTTTGGCTTGAGAAGATAACTCGAGTGCATCCGAGATGTCTGTAGAAGATACCGTTGTCAACATCCGGCATGCTGCTTCGACCAGATTGTGCGGCCTCTCTTCCGCCATGTCGACCGAAAAGGAGGCGGATTCCTCGCAGGCAAAGATACCAGACAAAAGGGACGACTCGCGCAAGAAAAGGCAGAGCGAGTTCGCAATGGCTCAAATGGCGACACCGTAAACTCTCATGCCATTGCCAACGTCCTCTGATCCAGATAACCCGACCCCTTAAATACCATTTCCAAATCCCGTCCGCATCATCCTTCAAGCCTTGAATCCCTCCGTCTCAAGCCTCCATACCCTCCGCCCCCCTCCCCGCAAGCAAAATACCGGCATTGAGGCCCAACACCGCAGGCACCAGGTGCTGCGCATCATCGCGCATGCTTCCTGCCCACGTTTGCGCCAGACATCGATTACGTGCATGACGGCGTTGCGGGCCCGCGCGCGCCCATGCGCAGCAGCAGCATTTGGAGGAAGAAGAAAAAAGAGCTCGCAGCCAGCGCCGGGCCGTGCTGCAGCCCTGCTGCTAGCCTCGCATGAGACCTGCAGCCAACAGCGTCCAAGCCGCACCGGACCGTGCCTCGGCATTGGTTCCACGTCAAAGATGCTGCACACCCATTCGCGTGAAAACTCTGCCTCAGTGTCGGCGGAAGGTCTGGAACGACGGTACATGCCCCTCCCTTTTCACGCATGGCGTGAAAATGGCCCGGGTTACACCTGCGCAAATTGGCACGGCGGGACGTGACACGACTGCGCAATCTGGACGCCTTAAATCATCCTCTGCGTGCATGCTGTGTCCTTCGTGTCCCTTGGGGGCGGGGAGACAGCGCATTGCGATCGTCGGGAGCGGTGAAGAGACGGAACGACAAGGCTAGGGCAGTGCTCGCACTCGATTGTCGTTGCAGTTGCGGTCTTGAAGCCCAAGATGCCGTGATGATGGGTCGGCCGTGATGATTACTGGCCCTGGCATGCTTGGCTCGGCTTGGAACTCAAGGCATCGGTGAGCAGACCAGACAAAAGACGTGGAGGCTTAGAGGTGTAATGATGCCCGAGCATGCAGTATGTGTTGTATTGGAACATCTCCCCATGGAAGGCGTTGGTAAAGAGGATGAATCATTGCGGACCGCGATCCACGCGCGCCGCCGACGAGCTCCGGGCGAGCTTGGAGCGGACTTCCCCGCAGCCAGGGTCAAGCCGCTGGTGGGGAGCGGAAGCGGGCCCTGAAACACATGAGCCTAGCGCGTTCTAGCGGCCGGCAACCCCGCCGAATCCACTGTAGCTGAAAATCGCGAATTTCCAAGACACGCCTTAAAGAGTGAATCTCGACTGGTGTCTGCGATTGCCACGATAGAATTGTGTCCAGAACGATGCCACACAGCATGGATGCCTCCATGACAAGCCTCAAAGGCCTGGGCACCTGGCAGCGGTACAAGCTCGGCCAGCAGCAGTTCACAAAATGGCTGCGCCAGACATCAACCAAGCTCACCGCGTCGCGTCAGGCCGAGGAGCCCGCGGCAGAACAGGCCAACGGTGATGGGGACAGCGCGTCAGTCAAGTCCAAGACGCGCAAGAAGAAGACCACCAAGGTTCCCCTAGAGGATGACGCGCGATTCGTGCACTGGACGGAGCTGGAGCGCATGGCGCAGGTAGTGGCTAGCCAGGCGTCGCCCGAGGAGATCCCCGCCGCGCCGATTAATATTCTGCGCGACGTGGTGACCCTCCGCAAGAAGAGCGCGCGCTTCTTCAACAGCAGCGACGCCCAGGACGAGGAAACGCGGACCAGGAACGCAGGCCACGAGCACATCATCAAGGTGCTGGAGCGCGTGCTGGGTCTGCTCGAGGGAGCGGTCAAGTCAGTGCGGAACGGTGTCGCTGGGGGGGTGAAAGGAGCGCAGGCTAAGGACCAGGCCAAGCACGCTACCGGCGTGAGCACGGCCGACCTGGCCAACATGTTTGAGTATCTCAAGGTGGAGGCGCCTGCGGAGGACGAGGATGCAGACGAAGATGACGAGTCGGAGACTGAAAGCATCATGAGCAAGTCGACCCGCGGGTCGAAGCGGAGCGGCAAAAAGAAGAAGCCTGGCAAGAGGGGCGGCAAAACCAAGGCCTCCAAGAAGGAGAGACAGGGGAGCACGGAAACGCAAACCTCGTCCAGTAACTGGGTCGATTCGTACAGCATTGGGACGGCCGAGCCCGACGGCGAAGACGACGAGGAGCTCGACGTCTACACCCTTCTCTACTGCTTCTTTGTCGATTTTAACAAGATCCGGGACTACGTCCGCGAGAGGTGGTGCGACTACTTCTTCGACAGCTCCGTGTCGCTGGACAAGCTGGCCGTCGTCACCAATGCCGCCTGTCAGCTTTTTTACGACCTGCAGAGCGATCTCGTGCGCACCCTTAAGAAGGCCGGTGCGTCCGAGCTGGCCGACTACGGGGCCATGTGGGGCATGCTCTTCGTCACGTACGGCCTGGAGCACGTGGAGTACGGAGAGGACGAGGAGAGCCTTCTGACGGCAGAAGAGCGGGACGAGAAGATCTGGAAGCAGGAGGCGGACTGGCTCGGCATGCCGGCCTATTTCTCCATCGAGAAAACCCTCAGACATATCCCGCCGGGCAAGGTCCCCATGATGCGCCCCGGTGAGATCCGCCAGCCGGTATACGGTGCCACGACGCCAGAGGGGCTTTCGATCTTCACGGACAGGGCCGTGAACCAGATGCTGTTCGACACGGTGATTGTCAAGGCGCTCAAGCACAACAACCAGGAACCGCCGTCGCTGCCGGCAGAGACGTGCCTGCAGATGGCCTTCCAGGCGGCGCTGCGTGAGAAGCAATACACCCCGGCCTTCGTCCTGAGCCTGCAGCTGTACGTGGACATTCGGTACATTATGGAAGAGCGCGTGGTGGAGGCGTTCGGGGAGATGCAAGTGACGGCGAAGAAAGCGCAGCAGGTGCTCAAAGCGCACTTGGACAAGGCCACCGGCCCGCGGTACCACCTGAAGGGCGAGATGCGGCAGACCCTCAAGATCCTCGAGCACTATGCGCTAGAGGACTTCACGCTGGAGGACAGGAGGTTGCGCTTCCTGAAGCAGGGCGAGGACCCAGAGATAGAGCCTTTTACACTGTACAAGTATGACCCGATCTGGGCCGGGCTGCTCGACATGCGGACCAAGGTGACCATGAGCGACCTTGGGCACGAATTCGTGCGGTACTCGCCCGTGGTTGAAGCGGCTGCGTTCATCTACAGCGCGGCGAGAGCATGTTTCGAGGGAAACGAGGGCAAGGGCCTCCTGCCTGCGTGGCCGGTCATGGACAAGTATTTGGCAACCTTTCTCCCGGAGAGCGAGTTTGCGAGGACTATTGCGGCGGGCAAGGATGATCCGGTGCGATTGCTTCTGTCATTTGACAGGATATCCCGAAAGTTCCAGCCCTTTGGGGAACCCAAGTCGCCGATGCTGCCCGGGGTAGGCGGTGAGACGTATGTTCCCACATTCGGGTACAGGAATGCATTGTTCCAGCACCTCGACGGATTTGGCTCTATCAAGCAGGACAATCTGTACCTGGTCAAGATCCTTTTGCTCCACCTGCACGTCGAGGAAGTCAAGTGGGACGCGCGCGAAGAGGCGCGGAAGCGAGCGAACGGGTCCGGAGAGGTTGCGGAGGTCGTTCCGGATATGACCCTGATGAATGACCGCGAGTGGTGCAAGCGCAAGGCGGAGAAGCTGGAGGCAAGGTATGCACAGATGGATCCCGTGGAGATTCTCGGCATTCTGGAGAGCGTTTTGGCCGAGCTGGACGAGCTGCTCGACCTCGACTACTTCCAGCTGCATGACCAGAGCGTGGCATTCCTGAAGAAGCTGAGCCAAGCGTTGGGTTCCGAGTTCCAGGCTCGGGTTGGCTATGTAGCCAGGAAAGACGACTGTCTGCCGGACATGTTGGCAAGAGTGCCTGTATGCCTAGGCGAGCTTTTGGTCAAGATGTCTGCGGAGGATGCAGAGCAGACACAGCACATGTTTTCGGTGGTCGCTGGTTGCTTGCGCGAAATGCACCATCCATCTCAGTGATGGACGACAGTGCATCTCGATTTGTGTGACGGCTGGTTTTGCTGAGGGATTTGGTGTCCTCGTTCGAGAAAGCGGAGGGTAGTTGAGGCGCTGGTTGTGATAGAAGAGAGAGTTCTCTCGCCTCACCTGCCTGCTTGCCTGCCTGCCTTGCCTTGACATGCTTTGAGTACTTGTAGTTGAGAAAAATTGAGGAAATGAAGCTGATCGCCATTCATCGCCCAACCTTACCTTGACTGACCCGCACGCGCACCTGCACTGACTTGCACTTTCCCCAGACAGACCAGACCCACGCCTGCCACGACAGCACACGGACCTTGTCCTAAAAGTGGAAGGGAAGGAAAAGCTTGGCGGGCAGGTCTGGCCAACCGGACTGCCTGGACCCCTTTTTTTCGGGCGGCACACTAAACCCTATGCAGGGGCAATTTCCACTTCCTTCAGGGCCCTGACAGGTAACGCCAGGCACCGTCAGCAGCCCCAGCAGCCACCCATTCCCCCAGAGAAACCCGCCCAACAGTCTTGCGTGCCTCTCTTTTTCCCTTTTCTCCTCCTCCTCTTTGCTCTCCCCACCAGACCAGCACCCAATGCTCTCTCGGTCGATCGAGTCGCAACCGACACAGTCCGCCGCGACGGCGGCTACACCGTGACCGAACCACGCTCCCTCATCCTATAGCGATCCTCCCAGCAGGAGTCGCTCGTCCATTCACTCCTTCGAATACCTTCCGGGGTGATCGCTCCATCGGCGACCCGCCCCGTCCGCTCCTTTTTTTGCGCGCCCAACACAACAATGCGCCCCATCTCGACGTCCTCCGTCATCGCGACGGCCCTCTCGCTTTCGCTTCCTTCCCTCCTCCTCCTCTTCCCGACCCTCGCCTCGGCCGAGACCGTCTGGGCGACGCCACACGAGAGCTACTCGTCGTCCGTCGGCGTGCTCGGCTGCAAGATCGACACGGACCGCGTCGCCTACTGGCCCGCCTCGGTCGACTGCGACAACATCTGCGTCTCCCTCTCCTACGAGGGGCGCACCCTCTACCTGCTGCGCATCGACCAGTCCGGCGGCGCCCACGACGTCAGCTACGACGCCTGGAACACGCTCGTGACGGGCGCCTCGGCCACCAAAGACCCGACGGCCGGCGGCGCCATCGCCATGGAGACGGAGAACGTGCCGGTCGACAAGTGCAAGCCCCTGCTCAACAAGGCCGGCGGCAAGTTCCCGCTCAGCGCGTCCAACAGCATGAACTTCCTGGCCAGCTGCCTGACGGACAAGCCCGACAGCTTCGTCGCCAAGAACTACCAGCTGTACAACATCCAGGACCCGATCTGCACGTGGGGGATCGACGAGAAGTGCACCCTCGACTGGCCCGAGCGCAACCAGGCGACCTGCCCCAAGGGCCTCGGGACGCCGTCCGCCCTCACCGACGCCCCCGTGTGGAACGTGCAGTACCCCACGGGGAAGCACGTCCTCGCCGGCGCGCCGCCCGAGGCCCCTGCCGCCGGCACACCGGGGACAGCTGGCGCGAGCAAGAATGCGGCGGGACGCGCGAGGAGGTTATCCGCAGAGGCCCTGGGGCTGTCTGCAGCTGTGGTGGCATATTCGCTTCTTTATGTCCTTTGAGACAGGGTTCATCACATCCAATGGTGTTGTGTGCCTTTCAGACAAAGGACCGGATAATTCCTGCTTCAATACTGGTCAGGGAGGGAAAAGAGGTCCAGAGATACCCTAATGTATATAAGAGGACTGGTCTCCCGCGGCTGTGGAAGCAGTGACGATTTACGATCATATATCAATTTGGTTTTATCTTGCGGGAACGCTCTCAACGAGACATGCGATTTCTGGGACGTGGCTGAACTCTAATTTGTGTGAGCAACGGATGACTTGGGTGTTGTTGTGCGAGACTGATTGATTCTCCAGTGTCGAAACGCAGTACTTGGTAGTAGCTCATTCATGCCCCTAACAATTGGCGGGGTGGAACTTTGACTAATCATGCCATCACCCAGATTTTAGCTTCGCCCGCAGCGAGGATTGCGATTTACCTTGACCGAGACAAGCTGCTCTACCTGCCAGACTAAGCTTCATTGACTCCTTCAAGACGCCTGCAACAAGCCGGAGTCATGCACCTGTCGGCTGGTTATGCAATTGACACAACAATCCTCTACCTGGGGCCACTGCACTACTCATTGGCGTGACCAAGCCTGAGAATCCCCGAGAAGCCCGGAACGAGAACCGCGTATCTGCCGCTCCATCTGGCTGACCCCTCATTCAACTCTCGCTCGCGGGACTGTCGACGATGAAGCCCGCCGAGGCAGAGCGCTTCCAGCGGCTCTTCGTCTGGGCAACAGACAACGGCTCGACCCTCCACCCGCAGGCGGAGGTCTACAGCGATGACCTCACAAAGTTCTCCCTGCGCGTGAAGCCAGACGCCGGCGGCTCCCTCCCCGCCGGCGACGTCGTCGTCTCATGCGCGCTGCCCACGACGCTGTCGTACCTCAACGCCCTCGTCGGCGGACCGCTAGGCCAGGCGCAGCAACCAGCAGGACGCGACGCCGCCTTCCCGCAGCGCTTCCTCGACGAGACCCCGCCGCACGTCGTGGGGCGCTTCTTCCTCGTGCAGCAGTACCTCGCCGGGCCCAGCTCCTTCTGGCATCCGTACATCGCCACCCTGCCGCCGCCGGAGCACATGGCCGGCTGGGTGCTGCCGGCCTTCTGGCCCGAGGACGACGCCGACCTGCTCGAGGGCACCAACGCCGCCGTCGCGGCCGAGGAGATCCGGGGCCACGTCGCGCGCGAGTTCAAGGCCGCGCGCAGGCTGCTCAAGGAGCTCGCCTTCGACCGCTACAGGGACTACTCGCGCCTGCTGTACAACTGGGCCTTTTGCATCTTCACCAGCCGCAGCTTCCGCCCTTCGCTCGTCGTCTCGGACCGCGCGAGGCGGCAGCTCGAGGAGGAGGCGAGTATCCTGCCGGTGGGCTGCGCCTGGGACGACTTCTCCCTCCTGCAGCCGCTGTTCGACATCGCGAACCACTCGCCCCTCGTCGGCATAGACTGGGACTGCGCAGAGACGGGAGGAAGCAGCAGCGGCGACGCCGTCCACGACCACCGGTGCCAGTTCCGCTCGCGGCAGGCCTGGCCGCCGGGGCAGCAGATCTTCAACAACTACGGGCAAAAGACCAACAGCGAGCTGCTGCTGGCCTACGGCTTCGTGCTGCCCGAGGCGCGCGACTTCCACAACGACTACGTCCACCTGCGCAAGAGGCAAGGCCGGCGGCCCAGCGTCCCCTGCGGCGCCGACGCCGCAGCGGACGCCGAGGGGATCCCGCGCGCCGCGGGGGCCAACAACAACAAGCCCAGGGACTTTCTCATCTCGCTGCGGCCCATGAACGACCCGTCCTCGCGCGCCGGCCGGGCGCGGCAGACGGTGCTCTCCGACCCCGGGCTGGCCCTGCTGCCGCAGTTTTCGCGCCTCGAGGACTCGCTCCTCTGGGACATGCTGCAGGACTTTGCGACCGGCGGCAGCGGCGGCGCGGAGCACCTCTCGGCGCTGGCGGGCCTGATCCGCCAGGACTCGGCGGCCGAGGGCGTCGTCGCCCGAGACCACAGCGACGGCGAGGCGCCGCCTGTGTTGACGCACCACCAGCTGGAGGCCAACAGGGCGCTCGTGCTGACGCGGGCGTTCGCGCGGCCCGAGGCCGAGGCGCTGGCGCCGATGCGCGAGGCCATCCGGCACACGCTGCTGGACAAGCTGCTGGCCGACTACGAGGCGCTGCGCGACGGGGACCCGGACGACGACGACTGGAGGCGGGAGGTCGGGGAGCAGCAGCCGCGGGGGGTGACGGCGAACCAGCGGCTGGCGCTGCAGTATCGCGGGCAGTGCGACCGGGTGCTGCGGGCGGCGATCGGGGCCCTGGATCCGGGCGTCAGGCTTGATGTTGTGACGTGAGGCTTCTAGGTTCACTTTTGTGCTTTCGCGGGGTACATTTGATTGGGCATTGCATTGGTTCACGAGTGAGTTCATGATGAGCTGGGATGGTTTTGTCAATTGCAAATTCATGGGGAATCTTAAAACTCAATGATAGACGGTTGGGCAACTGAAGCACCCCCGCCGTCCGTGTAAGATGATTAAGAAGCAAAATAATAAAGAAGAAGAATACTTTGAAGCAATCTGGGGGAATCAATCCTTTGGTTAAACGCCACTGTACCCGGAAACACACATTCGTTGTACGAAACATGGTGAGCCAAAGGCGTGATATCTCTCGTGGGGAAAAACGTCAAAAAAGTCGTGGAAAATCAACCCCCGGCGCCCACCCTCGTCGTTCTCTAAACCTTTCCCCGAATTCCAAAGTCGAAGTCGAGCAACAACCTAGCACCGTTCAACCCCCCCATTTTAGTTTACCCCCCCTTTCTCGAACGCCCGACTTCTCATCATTCCGGTCGAGCTACACACGCTCTACCTGCGCCAGTGGCTCCGCCTCCGGCCGGGCTTGAGGTCGCCGTGCTCGATGAAGTACTCGACGCGCCTCCTCTCCTCGTCCGGCAGCAGCGCGATGTGCTCGTTCAGCAGGTCGAGACACAGTCTTGATGCTTTTTTGTTTTTGTTCGTCAGTATATCCTATTCACCACACCACTGGGGACAAGGAGTATGGGAGGGAAGAAGAAAAACTCACGGACGACAGCCCCGACAGAGTCGTCCTCGAGGGCGGCGCTGACCCGCGCCGAGTTGTAGCAGTGGAACTCCTGCTGCGCGGCCAGCATGCGCTGCCACAGCTCCGCCGTGTCGACGTCGGAGCCCGGCACCGGCACCGCCGAGCCGCTGGACCCGTACGACTGGCCCGAGGAGCGCCGCCTCCGCCGGGAGCGGGACAGCTCCTCCTCGGCCTGGCTCGGCAGCAGCGGGGCGTGCATCTCGGTGGCCGCAGCCGTGGCAGTAGTAGTGATGGGTGGTGCTCGCTGGTGGGACGGCGTGATGATGTTGTCGTCGTCGTGGAGCGGTGGCGTTGACGTGCGTGAGGATGCGGGTGAGGGTGTGGAGGGATGGAGGCGATGGGTTCGGTAGTCTGGTGACATGTCTCTGGGTGGTTTGTGTCTTGTTTGTTTCGAGGTTCCGAAGATGTTTGGTGTTGTCACACTGAGTGTACAGATGTCGTTGTGTTCCCGAGACGAACAAGAGATCTTGACTTGATATATGACTTGGGGCCTTCGAGCATGTGAGAGCAGACTCAAGATGTATTAAACAAATCTCTTGGCGTTGTAATAATTGAATTGTCTAGAGAAGAGTCCAGACCCTCTCCTCCCAAGGTGAGCAGGGGGACGGACGGTGATGTTATATGCAAAACGCATCCACCCTCCTCCTCCCTGCATACATGCATGGTTCGAACAGCAAGCCAAGCCAAGCAAAGCAAAGCAGAGAGAGGTCAAAGCAGCTTGGGAGGGGAGGGGGGATCGATGACTCAAGTCACGCATCCCAGGTTGGGAAATTGATGCCAATTCCCAAGATCCCACCCACCCACTCACACCAACCTGCAATCCAACACAAGACATTGATCAGACCCTCCCGCACTAAGCTCCGGCATCCGGAGAGTTACGCCAACGGCGGCGCGAGGCGGTAAGACGAGGGCTACCTACCTTAGACAGAGCTGGCACTTAGGGGCCCCAAATAGGCTTCACATCGATCGGGCTTTGCACCCCCTTCTTCTTCGTTCTTCAAATCCTTAAAGACAATCGAACAAAGGTTAATCGACGGACAACATGTTGCCAAGAAGCCACACCCCGCCCAGCCCGGCCCAGCCCCAGCCATCGGAAAGTTTCCCTCGGGGCCTGGCACGTCTGGGCAGGCCAGCCAAGAGCAGGGCGCAAGTGTCCCAAGTGTCCAGGTGACAAGGATGATGCGAGCCCAGGATCATGGCGTCGTCGCAAGTGTTGCACCTACGATATCAATTGGTATGGAGGGAGGTGGGATGACAGGAAGAAGACGATCATCTCCCCTCCTCTTCTGGCCCCTCTGCGTGCGCCTCTCCACACGTAATGTTGACATGTCGCCAGGGCTGGGCGGCCAGCAGCAAATCCTTCCTGCTGCCCAAGTCAAACCTGGGCCTTCTGGTCTCGTTCTCCTTGCCAGCGCAGCACTGCCTTTTTTTTCCTTTGGGGAGGAGTGGGTATGATCTCATCCACGCTACCGTGCCCCGGTTCGCGGCGTGGTGAAAGCCGGACGACGGACGGGGGGTAAATGATCGACGGCAGGGTCGCAGCGAGGTGGATACAGGCACAGAACCTTTGTGCCTGTGACAGGTCTGAAATATCTCTCCTTTTTTGGTGTGTTGGCTAATGTGCAAAGATTAGTACTCACTCGGTCAATGACGCCGTTCATATCTGTCTGAAACTAGGTCGTCAGGAACCAGACAGTGGCGAAGAGAAAAGAGTTCTTCTACAGCGGCTGGCTTCTATGGCCAACACCCACACACACATACATACACTCAACTAACAGTGATGCTCGTGATCTTTTCGACGTGCCCTTTCTGCTACCTACACCCCCTCGGGATCATGAACATGACCGCCATCAGCCCAGGATAACCTGAGAAATAGCATGTTTTCCAAGTAGGAAACAAAAATCGTGCCATCTCCCCCCCATTGACCGCCAGGGTGCGCCGGGCGTGTGCGGGTTCTCTGCCTGCACGCACAGTCGTTTTTTCTCATCACAAGCGCGTCGCAGCAATTAGGTCTTCGCATTAATGCTCTAGTTACCTAGGTAGTGCTGGTCTTGCGAGGTGCAGGCCGGACCTTGAAAGCATGTCATGTCGATCAGTTGATGTATCATGAGCGACCATTCCCAGACCAGAACGCCGATAACGGTGCCTGTGCCTCTAGGCTTCCTCCCTCAAGCGATGCGCGCTTCCTCTTTGGGACAATATCTCGATCTCAATTGAGGGCGCGCTCTGGAACCGAGGAACTAGCATACATGGATCCCCGGCGTTGCGTTCGTTCAAGTGCCGGACAGGCGGGGATCCTCAACTTCGCGGCATGTTCCCGCGTTATCCCCCACCAGACGAGGAAAAAAAAGTCCCTTCCGCTAGTGATGGGTCTTAATGTAGATGCGATAAGAGAGACGGTGTGTAGGCGTAGAGAGTCGAGCACTCTAGACCTTACTCATCTCGTGGGACGGGCAGCAGGCGGATCACGACCAGATCGATGCCAAACTCTACTTTAAAAATATCCGGTTTTCAAACGAAACATCCCGTCCGTCATCGATCGAAACTGCTCGCCGGCTGGTCGGGACAGAGTATGGTAGCCTGCAAATGATCTCATCTCATCCCATCCCTGCGTGATGTCTGGGCTGGCGTATGTGCCAACCCTGCCAAGGTCAGGGCCAAGGATCGGATCCCCCAGCTACGCTTCACAGACCGAGAGTCCTCATTCCACGTCCTACCACTGGCCCCGCTACCAATGCGCCTTGTTCTTGGGTTCTTGGCCCCTGTGCACATCTCTCAGAATGAAGGATTTGATAGTTAGACCGTTCCTCCTGTCATTTGCCTGCTCATCGCCACGGCTTCCGTATGGCTTCCATGTTCGTCGACGACGCCGCACGGGTGCATGACTTGTCAGTCAGTCAGCCCCGAGATGTGCAACTCTCTGGTGTCCCCCAACAGGCGACCCCTTTCGTTCCATGACGACAGCTCGTGGCAGTGTCATGAGCAAACTCCGAGAAAGGGTCATCCAACCCCCTCCGCTGCAACATCACCCTTATCGCGCCAACTACGAACGCGCTGCAGAAAGAGTCTGCGGGTACCCCAACCGCACCGGCTTCTCCCTCCCTTCCTTCGGCACTCAAAGGAATGACCAAAACCGAGTGTGACGCTAGCGTACCAGCCGTTTTCGGGCGCCATTCCGCTGTCCTGTCCGGATACAAGCCGGAGGTGAGAAGCTTGAGGGGCCCATTTAACAGGCCCGCCAGTCGGCCATCCTCTCAGGTTGAGCACTGGGCCATACCGCATACTGTATTGAGGCAAATTAGTAAAAACTCGTAAAGCTTCTTCCGCAGGTTGTCCATTCTCGTGAATGCAAGTATGTGTTGCCGTTTTGCTGGCTTTGATGACGAGTCTTGCTGGGGCTGTGAAGGATGAGCTGGCATGGATGGCTAGCTGGCAAGGCATCCTTGCAGGCGTCCGGGGTGGGTGGGCGCGCTGTGTTTTAGCGTCCGATAAGCCCTACGGATGGGGATGGTCGAGTTAGTGCCCGGCCATAGCTCCAAGAGCCCTCTGGATACGAGAACACATTTGTTCGTGAGCCAGTTCCCATATCCTCCAGTATCCTTTCTCCTTCCATGCGAGAAGGGCCGCTTCGAAGAATAGAGGATATCAAGTACGCAGGAGAACAGATAGTTGACGACTTGTTCACAAGAAATAAGATCAGCTTTATTTAATTTGCAGCACGATTAGAAACGCAACTTCCGGGGTTTTCAATCCATAATGGTGTTTCTTGAAGGATGTGTAGTAGCTGTATTAGACTTGAATACAGTGTTCTTCGTCATTGAAATCGGCCGACTGGCTCTCTGGAGGAGACCAGGACATCGATGTATCATAGCATCTTCTCGCAAGAGATACATTATTCTTACTGAAAACAGGTATCAATAATGCGGTGAGATGAACGGTAGCAGTCCACGGGCCTTTTACAGGATAGACGAAGCTTCTCAGCCCTTAACACCCAAGTAGCTCTCCCGCCTTGATAGGATTTCGGAGTTTGACCTCACGTTGGTCACAGAGTTTATTATCTTTGCTAACTTGCTGCTGAAGCAACTCGAGTTATCGTCGTCAACGTTCAACACGCTAGACCATCGACTAGTCAAATGCAACTGCTTTGAGGCCATACACTAGGCTGGCCGCTGCTTGTATGTTCTACATCAACCCTCAAGGAGTGGTTCTTGTCATCTCTTGAACGTGACTCGTAGTTGGGACCACATGGCGAGAGCGATTCACGCAGCAGGATAGAGCCGTGGGAGGCTTGAAAAAGAGAAGTAAGGTACTTGTATGCATATTGGGACAACAATGCCGCTTCGCCCAGGCTACAAGAGGTTCTCTTCCCACCGGTTCAAGACCGGACCGACCATGTTCGACAGTGCAGGGGGCCGATAGGTTCGCGGTAGGTGTTCAAGAAGGCGAGGATGTATTTAACAAGTTGAGAAGAAGCAATGCCTCCTCAGAGCGACAGGTTGCTATCTACCTGCAGGACCTATACCCAGGCAGCTCGGTGTCTCCCAATAGCAATACAATGCCTGCATTCCTTCTCATTGTGTTCTTTCTGGAACTGAGCTCATGCCTGATCCGAAACATAATCGCGGCCAGTGAGACTCACTGTCAACGCTCGACGTCGCCTCTATTTCTATCCTTCGTGGCGGTCCCATGCCAATGTCGATGAATGTGACTTCTCCAAGTGATACAGACAACTCTGATATCAAGGGAGCAGGCCAGTCAGGCACATCGGAAAGAAGGATCAAGGGGTCTGTCGAAAAGGTTGAACATGACAATAGCTCTGATTCTGGCCCCTATTCATGGAATGACACCTGTCTTCGTGAATCAAATTAACAGTGTATGGATGTAAAGATCCGTATGTCAGGACTCACAACTCTTTCCATTCCTCTGGTCCGACACCGATCTTCACCTCAACGATGAGAAAGGTCTACTCAGCGTTTGAGCTGCAATGCTCTCTGATAGCACTATGGATGCAACTCTCTCTATCATCCTTGGCTCAAATTGTTGCAAACCCGATCAGATCAAGTCGGCCACATGGACGGAGCACCTACGGAAACATAAAATTGTTTACCTGATCGAGCTCCCGTTCTGTACATCGGAACGAAGCAACACTTAAACATGCCCTCTAATGGCCAAGCATGAGGACTGAACAGGAGATCCGATGACCGTATCCTGTCATATCTTATCATTAAACCGGAGGACGTATGCCTAACAGACAGATAATGAAAAAAGCCCGTATTCCTGGTATATAAAACGCCGCGACGTCAACAGACAATTCCCTTTTTTAGAACGCTTTTCTCCAATCCCCACACCCCAGCCTCCTTCATATTATACACAACCTGGGGCTCTCCTCTTCTCTTCTCCAGAACATAGGACATCATCAACATCATTGAATCACCCGAATCCCCCCGGAAAAAAAAGTCCGCCCCCCAGGAATCCTCCCCCTTCATCACCTCTTCTCCTCGACCCTCCACTCGTCCCCAAGCTTCCTCTGCGCCTGCTCGCCGAGGATGTCGCACCCGGCCCACCCCCACTTCTTCCGGAAGACCTGCCGCCCCGTCTCGGTCAGCATGTCCATGCCCTGCGCGATGCCGGCGGCGGGGTAGTAGAAGGGCTCGCCCTCGCCGCCCTGCTGGCCGAGCTGCCACGTGTTGCGGCCCCGCTCGCCGTGCTTGTAGTGGAACATGCTGTTGGCCACGTCGCGCAGCTTGTGGTAGTAGACCATGTTGGCGTCCTCGCCCTCGCCCTCGCGCTTGTCCTTGACTCCTCCTGCTCCTGCTCCGTCGGGCTTGTCATCCTTCTTTTCCTCCTCCGACGGCGGAGGAGGCGGCGGCGGGGGGTTCGGGTCGAGAAACTCGGGCACGACGGCCGGGTCGCGGTACAGCGCGCGCAGGTCCTTGAGCACGGTGTTGACGTCGGTCACGACGCCGGCCCTGGCCTCGCGCAGCGTCCAGCCGGCCATCTCGAGGCGCGAGTGCATGTCGCAGTCGGTCATGTAGTAGGGGATCAGCGTGTCCCAGCCGCCGACGTCCTCGTACGCGGCGCGGTTGACGAGCGCGAGGTGGTCGTAGGCGAAGAGCCGGATGCCCCAGCGCGGGTCCGCCGCCAGCGTCTCGTTGGCGGCGCGGCAGGCGGCCTCGTAGAGCGACCGGTAGCCCGGCTCGTCGTAGCGCGGGGTCACGCCCTCGAGGCCGTCCTCGTAGGGCAGGGCCAGCACGTCCATGTGCGACCAGAAGTAGTAGGTCCAGTTGCGGGCGTACGACATGGAGAGGTAGAGGTTCTGCAGCTGCGCAAAGTTGAGCAGCGCCGGCGTCTGGACGATGTTGACGCCGAGCTTGCCGAGGGCGGCGTGGTCGAGGAAGAAGGGGTTCTGCAGGCTGAGCTGGCGGCGCGTGTTGGCCTGCTGGACGCCCGTGTTCTCGACGACGTAGATCTGCGAGGGGGGCCAGCCCGAGGTGATGTACGAGACGACGGCCTGGAGGAGGACCGGGTAGGTGCGGGTGAAGCCGATGAGCAGCGGAGGCGCATACTCGAGGCCGTAGTCCTTGTGTAGGTTCTCGCGGGGGGCGTTCCACTTGGGTATCGGAGGCGGCGTCGAGGTCGCGAGCAGGGGGAAGGGGTCCTGCACGGGAGGGGGAGTGTATGTCGGCGTCGGCTTGTACTTCTTGGCATTGACATCGACTGTCGTCCCCTTGGGAGGATTGGTGTTGTTGATGACGTGCGACGCCGTCTCGGAGACCTTGGTCTTAACTGTGGTCAGGGCGGTGGAGCCGACGTCTGTGGCGAGGAAGGAGATGCAGAGGAAGACGGTGAGGGAGGCGAACAGCAGGATGAAGAGCTGCCGCCTTGGTGGTAGAAACAACATATTTGGATGATCTGAGGTATGCACTTTTCGAGTGTGTGATGCTGGAAAGGGGTGGTGTCGCGAAGATGGCGGTTCAGATGAGGCCTGTAGCCTTCATGAGGAAGGTGCGCGTGCAAACAAAGAGGACGCGAGGAAGGCGTGTGTATAGTGATGGCTAGGCTGTGAGTTCAGTTCAGCGCATCTTTTTCTTCTGAGATGTCAAGCTGCGCACAGATTGAGCCTCACTTTGCGCGCACTTGGACCGCTGGACCGCGGTACTATCCCGAGCCTGAGGTGACTTGGGTGAAGTTCTTTGAGGGGTTGCTGGCATAAGCCAGAAAGGGTGTATGGGCTGGGCTGACGGAACTGGAGGAAAAGGGGGTGGCAGCCACTGAAGAGGAAGAAAAAGGAAAAAAAGTGCACAATAAGGGAGTTGGCTGCGTCAAGCTGATGAAACGCTGGGGTCGAGCAAGTAAGATGAGAGATACGATGACCAAGGAGCCAATGATGGCTAGACAGGAGGTGGTACGGTACGATATGTCATCGTCCCAATGGGAACCCTGGGAGCCGGTGATTGTGCAGGCACACACATGTACGGCGTGGTGCCACCAACCGAATGCAGAACCACAGTGGCACGGTAGCCCAGATCCAGCTGCGTCTAATAAAAAGCAAACACGCGCCTGAAGGGAAGATGAAAATGTTGTCACCAAAACTACCTTGAGTTGACTGGACTGGCTGACCCCCATCGACTGGGCGGGAGGCAAATCCTCGGCCATCTTAGCCATACAAGCAGTGAAAACCACTTGCAACGGGCACCAGGAACAAGCGCGCTTCCCAACGTACGTTCCAGTCCCTGCTTCGACCGGCCTCGGATTCGGACAGCAAAACCCCATTGCAATTGTGGCGGTCTGGTTGGCTCAGGAAAAAAGAGCATTTCTAGTCTCATGTAGTCGTCATAAAATCTGGGACGGACTGCGCCTGGTGCCGCTTACCCGCTTTAGGGAGCATTATGTCCGAGCTGGCTACGGATGTCAAGTCTTACCCCATGTCTCCCACAGGAAACCAGCTCTCTCTCTCTCTCTCTCTCTTTTCTTCTTATTTCCTTCCCTTCCTAAATGCCACCAGCACCTGGCATGGCAGTCTGCGTCTGCCCGAGCAGAAGATGTCGAACACCGACATCTGTTGCCAAGCCGTCGGCCCGCTGCCGAAACAAACGGGAATCCTTCCAAGTCAATCTGCAGATTTACCTCGATCAGATCCCGGAGATGCTGCTGCACCCGTGCGTCTGGGGCATTCGCTAGGGCAAACACCGCGCGAGCTAGCGTAGCCCTGCCAGCAGGGATTCCGGAGCAACAGCCACAAGGTAATCCTGACCCTTGGGACCAAGCAGGCAGCAGTTTAATCGCTGTGCTGCGGAGTACAAGTAGATACTTCAGCAATCAAATGCCAACCAAGTAGATGGAGCGAGATGGCAGAGGTAGCCCGGACTCTCGCTCCCAAAGTTCATGATGATCGCATCGTCGTCGATGTATTTGCTGCTCGCTGCCGCTGTCGTTCGTGCCAACCTCTGTTCCTCAATGCTGGCACACACTGAATCTTCCATGCTTAACACAGCCTTGAACCGTCTTCCACACGGATCTACATGTAGGATGCCACCGCGATTCATAGCCCGAGATGCAATTCTCGCATGGCATCAATCATCCCCACAGCCACGGATTTAAAACATCTTATAAACAAACAGACGTTAGGTAGGTCCCATATCTTGGCATTCGTGACATGTCAAAACGGAAGTGCGGCTCCCCCTCTGACCATGCTGAATCAGGCAAGCGGCTACGCCACAGCAAGGCCAGATCCGGGAATATCGTTGGGCGCGACTCGCGCTCTTGTCCGCATCGGGCAAGACGCTCGCTCGTGATAACGGGGCCGCAAGGCTTACTTTTTCACACTATCAAATACGAAACAGACGCACTGCCCATTCTCGCGCAGTACTCTTACTCTGCTTCTGCATCACGAATTCGTGTCCCGGCTCTGAAGAGAGGCCAGTTTAGGGAAACGCAGCGCAGGCAAGATAGCTCGAGACTTCCGGGACTTCGTGCCGAGCACCCAGGCGGCTGGAAATAGCTACACTGACGTCACTATCTCCAGCCTCTGCCACGTGGGATGATCGACGCGCCAAACCTGTCAAGCTTCTGTTGAACAAAAAACCCGGCTCAGCCCCGATGGGAGGCACCTATGTCACATTGATGTCAACGAGAAGCTTGTGTCTGCTCCGAGTAGGAGGTCTAGCCGATCAACCATGAGGCACCCATCGCGGGGAAATGCACGAGACAAAACAAGAATTGGTTATATCCGACAGTTTGGGCAATTCTAGCCATACGAGGCTCGTTCTATTGATATGGAGATTTGACACATCCCAACAACAGAGTACAGTTTCAACTGCGCGATAGGTGTGATTATGCCCTAACCTATGCTAACCGGAAACGAAATCCAGCCCAGTCTTCCCGCTGCAAAATCTAACATGAAAGGGTATGCACCAGAATGCCATGCTGTTTGATGCCGAGGCTTGCAGACGACGAGAGAGAGAGAGAGAGAGAGAGAGAGACTAAGAGAGATATTGCCTGGGAAAGATGCAAGTTGCGCAGAAAGACCGGGAAAATTTGATGGCTCCTAGGTGGGATATGTAGCTGGGTATATACCTGGACGAGACCGAAATAGTGAAAGAACTCCCAAATAAATGCAGATGCGCGGAAAAAGCAATTCCCGAGGCAGACAGATTCCAAAACGTGAAATCGCTGGAAAAAGGATGCCTGTGAGTGACGGTTGTTGGACCAAAGTCTAGTATTGTGAGGTGGTCATGATGCACCACGGACGTAACCAGCCAGTGGAAATGGTGGTGCGCAGGCAGCTTCCGTAGAAGGGACGGGTTGGGGGGGTATCAAAAAAAGTCTATAAGCGCATCTCGACGCTCCACATCCAGGTGAGCGCTCGCGCGAGCGTTGCGTATCACATCATGCCTGCTTTGAGCAGGTCCTGTCGCTAAGAATGCTGTTGTCGAAAAAAGCAAAACCACGCTGCGGGACCAGAGCGCGCGATTGCGTGTAGAGTGTTGGGAAGGAAGAGAAGAGCGCGCTGTTCAGTGCTTCTTCTCTTCGTGGTGCGGCTTGTGGTGATGATGTTGGTGTTGGTGGTGGTGATGATGATGATGCGACTTCTTGTGGTGCTCGTGCGAAGACTTGTGATGCTGGTAGTGCGGGCGGTCCTGCGTCGGTCCTCGTTAGTACATGTGTGCGCATGTCCACAGATCTGCAGCGCGATCCCAGGAACTTACCCGTTGCCGGCCCCGCTGCTCCTCCTCCTCGTCGGCAAACTCGGGCAGCGACGGCGCGCCGTCGTCGCCGACGCTGTACCGCCTCCGGTCCTCCTCGTACCAGGTGCTCAGCGGCTTGCCGCCAAAGGTCAGGTCGTCGTCCTCGATCATGGTGGCCATCATCCAGGGCTGCGCCTGCAGCTGCAGCTCCATCTCGCGCGCCGGGTCGAGGGTCTGCATGTTGGGGAAGAGGTAGTAGTGCTGGTCCGGGTGGGACGTCTGTGGCTGGTGCGGCATCTTGGCGGTAGTATGGGTGGTGGTGGTGCTGCGCTTTCTCGTCGGCTGCGGTGGCGCTGGCGATCTAGTCGACGCAGCAGAGGTAGAAGTTCTCGTCGTCGGCGACCGGTAGGGCGAGCTCCTCGTGTAGGTGAAGCAGTGGTGGTGGTGGTGGTGCTGGGAGGAGAGCGGCGACGATGGTTGATTTTGTTGTTGTGGTGGTGGTGGATGGCAACGCGTCCTCTTGTCTGCCGGCGCGCTACTGCGGTGTAAGTCGTCGACGGCGGTATTGGTCGCCGGTGTGCTGGAATGCAGAGTTGGAGAGTTGGAGAATTTCCGTGACGTGCGATGGCTGTGGGTGCTCATGTCCTAGATAAACTCATGGAGCCAAAGGAGCAACGAGACACGCACACAAACAAACGAAACGAACACAACGCGCACGGGTTTGCTTGGTCTTGTTAAGCCAACAGACCCCAAACCAAACCGGGCGCGACGATCAATCGGCGGCGAGAGTCTGAGGTGTGTGTGTGTGGTGTGTGTCCGTGTTGTGTGAGGGTATGCAAGGTTTGGCGGCCACGCGGTAGTGTCGGCGGCCTGCTTTAAGGTTGGGTGGCTGTCCTTTATTGTTCAATTGACCCGAGGTGGCTGGACGGGTGGCCGGTGACCCGCGCGCGTCAAGCGTGGAGAGAGAGAGAGGAGAGCAAAAAGGTCTGGTGGAGAATGAGTTTGCCGGAAAACGCGGGGTTTACTGGCTGCCTCTCGTGCCTCTGCTGTACCGAAGATGGGGGGGTAGGACGGGAAAAACAAGACCAGGGCCAGGTGATGGTTCAATGGTCCACTGACTGAGAGGGGCGGGGGTTCTTCCTCGGGTCGCGGGGTAAATCAATAGCCAGGCGACGCTGTCTCGTGATTGGGGAACCCGGCACAATAAGTAGGCGGTAAGGCGGTCTGGCTTCCCCAAGACCGGTTTCGTGTGTCTCGGGCGTTGGACAAGAAGGGTATTGTGCCTTTGTTGTTTGTTATCTGTTCATGCAGACGATCGGCAGCGAGTAGGTAGCTAGGCAGATGCTTTCGTCGCCGTCAAAGTGTGCTGTTCGCAGCTTTCCCAGGCGTGCAATCAAGGAGTGTGTGCTTTAGACTTCTAGAATGAAAAATTCTTCGGACTGGGGCCTCGAAGCAAACGAAGAGGTATTTTAATACGGCTCGTTTGTTGGGCACTCGTGTCGTGGGAGAGTCAGCCCGAGATTTGCCTCAACTGATTCGTGTTGAAATGGTGACTCGTCTATGAGTGAGTAGGGGGAGGGAGTGTTGTGTGTCAGCGCACTCCCGGTGCAGCTCGGTCGGGGACCAATCGCCTGCAAGCGTCGGCACCAACGCGACCAATGCGGTGCGCTGAAAAAGAGGCCTAGGTAAGCGGTTTGCTTAGGTACCTTAGGTACCTAAATAGGTAGGCTGCGCAGGCGGGCGACTCCGAGGCAGGGCGAAGTTTGCGGGTCGAGTCGTCCAGTGCAAGTACTCAAGCGTTGCATGTGAATGTGAAGATCGATCTGGGCCAGCAGCTCTGTTGATCAGGGTCTCGTTCCTTGTGTAGTTACGGAGGAAGAGGAAAATGACGACAAGACGACGGCGGGCGGGTGCGGACAAGCACAAGTAGATATAATTTCAATCTACTTGCCTCTCAGTCTTACAAGGTACAAGCAATTCGAGAGCCCCCGGAATATCGGATCTTTTTCTTCTTCTCGCCTGTCGCCTCAAACTCGCTGCGGTGCGGGATGACAAGGAACCGGGGCGATGGGCGATGGTGGGAGGCGTCGAGGCGTGAGGGCCAAGGCCGAGTCCCCAATGCAAGTGCGCAACAATGACGCCGTCGATGGGGCTCAGGCGGAGGCGTCGCCCGCCTGGAACAAAAACCTGTAATGGGAAATCCCTACGAGCTGACAGGGCCCTATCCGACCCTCAGTTGCTTGCTGTGGGCTCGGGCTCCACTCTTCCAGCGCCACCAGAGCGATAGAGCCAAAGTTACTCGATGTTCTGGACCAGCAGTCCCGAACCGTCTCTCTGAACTACCTGAGCAGGCAGTTTTACTTCGCCCGGGATGCCTTGTGTGGATTGCCGACCTGGCTCTCTGGAGCCGGAGCCGACCGATAGGTGCAGGCTACTCGCGCGCGGTGAACAAAGCAGCCTTTGTCCTCTTTGAGACCGTTTCACCGGCCACCCAGTCCAAATGCTCTTCTTCTCTCTTTGTCGTTGAGCCACGACAAAGACGGACGGTGTGTGTGGACTAGTCTGCTGTCGTGTATCCCGCCTCACCGGCAGAGGCTCTGTACGGTTGATCGACGTGGGCAGGGCTTTTCCGACAACGGGTCCCCTACCAAGAGGAGCCAATCGCTGTGGCGTGAGCGCTTGGGCGGATCTCCTTGCCGGCAGCAGGGCCCTTGTCGATGATGTGACGTGCACTGGGGGTCCAGCGGGCGAGATTGAACGAGGGGTCCCTGTTTCCCGTCGCCGCTCTTGTCTCTCTCGTCAGCGGATGACGTTATTGATGCCAGTTATCGAGGCCGGTGATGGCACAAATGAGACGTTGCCTTACACTCCTTTCTCCAAGCACGACGAGGATCCCTGAAACTGGTCAGAAACCCCGAGAGTCCGTAGGAATTGCCGGATTTGGCGGAATGACGCTACAAGTAGAAGCTCGCTGGGGTCCTCTGCTTCCCCAAGCTTCCCGCCTGTCAGCGCAGAAATGGATGGCTTCTAGGCTTGGTCAGACCCTTGATTCCCGACGCTAAAAAGCCCTATCGTATCGTCACTCCGGTGCTGTGGGGACCCGGAATCTGGTGGGATTTCTTCAACGGACGGGGCGAGACCGGCACACAGCACTTGATGTTCAATGCCTGCTGCGCAACTGGACTGAAGGCGGCGGTTCGCGGTGGCGCTTTCCTTGTGTTACTGATGATGCAAATCTGCATGAACTGCGTCTGCAGTGATTGACAAAAGAGGGGCTTTTGTCTTGTTTCAATCGTCACGATAATCTTGCGGCGGAGGAGTTTTCCCTCGTTGCATGCAGTCAAGGTAGTCAATGTCTTGGGGGTCCTTGGTCCTTGTAAGTGGATGAGGACTGGGAAAAGTGCACGAGAGCCGATCACGAACAAGTTCGAAAAGGGATTGAGGCTATTGTTGCTATTCAAAGAGCATCGCTTCTTTATTATACCTCGATTCGGCACACTCTGATTCTGCCCGGCTGCCTGCCCGGCCGCCCAGCCCGGCAGGAGGCTCCCCGGCCAAATGCTACGTGTGGTTCTCCTACATGCCAACTGCGCGATCTTCTGCTCTGCAGGCTGCGGGGTGCCTGATGAAGGAGGAGGATTGGAGGAGGCAGTGGTGGTGGTGGGCATACAAGGTCAACCATAGGTACAAGTAGCTGACTTGCCATTCCCGCGACCGAATGAGAGCGGCTGGCTGAGGAGGACACCGAACAGCCAACCATCAGCCATCAGCCATCAATTTCGTTTCCCAAGCCCCGGATCGGCGCAGCCAGGTTGCCTATTCGGGACAGACACGTCGCTTCTCCTCTTTGCTACCGTGCTGTATCTACACTTTTGGGCAGCCTGGCCCGCTGGAATGCCTGTCTCGAATGGCCCAGACTGTGTGTAATCCGGGGACAATGTCAGGCCGCCAGTGGATTGATTACACGTAGAATTTGAATTTGACCACTTGTGTCTTTTTGTCTGCTTGTTCGACGTGACATGCGACACCTCTCTCACGCACATTTGTCGCCCAATGCTCCCCATCCCATCACCCCCGCCCTTTTGCCCCAGCCAATGAGGCTTTTTACGACGATGCAACTCTTTCTCCTCTTCTCCCCGTGATACCGATCGACCTGGGGTGGAGGGGTGACCTGCGCCGCATAGGGCTGGCTGACAGGCCGGTTTCGAACTGAGTCAGCCCAAGGGACAGCTCGCCCCGAGGGCGGTGAACAAGAACCTCGCGTGTGGCGGCGCTGACTGTGCTCCATTCGACCAACTGGGCAAACGAAGATATCACGGAGGTTTGCCTCTCGTGCCTCTCGTGCCTCTCGTCAGACTCAACTTGTCCTTCCCCGCCCTTTCTCGGCAGGTGCACCTGATGGGCTGGAATGGAATGATGGAGAGGGAGGACAATAAGCCCTCGCGATACGCAGAATCATTCTGTCATGGCGTACAACCAAACCAAACCCCTCCCTTTGAGATGTCGCCGCCCAGTCGCCGAAGGGCTCTGACCGCCTCCCGAGTCGAGATATCATATCTCTCAACAGCCGGGCTGCTGATCCCGTGGACGATCCCTTACCGTCGCAGGCCCGTCCGCGACTGTACCTAAAGTAAAGTAGGTAGAGTAGAGCGCCCACACCGCCTGCCTAAAGAGGTCACCCGCGCCGCCAGCTCCCTTGCTTCCTTTACCGCCTTCCTCCAGCGGTCATGCCGACACCCCAAGCACCCCAAGGCGGTCCTCGTGATCGCCTCTAGGCATGTACATGTACGATGAGGACTGAGCCGCAATATCACCAAAATAGCAGCAGCAATCTAAGTATCTGTAATTTGTCTTCAAGAAGTGTCCACTGCAGTCATCTTCCTGCTCGTCCCTGATATCCGACCGCCGACTTGAGAGAGAGACCCTTCACATGCTCACTACCTCCTCCCTCTTCCCCACCTGTGTCTCCGATCGCATCGTCAAACATCAGTGCTCCAAGACTCTCGGCACTCAATCGACCACCACTTGACCCGTTTTCAGTTCGAGCGCATCCGCGTTTCGATCTACTGAAGCGGGGGTTTCTGCCGCCCGGCGACTGAGAAACCTGCTTCTCAGCTTCTGAGCGCGTCCTGGCTGCCACACCTCGTTTCTGTCCAGTGTTTCTGGCCCCCACTGTTGCAGCCGTTAACCGACTAATCTGCAGGGTTGTTCCCGCTAAGGGTCCAGTAAAACCCCCCCCCCCGCACTTACCCCCCGAGCCCCCATGTTCTCCGCTACGTTACAAGCAAGAGGAGATCGTCCTCGGCAGGCCCAAAGCCCAGAGGCGATATGACAGCCCGCAAGACAGACGTCACTGAGCTGCCAAGATGATCCCTCTCGTGGACCATATGCACTGTCGAGACTGTCTATCTCGACGCCCAACATGACTGGAGTCTGATGGCTTGGGATGCGAGACACATGGCCAGCCGATCAGAGCGGAGTCGAGATCGGCGGGCTCGCTATCACGCTGCCGGTCCGGCTCCTCCAGAATCACACATCGGGAGATCAACAACGGCTCCGACGCATGTGCATGGTGATTAGCATGAAGATCGCTGAACAATTCCGCGCAGTACCTAATGGAGGCGAGGGAACAGCAATGCCTCATGAGTTGGACCGCAACATCAATAACCGCCAGGCGGATTTTGCTTGAGCCGCTCTTGTCGCCGTTGGCGCGCATCGCGTGGCTGCCTTCCGTCTTGCTGCCCAGGCGTTTTGTATTGCATTTCGCAGGCCTGACTCGAAGAATTTGCTCAAGACGCATCCATCATCGCACCGTACTTCACATGCTTGCTGATGGAGCTGCCTTCCGTGTCGCGCGGAGCGAGCCTGCAGGCCGAGTCGCGTGTCGCAGCCTCCCGAGTCTCGCCGCGAGCAAGAGCCCTAGCTAGTACTACTTTACATACTTATGTCAAGGCAGTGCTTGTCGAGAGGCCAGTGCCCCTTACATATTGAGAGAGAAACCTTACTACTGCCATGGAGGCTCACAAGGGCACAGTCTTCTGCCATTTCCCCGCATGAGAATCCATTCGCTGGCTCTAACCAATAAATACGCTGTTGTCCTGCACCGCTGACAGGTTGTCAAAGCAATGTCTGTTCCGACAATAAAAATATCAAATTCAGCTCATGGTACCTCATAGTACATGCTGCTTATCATTGAACTGCGTAGCAACCATCCGAGTCGGCAAAAAGCGCGGCGCGTGTGCTGCTATCTCTTCCTAGCGCCTACCTGGCAATTTCAGCCACACCCTCTTGGTCCACCAGCCTGAACGTACAGCTCGCAAAAGCAGATGCGACTTGCGGAGACACGTGCTTTGCTGGCTCCCAACACCATCGGCTGTCGGGGATTATGTAAACAGTGGTCATCCGTCTCCTCAACACTTGGACTTGCTGGTGAAAGAAATCCTGTTTTCTTGCGGGGCCCGTTGGTCGGCTCGGTGGGGCCGCGTTTGCCGCTCGGCGCCGGCGGCCCAATGGGAGCACCCACATTACCGGAGAAACCTCCGGGTGCTGGACCTGAGCAGTACGTCATTGTTTCGGGATGCGGGCTGTCGCAGCCCTTTCGATTCAAACGGCGAGAGATCGACATCGAAATTCACGTTAAAAGTACTTGTGAGGCGTTTGACGCGTAGAGTGAACCAACCAATATGCATGTAAGGAACAAGAGATGACGGTCCGATGATATGGCGACGTTGCCTCCTCACTATTAGGTTGATGGTCACGGGTAGAATCCACCAGTGGCATTTCCTCTGCTAGTCAGATTCACCGCGTCGAAAGGCCTGTCTGCATGCTTGACACCAGGTTTGAATAGGATGATCACCCTCTGCTTGTGGCTCGAATGAAATTAAAACGTCTGCTTGGCACTGAGTAGCCCCTAGGGAGTAACAGCGACTCGCGTTTTGCGTTTTGCGTGGCAATCTCATGCACGGCATACCTGCCTATGGTATATATGTGATATTGCCCTGGCTCGAAATATGTCTTCTGTAAAATGCTTTTCCTCATTTATCAAACAAAAAGATGGAAAGCGCAATGCTGAATGGTGTTCGTCGAAATGGTCTCTGACGTCATCCCAACGACAGTGTGCTTTCATCCGATTCCCAAACCCAACAATCGAGTACATCACCTACGTAGGAGAAAGATAGCTTAATGATACACTGTGACCCAACACCCAACCGAATTCGTATCTACTATCGTGAGAAATCACTTCACCTGTCTGTTTTCGCCTTGCGCAATTTGAAGCCTACACAGTGAGAACACCAAGCCTCATATCGCCAAAATGCCTGGCGAAGTGATAGATAGACCCAACCCTCCGCCCTTACCGTCTCATCTCCCAGATTATGTCTCGCAGCTCGCTGTGCAGCTTGAGAAGAAGCCACTATCTGCTCAAGACCGAGATGCGGTGCGCGACTTTCGCAGGGCGGCCTGCTACATCGCCGCTGGTGAGAGACCATGTGACAGAATGATATCCATTCGCGCCCGGAAGCTGACCTATACCCGCTAGCTATGATATTCTTGCGAGATAATGTCCTCTTAGATTCCGATCTATCCTTTGACGACATCAAACCACGACTGTTGGGTCAGTAGGATGTTGCGCTGAGCTGTGGATGATATGGAGGCACTAACAAGCGACCAGGCCATTGGGGGACCTGCCCGGGCTTGATCCTAGTATGGGCTCATCTCAACTTGATTATACGCAACCAGGACTTAGACATGCTCTATGTCATCGGTCCGGGCCATGGTGCACCGGCTGCTCTGGCTGCTCTCTGGTTGGAAGGGTCGCTTGAGAGGTTCTACCCTGGCGAGTATGCTCGCGACGAGCAGGGCCTCCGGAACCTGATCACAAGATTCTCGGTCCCAGGCGGATTCCCAAGGTATGTCGCGAGACGCTTCGGTGGCGAAAATATATGCTGATACGTGTGAGTAGCCACATCAATGCCGAGACACCAGGTGCAATCCACGAAGGCGGGGAGCTGGGCTACGCTCTGGCGGTCTCGTTTGGAGCTGTCATGGACAACCCCGATCTGATTGTCACCTGTGTTGTGGGTGATGGAGAGGCCGAGTCGGGTCCAACTGCTACGTAAGGACTACTAGAAAAGCCGTTTGCAGACATGAAGAGAGCTTGCTAATTCTTCTATTAGAGCGTGGCATGCAATCAAGTACCTCGATCCGAAGGAGTCAGGTGCCGTACTGCCCATACTTCACGTCAACGGCTTCAAGATCAGCGAGAGAACAATTTTCGGGTGTATGGATGACAAGGAGGTCATTGCACTGTTCAGTGGCTATGGCTATCAGGTCTGTATCGTCGAGGACCTTGATAACATTGATGACGACTTGTCCAGTTCGTTGGAGTGGGCTGTCGCCGAGATTCAAAAGATCCAGGGCGCGGCTCGCTCTGGTAAACCGATCGTGAAACCGAGATGGCCGATGATCGTGATGCGCACACCCAAAGGCTGGACGGGGCCGAAGGCGGTTGACGGACAGATCATAGAAGGGTCTTTCCGCTCCCACCAGGTGCCTCTGCCCAAGGCCAAGTCCGACAAGACCCAGCTGGCAGATCTGAAGGAGTGGCTATCTGGGTATGACATCGAAAGACTATTGCCCAACGGCAAGCCGATCGATACGATCCTCAAAACACTTCCTTCCAAGGACGGGAAGAAGCTTGGCCAGGTCAAAGTCTCCTATGACCCTTACAAGGCATTGAAACTCCCAGATTGGCGCCCTTTTGCCGTTTCCAAGGGGCAGGACAATAGCTGCATGAAGATTACTGGAAAGTTTCTCGACAAAGTCTTTCAGGAGAACCCTTCAAGCATCAGGCTCTTCTCCCCCGACGAGCTAGAGAGCAACAAGCTTGATGCAGTTCTCGACCACACCCAGCGCGACTTCCAGTGGGATGAGTACTCTCGTGCGAATGGTGGTCGCGTCATCGAGGTGCTATCCGAGCATTGCTGTCAGGGTTTCCTTCAGGGATACACCCTCACCGGCCGCACGGGAATCTTCCCGAGCTACGAGTCATTCTTAGGTATTGTTCACACCATGATGGTGCAGTATTCCAAATTCAGCAAGATTGCGCGCGACGTCAAATGGAGAGGCGACTTGAGCTCGATCAACTACATCGAGACCAGCACCTGGACACGACAGGAACACAATGGGTTTTCACACCAGAATCCTTCGTTCATTGGCGCGGTTCTCAATATCAAACCTTCAGCAGCCCGAGTAAGTCCCAGCTCTTGAAGGTTCTGATCAAACAGACTGACAAGACAGGTCTATCTCCCCCCCGATGCCAACTGCTTCCTCAGCACAGTGCATCACTGTCTCCGCTCTAAGAACTACGTCAATCTCATCATAGGCTCCAAGCAGCCCACCTCTGTCTACCTCTCGCCCGACCAGGCCGATGAGCACTGCCGCCTCGGAGCCAGCATCTGGCATTTTGCCTCCACCCCAGCTCCCAGCTCCTCCACACAGTCTCAAACAGAGGCAGCTCCTCCTCACCCGGGCCCCGACGTCGTGCTCGTCGGCATTGGCGTCGAGGTCACCTTCGAAGTCGTCAAGGCCGCCGAACTGCTGCGCTCCCTGTGCCCAGAGCTACGCGTGCGGGTGCTCAACGTCACGGACCTCATGGTCCTGTTGCCCGAGAGCAGCGGGCACCCACACGCGCTGAGCGATGCGCGCTTCCGCGAGCTCTTCACCGCCGACGCGCCGGTGCTGTTCAACTACCACGGCTACCCGGCGGAGCTGCGGGGTCTTCTGTTTGGCCGCGAGGGCACGGCGCGGATGGCGGTCAGGGGCTACATGGAGGAGGGCAGCACGACGACGCCGTTTGACATGCTGCTCGTCAATGTGGTCAGCCGTTTCGACGTGGCGAGATGGGCTGTGGGTGCCGGGGCGGAGAGGAATGATGAGGTTCGGGGAAGGGTTGAGGAGTTGGTAGGAGAGGTGGAGAGGATGAGGGAGGGTGTGAAGGGTTATATCTCCCGGGAGGGTAAAGGTATGTTGACTTGTTATACCTCTGTCTTGAGACTTTGAGGATGATGTACTGACAATTTGTGTATTTCAGATCCTGCGGATCTTTACAATACGCCCAAGTTTTGAGCACGAGATTTGAGATGTTGATACAACTCGCTCTTTAATTATCGATGAAGCGTTCGGGTCTGGCTCTGCCAGTAGATCTAATCACTGCGTGGTGCATTTGCTTGTATTGGACTTTGTCTGGTCCTTCCTGGACCAAACATAATTATCTATGTACATGGTTTCAATCTGGATTGGTTCTACTTCGAAGAAGGATAGGCTATAGTTGTAATAGTCTACTTGGCGTACATGTCCTCATGCTCCGATGGAGTGTACTTGGCCGGGGTGGGTACGCCAGCCAGTGCAGTGATGCGGATGAAGTGCCGGCGATGCTCCATGTTGTCCAGAACGGCCGAGTGGATGAGAACCCGCTGTATGAATGGTTAACTGGTGTTGTTCGATCATTTCAGAGCCACGGAATGCCGCTTACCTGGTCCCAGACACAGACGTCTCCCTCGCTCCACTTGTATCGTGCGTGGAAGTCCGCGCCTTTGGTGATGTGGTCGCTCAAGAATTTGAGCAGCATCTCGCTCTCCTCGTGACGTAGACCCTCGAAGTGCGTGATGCGCTCCGGATTGATGTACAAGGATTTATAGCCAGTGGCCTTGAAGCAGAAACGGTAGTTTTAGTCCCAGGCTATGATGTTACATTTTCAATGTTGTATGTAGTAGCAGACTTACCGGTTGCTCGTACACGACCGGGTGGACAGACTCAACCTGCTGCCTCCTGTTGGCACCGCCTACTCTAGCCGCCTTGGCGGCCATGACCTTGGAGGAGTGTACGGCCTTGAGACCACAGACGAATTGCTTCATCGCAGGGCTCAAGCGCTCGTACGCCTCGACGAGGGATCCGACGAGAGTATCGCCTCCAGACGGGGCGTCGCTCTGCATGCAGCAGAAGAACGTCATCCCTGGAGGCTGCCGCTCTTGGGACTGGTCGATATGCCAGATGGCTCTGCTCAGGCGGTTGGGCCACCAGTGCTTGCGCACTGTATTGACGTTGTCCTGATACACGACCGAGATCTCGGTCGAGCTGACGGGGCGAGGCTGGACGGCGTGCTGATGCAGCTGGCCGTAGTAGCGCACCATGTCCAGCTTCTTCTTCATGGAGATGTCGCGGAAGGTCTGTTTGACCTTGTCATCGCTCGCGAAGAAGACGATGCCCTTTTTGGCGGCGAGGAGGGCGAGCTGGTCTTGCCCGGCTTTGTCGAGAGATGCCAAGTCCAGGCCGGTCACACGAACACCGAGGTAGGGCGTGAGCTACCGTCGTTTGTTAGCAAGAGACTCTTTAGGCGCCTGAGCGCTTTGTAGCTTTTAGTACCTCTTCCACTTTGACGTGGTCATTGTAAAAGACAGGCATGGCGGGATCAGCATCCAGAGCCCTGTCATGGTAATCAAAGGGCTCCGGCTCTGGGAAGACGTCGTTGGGATCGTTGTATGGAGCATACTCGGGATACTTCATGCCATCAGTGTTGACCAGGGTGGTCTTGGCCTTGTCGACCGCAACGGCACCTTTGGCCTCGAATGTGGTGACAGAGGCCGGCTCCTGAGTAGTTGCACTTGGCGCCATAGTGATTGTGATAATACTCGCGTCAAAGCGGTGAATTGATTAGTAGACTTGAGATAGCGCTTCTGATGCACTTGTGATGTAGCCATCTTGGCTGATAGGATGCCCGGCTCCTGGTTATCTTTATGTACATGAATCCATTCATCGAACTTGGCGCAATTCCTGGCGGTGACAGTCTCGCTTCCCAGTGTGAGACTGTCGCTGTAAGTGCACATGCGACCATTCCTCGGCTTTTCAAAATCCACGGGTTCTTGAATTCCGGGCACTTGGCACGCTAATAGTCAAGCTGGTGTGGAGAACGCGGGACATTGTCACGACTACGAAGCCAGCAGCGTCTCTCCGCAAAGGCCCTTGACCACATAATTCCCCAGGAATCTGGAGATAATGCGGAGGACTTGCCCGAGATACCCTGGGAAGTATCCAATTGGACTCTTTAGGTTGTCAGCCACGGACTTGGCCTTTGGATAGGGCGGTCCTCGACGCCGCCAGCGGATTCGCGACCATGTCTAACCGACATGCCCATAAATGAGAGCATTTCCTCACGAGAGTCCTTGAGAGTTGGCTCGACATCGCGTATACCTACATCATCTGATCTGATCATCTATTTGTTTCCCTCGGAAACCCACGCTCGGCAACCTCACCATGGCGCCATCAGACACCATCATCGACGCACAGAGCGTTCAGAGTGCACATGCCTCGGAGAAACAGGCCGGATCCCCTCCCAAAGAGAAGGGTGACATTGCCCTGGGGCTGGCCAATGAGCTGGATGCGGGATATGAGCTTTCCCCAGCCTTGGAGCGCCGGGTGCTGCGCAAGATCGACTTCATCTTGCTACCGCTCATCTCATGCACGGCTGTCTTGTCCTTCTTGGACAAGGTGTCGAATAATTTTGCTAATAACGTGAGTCACTTCACTCTACTTGACCCTGTTACGAATGTCTGTTCCCTGACATGACATGCTACTGCTTCTTTCATAGTATGGCCTCTCGGTTGCTCTTGGGATGCGTGGCGACCAGTTCTCCTGGAGTGCCTCTATCTTCTACTTTGCCTTTCTTGTCTGGCAGCCGGCCGTTTCCTACATGACCCAACACTTTCCTCTTGGTAAAGTTGTCGCAGTAAGTGCAAACTCAACCCCCAGGGTGGCTTCAGTTGAACTGAACAATCGCCTGTAGGTCAATTGCGTCGGCTGGGGCCTCATGGTTCTGGGACAAGGCTTCGTCAAGAATTACGCAGGGTTTCTTGTCCTGCGATTCTTCCAGGGCCTTTTCGAAGCTTGCGTACTACCGACCTTCCAGATGATGTGCTCTATCTGGTGGACGCGAGAAGAACAATCCTTGCGTACCGCCTTCTGGTTCAACTCGCTTTCTGGTGTCCTCAGCGGCTTATTCGCTTATGCGATCGGTCAATGGCACGTTCAACCTGGGTTCAAACTCTACCAATACCTCTACATAACGTATGGCTCCTTCACATGCGGCTGGGGAATCATGCTCTTCTTCGCTCTGCCAGACTCACCTGTTACGGCGTGGTTTCTGAACCACGAGGAACGGCTCGCTGCCGTGGCTCGTGTCAGCAGGAACCAAACGGGCATGATCAATCGCGAATTCAAGAGGGAACAGGCTATCGAGGCGCTTCTGGACTTTAAGACGTGGTATTACGTCTTCTTTGCTTTTGTCTCAAATATTGTCAACGGTGGTCTAAACGCCTTCTCGACAGTTCTCATCAAAGGCTTCGGTTTCAGTGAGTTCTTCCACTCGTCTTCCGAGAATGTTCTTTGTATTACAGCAGCGGAATCAAGAGTTGCGTGTACTACATTCTTGTTGTCTTCGTTGACTGACGAGTTCCATCCAGGTGCTCTCGACACGACCCTTCTCTCAATGCCCCACGGCTTCATCTCCACTGCGGTCAATATCGTCATTGGTCTTTTCATTTCGTATACTTTGAACAATCGTCTGTTCTACATGTCCGCCATTATCCTGATCCCTATTGCGGGCACCGCTATTCAGTTTGCTCTTTTCGGTGGCGCACGAGGCCCTCGTCTGCTGGGATACTATCTCACCGGCGCGTACAACTCGCCTTACGTTATGCTTCTTGCCCTTATTGCCTCCAATACAGCTGGAACAACGAAGAAAGTCGTCGTCAGTGGCATGGTCTGGGTATCCTACTGTGTCGGAAACATTGTCGGGCCTTTCTTCTTCCGCGACGAGGACAAGCCGCTGTATCGAATGGGTGTTGGGATGATGCTCGGTAGCTTTGCTCTGCAAGCGTTTCTGTCCCTCGGGTTTCGTGGATATTTGATGTGGCTGAACAAGCAGAAGGACAGGGAGGCGGATGCGGTCCGGGATCAGGAGGAGGACAATGCCGCCCATGCTTTTGCAGACTTGACGGACAAGCAGGTATGCCGAGACATCCTGCCACCAATTTACCTGAAGGTTCAAATGCTGACATCACCGCAGAACAAGTCATTCCGGTACACCTATTAGTTTTCAAGTCTCAATGAATATGTAACTCTGGGGCTACGGAAGATTGAAGTATCTCTAGTCCTTGGCCGTCTTCCCCTTTTCGGGCAAGCACAAGATGAAGATTGCGGGAGTGAATGTAGTGGATTAGCCCTTTGTATAGGCATTTAGGAGCCTAAGTATCTATATGTAGCAGCCACTCACCATATGTAGCAGGATTCATGTTCGGACGAATCACACTCAATGCAACTACTTTGGACAAAGGTCTAGCAAAACTCTAGATCACTCGAAGCACTGGTTGACTTTCAGTTTTTTTTATACCTATAGACGGGGATTCGTCCTGGCGTAACTGTTCAAGTGCGCCAGCATTCATATAGTTTCAACGGTGCAGACGATGGGTAGGAGATAGATGATATATGCCATTAATGGAATTACTGGTAAGCCTTTGGAGTTCCTGGATCACTGTGCCAAACTCTAATCGAGTCAGCGTTGAAAACTACGTGCTCACGGCGCGTTTTTCAGCCTCTTTGACCGCGTTTGTTAACGCGTCTCTGAGACACCACGCATCCAGCCCAACTCCAACCATTTGGATCCCTCTAGCCATCATGTCCTTCACTCCGCCAGTAGAAGGCCGTATTCTCCCGCCTTGCCATTTGTTTGCCATTTTGGCCGCGGCAGATATTTGACGTATCGCATCGGCAACCTCACTTGGAGGATTGTTGGGTGTAAGTTCGTATCCCATGCTGAGGCATAAGTCTGTCTCGCCCGTTGAAATGACATCTAGCCGCTTGTGAGCCCTCTAGCATACGAAAACGAAGTGAGAGCACTAGTTTGGCACGGCTGACGTACCAATTCCTGCAGTGTTGATGATAGCCTCGAAATTCTCAAACCCTTGTCGCGTCTCAATCATGACTCCCACAATGATCTCTTTGTTTGCCTTGCGCCGGTACTCCTCATCTGAGGCCCAGCCAAAAGCGTCACGCGAGTACGTCGAACCGAATCCGCGGGTGCCTTCAGGGGGGAAACGCGCCGCACTTGCGATGGCGGCAGCTTCATCCTGTACATATTAAAGCAAATCAATTACTATTCACATTTTGTCACTTTTCATATATGTCCGCTCGCATCCTCAGAGTCTTCTGTGGGTCGACACCAGACCACCGTCCTGTACTTACAGCTGTCGACACCATTGGAACGAAGATACCATGAGCCCCTGCATCAAGAGCTCTTTTGATGAGCCATGGCTCGCCTGACGGTAGTCTGACGATCGGGGATACGCCAAAAGGCGCGATTGCTTGTATGGCGGTGTGCATCTCCGTATCAGAAAGACCGCCGTGTTCCAGGTCGATCATCACGTACTTAAAGGTAGACAATCAGAAACCCCCATCTTTCTCAGTTGAAGCCTGTTTTGGTGCGTGCAACTCACAGTCAGACCGGGAACACCTGCCACCACACGAGCTACATGAGCGGATGGCATAACCATTTGCACTCCTAAGGCGTACCGCCCACCCTGTAGAGCTCTCCGTAATGGACTTCCATCGATCTTGATAGGCATAGTGCTGGTAAAGGGCAGGAGATAATGGCCACGCACTATTAGGAATTGAGTGTTTGTTCTTGCTTCAGCTCTGGCTTACAAAATACGAAAACGATCGTTTGTGGAACCAGATCGTGTCAACTACATGTAGTAAGATCAAAGAGCATTCATCAAGCTTTGGCTATCAACACGAGCATTCCTAATCTTGGCATACATGGGAGAGATGTGATTAGGGTGGTGAATTATTGGCGTTTAGTTACCAGACGAGTGTGGGTCTGGACCGGGTTTTGAAATCCCGTGGAAAGACAACATGCCTCGCCAACACCGAGCTTGCGGGTAAAGATCACTCTGTGTCTCTTCATCACTAGATAACAGCCCCCCTGAATTTGGTCCCGGAGTGCATTCCCGCAGAAGTTTGGAGTGTATTGACTAGGGCACTCACTCCGCTACAACGGACTGCTCCCCTTGACCGAAGCTCCCTGGCAATCTGGTCTCGCCGAGCAGCTAAGTTTGCTGGGTGCTCTTGGCTGCCTTGCTCACTCAGCTCAGAGCTCGTATCGGGACTGGCCAAGTAGAATAACGTGACGGCTATATCAGGGGCCTTTGATCATATAGCTCATTGTTGAATTGGAGGAAAACATGCGACTAACTCGTTGAAGCTTGTAAATTTGATCCAGGGGAAGGTGTTTCATTTTCTGAACTGTTCACATCCGGTATCGATTCGTATTGGAAGGGTTCCCTGCCCACCCAGCGGGCCATGCGTCACCGGCCGCATCATTGAAATGATTGGCCCAGGCGTCGGGCGCCATGCCATTGTTGCCCAGTAGCATCTCCAGCAGTGACTGATCCTCAATCGGGAAGAAATTCGGGGTGTATGAGATGCAGTCGTCATTCCACGTGGAGCCTGAAACAGGGGGCGACATCCACCTAGCATCACCCATCTCCATGTCTGGAAGCAGAACTGTATGCTGAGCTATTGCGATTTGATGATCGGCAGGCTGAACATCAATGCTTGAGAGTCAGTCTTGAATCCGGTCTTGCTCTAGAATACATCACTATAAGCAGATTGACAAACTCACCGGGCCTGCTTGGAAAGTCGACGGGCTTGTCGTTGCAGCTGGTGCCCTTGCAGAAGATCCGGAATGTACAGCCGTTTCTTGATGCTGATGCGGTGGAGGTGCCCAGCCCAGCCTTTCAAGCTGCTGGGCTACATTCGGATCCCTTTGTAAAATTTCTTGAATGTCAATAGCACTGGTTGGGGCTTTCTGACGCCCTCCTAAACCAATTACCTTCTTTGAGGTTCCCAGACAGTCATGCAAGAGGCGCTGTAGAACGTCACCGCTCTGCAAAGCGCACTTCCAAGTTTCTCCGATAGAATGTAAAACAGAGATGCAGTCCTGGACCAACGTGATTTTGCCGTTGTCACAATCAATGTTGTTCGCTGCCCCAAGGAGATGGATTGTTCCCGCTGTGAATGTGAACTGAGTCAAGGAGACCGGAGCATAGCGTAGCCCGTAGGCTTGGTCAAATAGCTGCCTTCAACCGTCAGCCACCTGGATTTAAATGTCAAACGAGAGTCCGATCTGTCTGATATTCGAGCCTCAACCGTGACTTAGGGGCTTAGATGGAAGAAACGAACCTGGGCCAGTCGCAAGACTTTGGTACTAGAGAGGAAGATAAGTCACTCAATAGGTAGTTCTTGGCCGTCATAGCTTATTTAGAGATCCATAACTCACGCTGCTTGATTGCATCTCTCGGTTGCAGTGACACTGGGGGTAGTGCTTTCACTGTCTCTCGCCGAGCGTGGCCTGCGCGGTGTCGCAATATCGCAATAGTCAGGACGATTGAGGAGAATCACCGCAAAGTGAAACATCATATTCAGGGTCAGAACATGAGGCAGAACTGTTGTTGTACCCTGCCCGCTGCGGAACATTGAAGGACTGACGCGTAGCGGATCGGGCAGTTCTGCATTCCACTTCTCGAGCAAGGCGCTATACAGGCAAAGCATTCGGTATCAGAACCCCCTGGCTTGGGGCCTCAATCACACGGGCCACGTACCTCAGTTCATATCTGGCATTACGCCCACTCTCTGAATGCGCATCTCGTCGGGTGGAATAGCTTGCGCGAGTATTAGTCTTAGCTGGTGAGCTACACAAAACCATAGAAACTCACATGTTAGTCAGAATGAGCTCGATGATCCTGGCTAATTTGGTGGTCCAAGTGAATGTCGAGGCAATCCAACAGCTGGGATGCGCGTCAGAGGGGGTGCTTTCCAAGCCAATGACCCATGGCCTGGCATCCTCCTCGGCGTCGATGGTGGGAGATGGCATACGCCAGTGGCATAGATTAGGGGCAGGGGCCCTCCCAACATACGTAGACCATAATTTGTCTTGTATGAACGCAGTGTGGTAGACACGGTCGCGCCAGCGCTTTGTGCTAAGAGAGATGAGACCTCTCTCAACCCAGGTGGAGGCATCAATCCCCAAGCCGACTAGAAATTGGGTCACAAGTTAGCTGGGGTTGTCTCATTACCGAGAAATCAAGAGACCCTTACGTATCCTCGTGAGCCTAAGCCCATTACCTGAATACACATAGCCCAAGCTTTGTCTTGCATGTCCAGCGTGATGAGTTCCCAAAAGCATCATGCCAACCACCGAGCTTAGTCGAGCGGATTCAATCTCCTCCTCGAACATGGTGACGGCCTTTCGGGCGAGAGAGTCTGCGATGCTCTTTCGGTCTGGGTAGGAGAGATTCCCCAGATACATGACCCCAATGGCAAGAACTGCCAGATGGAGGAGCGGGCTATAATTGGCGGTGCGAAGGCTGCGCTTCACGATCGAACTTGTATTCGATATATCGATAGTGCCCAAGTCATTCCTGAACTCTCTTTCATCAACCCACCAGCACCAGGGGTTGAAGAATGTGAAGAACATCTGAAGGGCTTCTCGATGCATTGCATCATCGAAAACACTCGGTATCCCTTCGAGGCCCGAACTATGTTCAAGATTATGAATGTCTGTATCGGCGGACAACGGAAGAAATTGGCTCGAGTTGGAGTGAAGCCCATCTGGCGCATTGAGATGCTTGAACATTGATGTCGGGCCATACTCTCGTACTTCTCCAGTCGTGTTATCGATCTAGAAAAAGTTAGCATCAGAGTAAAGATTGAGATCAAAGTTCCATGTAGATATAAATCATCAAAGGACACACAACCAGCATACCTGCAATCGCTCAACAGGTTGTGACGTCGCAGCTACTGTCTGCAGGAACTCGTGCTCTGGAGACGAAACGGCGGATTGATTCGGATGGCGATGCGGCATTGTTTCTTCACCTAGTTCGGTGTCTTCTGGTCCTCTCATCTGCTCTACTCCTGTATTGAAGTCTCCCAATTTACGCTCCATCCAGGCAACGCGGTCCTCAAGGGCAGCGACATAGGCTTTGGACACCGGTCGTCGTCTGTCGCGGGCAGTATCGTAGACGCATTCGTCGTTGTAAGTCACACACGGTGCTATTCAAACCCTTCATATAAACAGATGCCAAGCATGGGTTGTATTGAGCATCACTTACCACATGTTGGGCGCTCACCGTCGCATCTTGTCTTCCTGGTGAGAACTTGTAAGCCTCATCACGTGTGAAGATGCCGAGTGTATCTCAGCGATTCAGTACCGGGCATAAAGAAAAATAAAGAGGCAGGCCGTATTGCAAAGATCCTACCTTCGTCGACAAGAGTTGCATGCCCTAGTGACGTGTTTGATTTTCCGGGTGTTGGTCGAAGCACTGGCCTGCTCGGAATCTCCAATTCCGGGCGAGACGGTATTTGTCGTTGCTCGTTGACTACGGTGCCTCATTATGCGCCACTGATAGGAAATCCAATATCGTCACCTAAGTTCATAAACAGACGCATAGATATCCTCTCCGGCGTGGCAGTGTTAAAGAGGGTTGGGTAAGTCACTAAGTCCATTTCGTGCTCGAACCCTCAAGAAGTATCCGAAGCTTGTTCCTTGTTAAGCACGTGACAGCCCCCTTAGACTCGATTTCCTTCCAGACTATCCTCATAACGGCCTAAGTGTCCTTTGCTACAAACGAAAAGATATTGGTCTTGTCTTGGCATTGGTCATTCTGTTGTTATGATCAAGAGAAATGCGTCTTGTCCCTTAGCGAGAACTCAGCCCTAGTATCTCCATAGGGTAAGTTAGGTAATAACTTAATTATTATATGTACATATAATACTCATCAAGCAGTAATGATTCACTAATAGATTACTTGAAGGTATTACTCTAATTTACTTATAGTAGAATACTTTTCAGATGTTTGAAGCCCTCGTTCCGGGCTGTAAGACCAAAGATCTATAACCCATGCTCCATACCCAAGTCCCGACTGGGTGTTGCACTAAATCCCCAGCTCAACCAGTTCGCCTCTCCGACCCAAAGTAGCTATTGACTCCGACCGGGCCCGGTTTAGCGTACGGAATCCTGGCTTCGCCTCATTCCATGTCTGCAGTGCCCTCAATGGCTATAACTTGACGGTTGATGTGGGTTGGGGTTCATTTTAGACATGCCGCCAATCTTCCGACATCCTAAACTCTACGCAATGATGGCGAACTTCTCCAGATTCAAAGTCTCATGTCTCGCAAATTCAACTACTAGGACTTTCGGGAGAGGTTCCAAGACCTTTGAATATCGTGGACATCTGCTTACACGCACTTACGCGACAGCTACAAAGGTACGCATCTGCAGCCTTGATCATTTCGTGGTGCAAACTGCCGAGTCTCGTGCCCGTAAATGGCATTACTGCAACCCCGCCTCATCTCATGTGTATTTTCGAGTTGGTGTCTGACCTTAGCTGAAGGAGCACGTTCACGACGAGACTTATGATGTAGTAGTGGTAGGATCAGGCGCCGCCGGCCTCACGGCAGCCTTTGTGGCAGCCTTCGGTACAAATCTCCGTGTTCTAGTTGCAGAAAAGACGAAGTATTATGGGGGCACGACGGCGTACTCGGGCGGCGGACTCTGGATCCCTGGAAACCCCAAGATGGCAGAGCTTGGGATGTCCGACTCTCGCGACCGTATAGAAACCTACATCCGCCAAATCTTGGGCGACGATGCTTATCAGGAGGATTTGATTTCCCCTTTCCTTGACTCAGGACCAAAGATGGTCAAGTGGATGGAAGAGAACTCCGCGGTTCGGTTCGTGGGTGTGCCAGCACCAGATTATCACATGGACCGCGAAGGCTCGGCTTTTGGACGCACCATGATGACAGAGCCGTATGACGGCCGGAGGCTTGGGTCGTCCTTGGTCAAGCAAGTTCGATACCCGCTCCAAGGCATGTGCGCCTTCGGGTCTATGCAGACAGACTTGAGCAAGGTCGACACGTGGAAGAGACCGTTTGGGAGCTGGGAGAATTTCACTTTCTGCTCCAAGAGTCTCGCGAGGTATGCTCTCGACCAGCTACGATTCGGAAAGGGCGCAGCTTTGTACAACGGCAATGCTTTGATCGGCCGGTTGCTGGAGTCGGTGAGACGTGAGGGAGTGGACTTGTGGAATAACGCCGCTGCACTCGAACCATTGGGAGCTAGCGGGCGTATCGAGGGCCTCGTCATCCGCAAGGACAACACCGACATACGAGTCAGGGCGACCAAGGCCGTGGTGTTGGCCACTGGGGGCTTCGGCCGGTCAGTGGAGTGGAGTCGACGGTTACTGCCTAATGCCGACTGGTCCGCGTCTCCTCGCGGCAACCAGGGAGATGGTCTTCGCATCGGCGCCACCGTGGGTGGGAATCTCCCTCCGTCTAACGGGGACAACGCGCTGTGGTCGCCGATTTCTCAGTACGTCCCTAGAAAGGGACCAGTTCGCGCTTTCCCGCATCTCGCCCTGGATCGCTCCAAACCAGGCTGCATTATCGTGGATGGAGATGGTCGTCGATTCGCCAACGAATCCGCGCCCTATCAGCCATTCGGGCACGCAACACACGCCGCGGGAGTTCGCAAGGAGTTTCTGATCGGTGACAGGAAGTTTCTTCGGACATATGGTATGGGAATGGCTCTGCCTGCACCATACCCTATCGGCCACCTACTACGGAAGAATTACATTTTGCAAGCGCCAACTATTCCAAAACTTGCCAAACGACTTGGTATTGACCCGGCTCAGTTGTCGAGCACGGTCAACCGCTTCAACCAGTTTGCCCAACAAGGTAAAGACGAGGACTTCCATCGTGGAGAAGCCATATATGACCAAGGGTATGGCGATCCAAACGTCCAGCCTAACCCTTGTCTTGCGCCCTTAGCCAAACCACCCTTCTACGCATTACCGTTGTACCCTGGGAACGTATCGACTCTATACGGCTTGGAAACGAACGGCAACGCTCAGGTTCTTGATTCCACCGGGAAGGCAATTCAGGGGCTGTACGCAGTTGGTGCCGATCAAAACTCCATAATGAAAGGGTTCTATCCCGGGGGCGGTTCTACGCTAGGACCTGGAATGGTTTTTGGTTATCGGGCTGGTCTGCATTTGTCTGGTAGGCTTTGAATCGTATTGAAAGCGGGCCTTGTATTCCTGTTGTATTTACATATTGGAATTTCGCGTCCAATTAATCAGGTTGAATACCTAGGTAGTGTTCTGCTTATTACTGAAAAGCAGTGGACGAGCCTAACTAAAATTCCAACTAGCAAACGCCCATTGGCCACGTTTCTTTCAAGGAGCCTACAACTCGATTACAGCACTGCTGCCACCGGGAATCGCCTGTCTGTCCCTGTTCAAGGCCTTTGCCTGGACGTACCGCGTCTTCTTCTTCACTGCAATAGATGTTTCGAAGCCATCTTTTGGCGCGACCAGATCCAGCTGAAGACTGTCAGACAACTCGCCGTCCGCCGCCGTGTAGATAGCCCAGTGGGACACCTCAGTGGCTCCGTTCCAACTGACGTAGAGCACTCCATCCTCCACCACGGCAGCCGGAGGCCATGCTGGGTACGCCATCCAGTCGCCCTTGAACACACGATAGTTAGCATTGGTGAAATCATTCTCATTCGCGGGCCACGGCGCAAACTGCACGTCGAAGACGCACTCGCCAGTATCGCTGTGGTACTCCGTAATGGCCGGGTTGAGACCCCAGCCGACGAGCACGTTGCCGTTGTCCAGCACGCCGTAGCTGCCCATGGCGTCGGACACGAGGCCTATTGGGTATCGGTACTCGCGTTCCACCCGTGCTGTCACGGCCTCGAAGTCGAGGTCGAGGAGCAGGCCGCGAGAACAGCTGACACCCGTGCATCCGATCTGGTTATTGTCACCTTGGTTGTCGAAGAGGCTGAGCAGACGAAGGTCGGCGGAACGGAACCGCGCGTCGTGCTGCCAGGCAAAGTTTGTGGCATTGCCGCCCGACAGGTCAGCGAACTGGTTTGCCTTGCCACCGAGTGCCCAGATAGTGGCGCCCGTCGTGCCGTTGTGCAATGAGACTGTGCTCAGGTGGCGGAAGCTGACAAGGTAGTTGCCATCAGCCGTCTGGACAGGTCAGTCTGAAAATCAAGAACTCTGGTCTGTCTCCGACGACAACATACCTTTTCGACACTGTTTAAGTGAGACCAATCCCAACCAGTTGCGCCGCTCGTGGTGATGACCTCGTACGGGACGTGGCTGTCAGTGATAACGAAATGATCGATCGCGGCCCACGTGAAAAGCAACTCGTTGGTGACCGGGTCGATTTCCTGGAATAAGCTGTCGATCAGGAGCCCATCTGCAGGGCCGCCAACTGGCCTCGCGTCAATGGGCCTAGCCGCATAGATGCTGATAAGAACAGTGTTGTCTTGGGTCACTTGACACTCGTGAATGTCGAGCACGACCTCCGGAGCTAGGCCTACCGGGTTGACATCGTAAACCAGCTCGTACTGCTGGTTGTAAAAGCCACACCCACGACTGCTGTTGCCGCCAACATTGGGTCCTCGCCAGTAGGTGAGATACGTCTCGTCATTCAACTTCTGCGTGCGAACATTGGCGGTGGTGCTGCCGACAGATCCGTCGGCCGCCGCTGGCTCGGCGTAGACAAGGCTCAAGTCTGAGCTCTGAAAGATATAAGTTGCTGGGGGCGAGTCGCCAATAGCTGCCAGTGTGCTCATGAAGATGTAGGGAGCCCGGTCGACAGCCGTCTTGTCCCATGTTGTGACCTGAAATAGCGGCGCCACCATGGGCGAAGATTTGTAGGTCTGATTCGGCGATCGACCATAAGTAAATGAATTATATGCTACATAGTCGTTGACTACGTTCGTATTTTGCAAACCTGTCACGAGAGCCGTGAGGATAGGCAGGATGGGGATATAGCTCGTTCTCATTTTGCTGAAGCTATCGGCACTCAAAGTTGCTACTAGCGGATCACTTCAGGGACTATATCTTTCGTCTTGTACAATTCATTTGGAACCTCGTATACGATGTTCTATAACGAGATTCGGTACAATCCTAAGCCTACTTGAGATGCGCTTATCAACTAACCTGTCTAGTCACCGCATCCCCTTCCACACGTCGAGCTACACATGGATGCTTTAGTGATAGCTTGGTCGTTAGCTTGTCGTGGAAGAATAGATCCAACAACCCCTGCGTCATATCTGGCACTTGGACTGGATTGAACAGACTCTCGCACTCTCCTCGGTATCGTAGAGTGACTTGTTGTCATATCATGGCGTTTGCTGGTCACCGAACCTGCTCCGGTGTGAGGGGGTTATGGTGCGCTTACTCTTCCCACTGACCAAGGATGCCAAGCTCGCTTCATGCGGTCAGACTTGCGGCAGAGCTGGCACCTGCCTATCTTGAGAATCTTCCTTCGATCTTACGTGTGTTGACCTGCACACCCTGAGGAACGAAAACTTGGTTATAGCAAAGAAACGCGTAAATGCAGTACGCAGTTCCACTCACTCTTTCTTTGCCTAAAAGATCGAGCTTATGTCCGAATCCATAGGCACACCCCAGCCCCACCTGGATATGCAGTGGCCTTGAATGATGCTGGTCTTGTTGTCCTCCTGCCGTTTTAAGGTTCTGAGGAAACTCCTCGGAACCGATCCTAGCACTACAAGCCCCCCCCCCCCGGCTCCAGGAGCCTTGATCGAAGAACCCTGTCATATCTGCTCATTAGATTCACACCCACCTCATCCCTACTCAAAGATTGAGCCTCGTTGCTTCGTATGCCAAAATGACGAAACGGCCGAGACAGAAAGTCTGGGCATCTCATAGAAACAAGAGTCTACGATTGCTTACCTCATCCTTTCACAGGTCGTGAATGTACATATTGGTACGGCCTGCAAGTTGGTGTTGTTGTTATCGATAGCCACGATGACAGACTCTTGTCCAGTGATTGACACATACTCCAACATGGCCCAATCGACCGATCCCTCTGATCCGCCACCGGCGCTACACCCAACGCTGGAACCCTCGACTCGACGAATGATAGCTGGGGATCACTCTAGATTAGTTGCGTCCCTACCCCTACCTACTCCTCCTTCATCGTCGTCGTCATCATCGTCAAAGGATAGATCACGGCCTTCGCAACATCACTTCAGTACGGAGAGTAAGCAATTCACAGGTGCAGCACTCAAGAAGTTGGCTACGCCGAGTCCTGATTCCGTCATCCTCCCGCTCGGTGCGGGACGACCCAGCCCGGAATTGTTCCCTTGGGACTGTACTTCTATCAAACCAAGTCCATCAGCCGAAAAGAATCGCTTTGTTCTGAAAGATGCGGTTGACTATGACCTTTCCTCGGTGCTTGACTACGGATATGCTGAAGGGTCACCACAACTACTCCGATTCATGAGGGAACATGTGAAGATATTTCACAGCCCGCCTTATGCCGACTGGACCACTTGCCTTTCCAGTGGATCAACCTCTGCTCTAGAGATTGCCCTGCGGATCTTCTGCAACCGTGGAGATGCCGTTCTAACAGAGCATCACACCTACCCGGGCTTCAAAGAGGTGGCAGGCCTCATGGGGCTTGCAATGCATGGTGTGGCCATGGACACTGAGGGCATCAGGCCGGACTCGCTCCGTACGATGCTGCAGAACTGGGACAAAAAGCTGCACCGAACAGAGAGGCCTTCCGTCTTGTACACCATACCTTCAGGACAGAACCCTACCGGTGTCACGCAAACGCACAAACGAAAGCAGGAGATATATGAGGTTGCAGAACAATTCGACCTCATTATCATCGAGGATGACCCATATTATTTCATTCAACTCGAGACGTCTACCGCAGCAACTGCTCCTCCGTCAAGAGACAATGTTGCCAACGGCCACATCCCTACGGTGAGCAGTTCGGCGGAGACATATTTCACCAAAAATTTAATCCCATCATACCTTTCGCTAGACAAGTCAGGGCGAGTCGTTCGGCTTGATTCAGCTTCAAAGATTCTAGCGCCGGGCCTCCGCATCGGCTGGGTTACAGCTAATGAGAGCGTCATCGACAAATTTGCGTCCTACCATGAAGTCTGTACGGCTTTCCCCAGTGGGCCGTCACAGCTGATGGTCTTTAATCAGCTCTGTGAGAATTGGGGGGCCCATGGTTTCGTCAATTGGCTAGCTAGCCTTTCAATGCGATATCAAAAGCGGCGGGACATCCTACTGCAGGCATGCCAGGACCATCTGCCCCAAGACATCTGCACCTGGGATATACCTACCAGGGGCATGTTTGTCTGGATCAGGGTCGACCTGAGCAGCCACCCTGATCTCGTCTCAGGCACGGAGCTCACGCCGCTTGAGAGCTCTAACATAGATGGCAGGATCATGACACGTGCCTTCGAGAATGGCGTACAGGTGACCAACGGGTCTCTGTTCGAGGCCGGCACCCCATTTCCGTCCCAAAATGACCAGCGAGCAGTCTTCTTTCGCCTCACATTCGCAGCTGCCACCGATAAGGAATTGGTAAGCGGCGTGCAGCTTTTTGCCAAAGCCGTCCAAGATGAGTTCATGTAGAGCGGACCGGAGTGTTAAAAGGAGCTGGTTATGTGTGAATCTCCACAAGAGGTCATAGTTTAGTTTGGACCAGGAAACAGTTTAAGCCCTTTCCCCTGCATGAGCGTGGTTCATGTGTACATAAATAAATACAGCACAATGGTGATACTGAACTTAAACAAGATCTTCCTGTTTAGCATGTTCTTCTGTCTAGCGAGATTGACATACTCTCTATTTCACTGGTGTTGTCAAGATCTGTTGATGTACAGATAGCATAGTTTTGCTGCCTCTGCGCCCGGTTGTCATATCCTGGCAAACCTGCCAAGTATCATGTGGGATGAGCGTTGAGGGATTTCAAACAGGGCGTTGACTGTGGCTCTCAAGAGCCTGCTGCTCCACGAGCTCGAAATAGCGACCTTTGTTACGCATCAGCTCGTGGTGCGTGCCGCTCTCTATGATATGACCCTGATCGATGACGAAGATGACATCTGCTTTCTGAATCGTGCTAAGACGGTGGGCCACTGCGATAGTAGTTCGTCCACGAGCGGCAGCATCTAAAGCTGATTGCACAACCCTTTCAGATTCCGAGTCCAGGGCTGAGGTTGCTTCGTCCAACAGCAATATTTTTGGATTTCTGATCAGCGCACGAGCGATAGCGATTCGCTGCTTTTGCCCTCCGGATACCATAGTCCCCTTCGGACCGACCAGAGTATTTAGACCATTTCTAAAGCTTGCGGTTACTACACAATTCTTTTAATGTTGGGTAAGACGGGACGGGAGTATTAGACATACGGAAGTGAAAGTACCAGGTCATATATGTCTGCGTCTTTACAAACCTTGACAATGGCCTCCTCGCTGATGTTCGGGTCGTTGGTCCCCATTAGGATATTTTCACGGATTGTGCCCTGATAAAGTGTGGGTTCTTGGCTAACCAGTGCAATATGGCGCCGATACGAATGGATATCGAGCGAGGACACATCCTTGCCGTCTACATAGATGCAGCCAGAGAGCACATCGTAGAAGCGCTCCAGCAGCGCTATCGTGGTACTCTTGCCGCAGCCGCTTGCACCCACCAGCGCCGCGTACTGTCCAGGTCTCACAGTAAAACTTAGATCTGACACGACATCCCGCGTGGGCCGTGTTGGGTATCGGAAGCAGACGTGGCGAAACTCGATGCAGCCCTCTACCGTCTCCAACTTTGCCGCTCCACCACCGCGTACTCCTCCGTCTGCGGCGGTCTTGCGATGCAAGAGCTTCTTGAACTCGGCCGCCGCATTTTTGGCCTTGGCCATATCCGGCGAGTTGGCAAAGATGCTCGATGCAGAGTTCACACTGAAAACAATCTGTGTAAAGCAGACAAAGAACTGGAAGATGCTGTACTCATGCTTGCCCAGCAAGGTGCCGCCGTACCAGAAGGCCAGGGCAGTGCACAGGTAGTAGATACCCTGTGATAATGCGTAGAAGAGGGTCGACTTGAGCGAGGGCTTGACGGCAGCGCGCATCTGGTGTAACAGCTGGCGGTGGTAAGCGGCTAGTACAACATCCTCCTTACCTAAGGAGGCGATGGTACGGACAGCCATGATGGCTTCGCACGCGTAGCTGGTCGACGCCTCATACGCCTTTTGCGCGCGGGCCTGGAAGTCGGCCAGCATGGCAACGCGCCAGAAGCCACAGCCCATGACGAGTGGCACGACGGCGATGCATACCAGCGACAGCTTCCATCCGAGAGCCAGCGCAATGACCGACGCCGCCGTGAGCCACACCACCAATATCAGAATGGTGCTGAGCGTTACGCCGCTTATACCAGCCAGATTCTTGGTCTCTGTGGATAGAAAGGAGAGCAGAGCACCAGTGGAGTTGTCGTACCGGTCGAAGAACTCAACATCCTGTCGTAGAATAGTGCGAAAGGCTTTGGCGCGTGTGCGACGAATCATCTTTTCGACGCTGAACCCAAAGATGACAAGATGGATCGAATTGGTGAGCAGAGACGTGATGCCAAGGGTGAAGAGCAGGAGTGCCCAGAGATTGGCTTGCTTCCTGATCTGCTCGGATAGATCTGGTGGAAGGGATAAAGAGGCAATAGCCTTAGAGTAGACTACGCTCTGTGCTGGTGTGACGCCGCCAGACAAGACGACGAAAATCAGTCCGACCACCATGAGCTTCCTTTCGGGCCGGTTGAAGGATCCAATGAACTTGATCAAGCTCAGCAAGGTCACCTGGACAGATGTTTCCATCATTTTGGACATCGAATCACGCGCAGCTTTCGGCTTTTCATCGATGGCTTCCGTCGAGGCCGACAAATCTTGCACTGCCCACCCTTGTCCTGCACGGCTTGCCCCTTCATTCTCTGTCTCCGAATTCTCGCTGGATCTCAATTCTTCAAGGCTCCGTTCCTCCTTGGAAAAGCTCTGCGCCTGCACAAGTCTGGAGTATAAGCCATTGGCGTCTGTCAGTTCGTCATGAGTGCCCTGTTCCACGATCCGGCCACAAGCCAAGACTGCGATTTTATCTGCAGACTTGATAGTTGATAGACGATGAGCAATCACAACTGTCGTGCGTCCGGCGGAGGCTTTATCAAGAGCGGCTTGGACGACCCGCTCGGATTTCGCGTCGAGTGCCGACGTCGCCTCGTCGAGGAGGAGTATCTTGGGGTTGCCGACAACCGCTCGCGCGATGGCAATGCGTTGCTTCTGGCCGCCCGAAAGAAGGAGTCCTTGTTCACCGACAGATGTGTCGTAACCTTCTGGGAGGGAAAGGATAAAGTCATGGGCGTTAGCCATCCTGGCCGCGTCCTCAACGAGTTTTCGTACCAAAACCTCATCGGCTGGCCCTTCGTAAGGGTTTCGCGGAAGGCCCATTTTGATATTTTCCAAGACTGTCGTTGAGAAAATCGCCGGGTCCTGGCTGACGAGCGACATTTGTTGACGAAGCCATCGCAGTTCTAGCGACTGGATATCGTGACCATCGAGAAGTATTGTCCCCTGGACCGGATCATAGAAACGTTCCAACAAGCTGATGACGGTACTCTTTCCGGACCCTGAAGGACCTACAAGGGCAGTAGTCTTGCCAGCCGGAATCAAAATATTCAAATCATCCGCTACAATGACTTCCGGCCGTGAAGGGTACAGATGCGTCACATTACGCAACTCGATGTGGCCCTCGATTTTCACTGGCACAATTCCCACCCTCGATGTTGGATCGATGGGTGATTCTCGATCGATGGTGCTGTAGATCTTGCCAGCGGCTGCCATGGCATTGGTGAAGGCTTGAATATTGGGGGCGATTCCTCCGAGAGAGAAAGAGCCATTTATGATGGCCATCATGATGGTCAAGACTTGGCCCACGTGGACCCGACCCTCAACGAGGAAACGCGCCCCCTGCCATAAGCAAAGACCTTGGGTCATGAAAAGGATGGCGCCAAGGGACGCGATCATCAAACCCTGGACGAGTTGCATCCGAATTCCATGTTTCTCACCTGCTTTCAGATGCGAGTCATATTGTGCTGCATGCCTGTCGTGACTTCCAAACGCCGCAATTGTCCGGATAGAACTGAAGGCCTCGCCAGCCACACTGTTCCCATCACCGGATCTCTGCATCGCCTTGGCAGTGAGGTTTACGACAGCTTTGAAACCAAAGACCATAACACCCACGAGGCAGAATATTGAGGGCGTAGCGATGAGTGCGAGCTTCCAATATTTGATGTAGGCTATAATGACCGAGCTGACAAACGCGGCGACGGCAGTGAGAGTGAGGCCGACCTTCTGGGACATGCCGTCCTGCACGAGGTTGGCGTCGGCCGATATGCGTGTCGTGACCTCGCCAGCTCCGAGATTGTCAAAGTAGGCCATGTTCTGGCGCAGTATTGCTGCCAAATACTCCTCGCGGATGCGCCGGGTGATTCGTTCACCCGCATGGGTGAATCCAGCCGTCGATATGAAGACGGCCCCGAACTCAGCGATACCAATGTATACATAGTAGAGAACGTTATGGTTCAGTTGTGACATAAACTCTCCATAGGAGATTGTATCGGTTGCTATCCCCTGAAAAGCAGCTGCTAAATTTCCAAAAAGGACCTGTAGTTCAAATACTCGACAAGTTCAGGGTTAGTGTCAGTCTCGCGTTCAGCGCCCACGTATAGGATGAAAGATTCGACATACACTTAACAAGGGCAGTGCGGCGCCTGCCGCAACAGCGCAGAGTGTGCTGGTGGCGATGATGATAATGTCGCGTTTGTCTGCATATCGATACAGCGCGAGATATGATACCTTAGATGCTGCCGGTTGCGGCTGGACATCTATAGCTCGCTTGAGACGAGCTAGCTTCGTCCCAAGACCTTGTGGTTCTGCGGAAACATGTTGCACATCCTCAATCTTCTTGTTTTCCATGACTAACGCAGTAGTGGAATATGACGTTCTCGTCGCGGCTGCCGGTTGGCGAGATGCCTCATCCAAGTCGAGCCCGGAGTTAAGATCCGGCCGGTTTTCACGGGTCCGGACAAAGTCACAGCCGGCTTCCAGGTCCGACGTATTGCTGGCTTTGCCGTACGCTTCTGTGCTTTCATGAAACGTGCTTGGCCTTGGTCTTGGCACCAGTTCCCGCTTTCACGCCCAAGACGCTAACTAAGAGCATGTATACCCGACCATTCGGCCGAGCTTAGAGTCCGAAATCCATGAAGCGATGGGTTGCCATTACGCGACCAAGTGGCAAGATGACCGCCAGCTTCAATTCCCACTGTATGACACGCCAATGATTGTTTACACCTTCCAGTTCTGGGGAGTATCTGCGTGCACTGTCTGTTTGAACATGCACACCCCGCTGGAGAGCTTCCTGAAGAGAGCGCTTCGCACCAGAAGTGGGCCATATAGCCTAGCATGAGCGCTTAAGATGCTCAGTACGAACCTCGGACTCTAGGATACGACGCATCTCTCCAAGATACGGGCATCCCGGAGCGCACTTGATGAGGAAGGTAATCATGAGGAAGGTAATCGGGAATTACAACAGACAAGCTGGAAAGCCGAGATTAGCGCCATCCAACGGGCTTACACCTCCCGTGTTATTAAAGTTTTACATGGATCCATGGATCTACTTGTGGTAAGGTTAAAGCTGACGGGGGATTCTCCTCCCTTCCCGCTGACCCACACTCCACTTGGTTGCTTTCGAAGTTCCCACATTTGAGGAGATCGCTAGTGACGGCACAGCAGTGCACATCCAGCCAAATGACAACTCGACACTCTTAGATTGTCCGTCATGTGCAAATCTGTGGAGGCGATGAGAAATTTCACTGTGAAGTAAAGTCTCTTAAGTTTTGTAATCTAGGATGGGCACGCAGCAGAGTTGACCAAGAAGAAAGTCTCGAGTTGCAGTGTGCAATAGCCTGGTGTTGAGATGAGATGCACAGAACTCCTGCAGCAGGTTTCCAGTTAACGCGAAATTAGCTAAGCAGTTCTTTGCTTCCTTCTCATGGCCAATCGTTACTGCACATAATAAGAGCGGTCAGCTTAGGCATAATCGAGACCTGACACCGAATTCACGGTGGGGTAGATCTCAGTTGAGGCACGCTGACAGTAAGCATCAAGCCGCGACTCGATGCCCGACGTCCAGGCAAGGACAAGACATATTACTCGTATAGACGTAGAAACATGATCAGCCTCATCACAGCTTGTGTTATTGGTTTCCTTGCGGCGTGCGCGACATCAACCCTTGGCAGTGGCCACTCACAAGCGCGACTCGGCGTAGATACCGTTCAGCCTGCAAATCTTCCCGGCGGCGATGAGGGTGAGAAGAGCCCGATCCGCCTCAACTTCTCTTCGCCGGCTCCCCACATCTTCCACTCTACCTTTTCGCTTCTGAAACAAGTCCCAAACACAGTCTTTCCCAATGGACACACCCTTGCTTCCGTGGTCATTCCACCCTTGACCCTCTTCTACCACGCCCGCCGCGACGCAGAGGCGCCCGCGTCTCCCGAATGGGTCGCCTTCGACTCTGACATGAGTTATGGCATCATGGGTGGTCACCGAAATGTCTGGATGTGGACATATCAGACCGCTCGGCCTGTCAAGGCACTCTACTTTGATGGCGAGAGCGGCAATCTTGAAGGGCTTGGCCAGTTCGACTTCCAGATGCTGCTTCTGTATGGCAACGTGACTGGGCCTTCTGGCATTGACGACATTGGCCTTGAGTACGAGCGTGCGAGAGGTTTGTGCGACTGGCTTGCTGCAGCAGGACTCCGAGGCTCGGGATGGGGCTATGAGGGCGTGGTTAGGATGAACGCCGGCTTCGAGATGATATGGTGCGACTTCTTGAGCGATAGCCTCAGATTGATTAGCAGAATCAATGTGACGGCTCCACTTCTTCCAAAGGAAGATCGCGACAGCGATGGTGACGAAGAACGTCAGCCTGCGCCTCCGAGCTTGGCCGGAGGTGAGGTCTCTGGTGAGCTCCTTGTGCGGCGCACTTGCGCTACGCGTTCGTCATCCCTAGATGTGGCAACTACCAGTATCACCACCCGACCTGTGAGCACGCCCAACCTTCCGGATATGCCTCCAGGCTGGAAAGACCGGCTGCGCCGCGAGCCGTTTCAGCGAACCCGGAGCTGGGGCTGGTTTGACAGCGCAACATGGCACTATGGCGCTTCTGGCGTGGGTGCGAGCGTGGGAGAGACGAGAGCGAAGCTGTCCGGATGCGGAGTGTTCACCTTCTACTCCAGAAAGTTCACAAACCAGTCGTTGAACAGGGCGCTTGAGGAACGCCAGAGGCTGAACCTCACAGGCGATGGGCTATGGACCGGTGGGGGAGACGACACTAACAGGACCGAGGCTTTGACACAACTTCGGAGACGAAGGAGATTTCACCACATGGAGCATGCAAGCCAAGAAGAGGCCCATCTAATGAAGAAAGACATCGAGATGTCCCTAGAAACACTTCTGCAAGACGACAGTCGCTGTTCGGGGACCGACTGGGCGCTGATCATGAGCGATATCGTCCGAAGGACGACTAGTGTGTTGAGGGACCTTGAGCTGTCACTCGTTTCCACGCCACAAGATTGGAGTGACAAGCACAGTGTCCGTCGATGGTTGCACAACGTGAGGGGCAGGAGTCACATGTTCTTGGTCAACGTTTTGCAATATCCAGAGACAGAAGACTTGTCAGTGTGGTCAACGCACTCAGCCCTGTTCAACAAAACCTACGGCCTCTGTCGGTCCAGATACACAGCTCTACTAGAAGAGGACACTGTTCTCCCCGTCACTGAAGAGGCAGAACAGAAGTGGGCGATAGAGGAGACATTCGGCACGATATGCTTGGTTCAGCTTCACGTCGGTTTTGGGATGGAGCGGAGGTGGAGAGAAACCTTTGGTGGCTCTTCTACCAAGCGCTCTGAATCGCTCCCAGCGTTACGAGACCAGGCTCGGGTCTGGAGTGAGCAGCTTTCTGAGCTGACTGCCTGGCTAGGGTGGGAGGACAGTAACATCGGTTGCAAAGACGTTTGCGCTGCCAACGAGCGCTGTTACATCCCCATGTGGCCGATCACTCGGCCTTCTGATTCGGCCAGTTCTCCGAGATCGGTCAAGGCATCCCGTAGGCCATGGATTCACACGGATGAAAGGGACTTGTGGGAGCCAAAATGTGTGAGCGAAGTTTGCATAGAGGGTCTGTGTGATTTGTAATACATGGACATATCCCGAATTTAAGAGGGAAATATACATATACACATGCATAAGGTTACATAAGGATTCATTAGATGGGTTTCAAGGGTTTAGAAAACTCTAGCACCAAGTCCCCATCAGCTACAATGCATTGCCGCCTTCATCCACGCATCCACCATCCATCATTAGACCGGCTTTGATCAACTCAAGACCAGAAAATAAGCTTGGGCTTTCCACCCGTGACCTCAGACGGAAGCAAGCCTATGAAGCTCGACATGGCAATCCTCTGCGTGTCTTCGCCTGGCTCCAACGGCCGGACGATATGCATGTTGCGTGAATTGAAGAAGCAGAGATCGCCCATGCCAGGCTGAAAGGTGGCAGTGGCGCGGTTCTTGACAAGAGCCTCAAAGTAGCCGTAGGTGTCAGGGTCGCGGTACTCGAGCGCACCTGGCCACCACTGTACGTCGAATACCGTCGTGCTGCCTCCCCGTGTCGCTGGCGAAAGATACAGGTTTACAGCGAGCTGATGGGTGATCTTGCTGAGGATCCAGTCCTCCGTAGCACAGTCGTACGGTGCCCAGTCGCAGTGGATGGGAACTCCCGAGTTGATCTTGCGTACGATGCCCGAGAAGTACGTCTTGCCCGGACCCTCACTGGCTACACCGACGTCGTACTCAGGCACTAACTCGGCAATTGTGCGCGACATTTTGGCCCAAACGTCCTCGCCAGCAATCTCGGCCAAGCCGTCGTGCATCGTGCGGTACTTTTCGCACTCTTGGAAATATCTCTGCTTTTCTGCCCAAGAAAGTGAGTGTCTAGACTAGCAAGATATCAGACACCGGTGTCCTGTTCAGAAAGAGCAATAAATACTGCTTCTTGAGTGGGAACACGCGTGTCTCTCAGGGGTTACGTACCATCTCCAGTCCTATTCTTGAAGTCTTCTGCAGACTGTGCCTGGAACTCAAACTGCGCAACGCCTACTTTCGACACTGGAGGCCCTGTGACATGCAGATAGGGCGAGATCAAGGGTACAAAGTGGTTGTATAATGCCTCACTCTGGGCCGGCTTCAGGAATTGTTCTTCCCTCACCAATGGCGTTCTTCCGAATAAGAGGTCAAGAAACGCCTCGCGTGTCAGACTGGTTGGTTCCGTTCTTTTCCATTGCGATTCGGCGATGATAGCCATCATTGATGACGATTCCGAGTTGTTATTTTGGGTCAAGCTCAAGTTCCAGTACTATGCTGCGCCGGATACTGTTTGGAGACACTTATTGCAAGTTGTTGCATACAGAAACCTCCCCGACTGTCCGCGTAGAACTCATCCAACATAAGGAGGCTGTACATGTCAACTACACGGTGCCGTATTTGCAGATGGAGCAATGCTATTGGTTTGTGCCCTGTAAAGGTATTATGTGCGGGGCTGTCGTGCTTTTACTTATGCCAAGACCTTACTCCTATCTCCTTTGGGGGAGAGAGCATCTGCATGTGATTACTAGGCTGCAAAAGTCCCTGGCATAGCACTATCCCGGCATCATTTGGGCAAATGGACTTGATCTTCATGACGAGCGGCGTAGGATGGTCTTGGATGACGACGACCGGCTCGTCCATGGCATATCATACGTCACTCACCGACAAGCGGTATGGCAATTTTGTCAGACCCCTCGACTGCGACCTTCTGGTTAGGGCAGGTCACACAAAGCTGGTGATCTGACGAAGGAGTGCAGAAAGCCTACTTGGCACCAATCACTACCTTCTTGTTGCGGCAGGCCAGCGCCGCACAACGTGGAGCAATCGCTGATCACTGTAGTGTCCAGAACCCGTTTCACATTCCATCAAGTTTTACCATGCATAAATAGCCGAGAATATGAAATACTTGATACCTGCATATATGCAACTATAGCATATTACCGGATACATACCTAACGGGGTTTTGTATGTACCAACGCATGCAACAACCGTGGGGGTGATCTCCCCAACCTCAGCAGCGATTGGCACCTAAGCAGAGAAGAAGCGACTTGAGAAGTTGTCCAGCCTCACTACGACGAAGCATATGACCCGCATCCACTTGGCAAAAGCACGAACACGGCTTTCTTGTGTAACGATCTGAGATGGCGCAGCCGCCGTTGATGCCGGCTACTGCTAAGGCACCGACTGAAGTATCGCCGTTGATTGAACCACACGAAGCGGTCCTGTCCGCCGACGAGCAGCAGCAACAGCCGCCACATATGATTGAAGATCCTGGATGGAACGAAGATGCAATCCGCACCCTAGTCTCAGCTACAACTTTTCTCATTTTGTTCACTTTGGCCGACCTGCTCAAGTATGTCGCCGTCGTGCGGCTGCTGGAACTGGGTATATGTCGCGAGTATCAACTCGAGCATAAACCCAGCCTCGTGGACAACCACGGATACGTGGATGAAAAGCTCTGCAAGTCAGTGGAAATACAGCAGCGTTTTGCCCATCTACGTGGGTATTACTCCGCTCTAGACTCGGTCGTGGGGCTTGTCCTCACTGTCCCGTATGGCTTACTCGTTGGCCGGTTGGGAGAACGTCTCCTCATAGCTATCAACGTAGTAGGATACCTTCTAGCTTGTGCATGGTTCCTCGTCGTCTGCTCTTGTTGGAAAGTATTCCCAACCTGGACGGCCGTGCTATCACCGCTTCTCAGATGTGTCGGAGGCGGATCACCATTTCTGTTCTCCCTGGTATACTCAATCGCTGCTAAGCACATCTCGAGCTCAAAAAGGTCAGCTTCCATACTGCTCTCTAGAACATCTAAGCTCCCGCCTTCCCTCCGCTCTCTGCGCCACAAGGTCTACGTACTTATGTTTAGCATAGATCCTCTACTTTCTTCATATTCTTAGCCGCACAAACTGTCACCAGCACCTTTGCGACTTTGATTGCCGCTACGTTTCTCGAACGTGGGCTTTTATTTCTGCCCTTGGTGCTCAACTTCCCTATTGGCCTAGTCTGTATAGTCTCGCTTGCCGTCGTCCGCAGTGCTGAATCCTCCGAGTTGGCAGCATCGGCCCGCAAAGATGTGCAAGACCATGACGGTGAGGGACATGGCAATAACAGTCATACTAACAGCGGCAACTCGGACGCGACGCACTCTATTCGACATAGTGCACGGATGTTGGGCGAAGTCCTCAGAGATCCTGTTGTTCTTGTCCTTCTAGCTACAGTTCCCGTCGCCAAAGCGGTCAATCCTATTGGCGAGCTCACTTGGCAGTATATCCCGAAGAAATATGGAATCTCATTTGCAGAGGTAAGAGTCCTTCCAGAAGTCACTTGATAATGATGCCTATAATTGATCTCACGGCCTTTTGCTAGACCAGCCGGTTGTTATCGATTCCGTCACTGGAATGTGTTCTCCTTCTGTTGTTCGTCCTTCCGAGCATCAAGACTCTGGCTCAGAACAGATACCACGCCAGGTCAACCCAAGTCGATTTGTACTTTGTTCAATACGGGTTTCTTATACAAGCTGTTGGCTGTGTTGTCATGGCTTTTGCTCCGGATTTGTTTTTCTTCATATCAGGTTCTTACCCTCCCCTTACTAATTTTCTCTTCGACTACTTTACTTCGGCTATCATGACAGATCTTGCTGATGCAAAGTAAACACAGGAATACTAGTATTTGCACTGGGCTGCAGCACGAGGCCCGCCTTACAGTCTGTTCTCGCAGACCTGGCCAGCAATGAGCATATCGCCGTGCTTTTCACAGTTATTGCTGTTGCTGATTTAATTGGCTCGGCGGCTGGCACCCTCCTCCTGAATTGGGTTTTCTCCATTGCTCTAGATTGGGAGATGGACATGTATCTCGGCTCCCCATTCGCAATTCTTGGGGGATGTTTCATGATAGCATTTGTCGCGTCTTTATTCGTAGGAGGTACGGCGTTGCATCGCTCACGGCGGGATGTGTGATGTATCAATTAGATGGGACTATTAATAGACGGGACTTTGCATCTGTTCTCTTTCTATGTCTTCTGCATGCTCTACCCAAGATGTGATCGACTGCGACTTGTTTTGAACCAACTTGATGATTCAACCACTTGCATATGTGCCGCTAATTCTCATTTGCTGAAACTCGCCCGCCGTCATGTACTGCTCGTCATCATGTGCCTTTTCGCCCAGCAATGGTCGCAGGATGACCGACCTATCAGGCTTGGCAAAGTAGGCAATGGAGTAGCGCGCCTCTACAAGGTGGTCGTTGCCATCTCCGACACCATTGGTACCAGTTTCCTCCGGAGGTTTCGGTAGGTGCACTCGATGCCTTGTGCTGTGTAGTCCTGTCCACTTCTGCAGACAGTCTCCTGCATTGATGATACACTCATGACGTCCTCCACTTTCGACATCAAGAAAATTCCCACTACCGAACGGAAACTCGACTTCTGCACGATGGAAATATGTCAGTATCTAATTCGCGTAGAAGCATATTTCGGAAGCGGCGCAGTGTTTTGCTGTTTCATGCATGCAAGGGTGAGAGGGACTGGCATACGGAGACCTCCAACGGAGTCTTGGAACAATAGGGTAATGGTGCCGAAGTCTGTATGAGTCGCGATACGCGTTGAGCTCGCGAATTCGGACCTTGAGACCGCGGGATAGTGAGTTAGGCGCAATTCATTGGACTGGTTGGCATGGCGCTCGCTCAGAGTCTGCGGAGGCAGTCCAAGGCCGATGGAAAGAGCCTCGAGGATGGCGCATTCGGCTTGATAGCAAGCGGAGAAGAATGACATGAAGAAAGGTTGAAAGCTGTCTTGGACCCCGGGAGGCGGCCAAATATTGCTGTATAACTCATCTCGCTCAGATCCAATATCATACGACTCCTGTCGACAAAAGTCAGACGCCTTAATTCGGGAAGTCTGTTGTTCGGAGCCTGAATTAGAAGGGACTGAGGTAGGCTCACTTTCATATCTTTGAGGAGTGGCATGGGTGTTTTTGATTCAAAGTTGGAATGTGTGGCTACGACCTCGACCCCGAAAGCGCTGTATCCTCTGTGCGGGTTTGGTGTGGGTGGGTGAGGAGATTTCAGTTTCTCCTCCAGCGGCAACTGGAAGAATTGTTGTGTCTGCTCAACGACAACAAGATCAGTTTGGACACCATATCCAGAACCCATGTTTGAGAAAGAGAAACGAACCTCAAGGAAAGCCTTGTCGATGTCTTGTGGAGGAACGCCATGGTTAACTAGGCGGACAAATCCCTTTTGCTTGAGGCTTGATACAAGTCTGCGGCAAAAGCCATTCCGCTCCGACGTGTCGGGACTGTAGAATTCTTGAAAATCAAGTCGATCCAACATTTTGTGATCTTCCGCTAGTGTACCCCGATGCGCAATGTGGTATTAAGTCACAATTTGTAGTGTGATCAGTCACCTACTACATAATATGGTCCGGATTCGTCGCAAAGCTGCATTGGTCACCTAGATCAGCTGTCTTTTGGTGTATATTTCAGCCGGAGATGCATGGTGTGTAACTCAAGGCTCCTTTTCTTGAATCGAACCTTCGGATCGATCCTTGGGCAAGGGCTAAATGGGAACTCGGATACGATGATAAGTAGAATTGACCACGCAATCCAGCTCCTGTCTGCACATCTATGTTGTTTCCAATACTTGGATAATGCTCCGAAGTCATCTAGTGCCGAAATGACCGTAGTAGAATATCCTTGTATCGGTGCTATGAACAACAATCACAGATGCACAGCACTAGGCACACAGAGGGGCACTGTTACAACAACACACTGTTGCACTGGGTCTCATCGTGAATGTGGCACATGCATATGCGAATCTTACATGCATTCTCGGATCTTACATGCACTAAACAAGTCTTGCAACCGTGTCTGATGTGGAAGGTGAACTCCAGGGTATGCAAGTCCCGGGATCGGGAATCCTCCAGGATTCACTCTGGCGTTCCCCATGCTTGGCGTGGATCACTCATCGCATGACGGGGCACAACGGCAAAGGCGGGGCGCTTCCGGATGACCCGTTGTCACGATAGCCTATTCCACACTGTCAAAAGTCTAAAGAAGTCCGGCGATACGCGGCCCAATTAAGCGATGAATTGTCCGAACCTGACAATCTCGTCTGCGGCAAGATCTGGACACTATCCAATCTAATCAGATAATCCAACCCTTGGGGTGACCTTAGTTGGGGTTCAGGTAGCTCGAGGTTCAAGCCACCACAGTCCTTGTTCTAACGACAGCCTATGTACGTGCCGAGTTGCAGAGTTCATTTTGCATGCACAATAGAACCGAATCCATATTCGCCTGAGTTGAGACGCGTGTAAAGACTGGCAGGCATGGAGCAGACCATGCCTCTCACTAACGACCTGAGCAGCTTGTCTGCTGCTCCTACTGGAAGGACGAATGGCACCACGACACCACAGGTCAAAACTACGCACAACGCTGAGGTCTTGGCAGATCTCGAAAGGATATGGCAATGGAACGGCTCAGTCCCGGCGCCAATCCAAGGCTGTGTTCATGACATCATACATGACATAGCTAGAACCCAGCCTGAAGCCACGGCCGTCTGCGCGTGGGATGGAAAACTGACATACTCTCAGCTTGACGCTTTAGCTCATGAGATTGCTCATAGACTGGTCGGTTTGGGTTGCATCCAGAGATCCAACGTACCCATTCTCTTCTCTAAGTCAAAATGGACCTGCGTCGCCATGCTAGGAGTAATCAAGGCAGGCTGCCGCGCAATCGCTCTAGATGCAACACAGCCGGACATTAGGCTACACTCAATCGTACAGCAGGCCAATCCTACAGCGATTCTCTCTTCGGCAAACCATCGCTATCGAGCTTCCCAGCTGGCCAATGTTGCGATACTGCAGCTGGACGACTTGCTATGGGATGCCTTACGCCAAGCCGCCGAAGCCAGACCTCCACTGCCCATCGTTCAGCCTGACGATCTTGTCTACATTTCGTTTACGTCGTAGGTGCACCTTGCAGTCCCTCATTTCTCCGAGCCTCTTTCAACTCGTTACCTGAATGTAATGTGTGTCACATTGTCTTGTTATGTAGATATCTCTTCTGAAGACCACAACTTTCGCAGCTCATCAACTACATCACGCAAAGAGATCCCTCCAGTGATCAATCGCTGACTGCTATTGCCTTACTTGAATATAGTGGTACGACAGGGCAACCGAAAGGTGCCTGTATCAGTCACTCTAATGTTAGCAGCGCTGTTCACTATCAAGGTCGGAAGCTCGGGTTCCATCCTGGCTGCCGCGTTTTCGACTTTGCGCCTTACTCCTTTGACGTCGCCTGGAGCAACTTCCTCCATACGCTGTGCGCTGGTGGCTGCCTATGCATTGCGTCCGAGGACGATATGCTAGTGGATCTCTATTCGTCTATTGCCCATTTCAAGGCAACATTGGTCAATGTTACGCCGACCGTCCTGCGTACCTTGGCCAAGATCCCTCCTAGTTTAGAAACGGTCCTCTTGAGTGGTGAGATGCCCTATCTGGATAACATTACACAATGGGCTGGGCATGTAAGACTTCTCAATACATATGGACCGACTGAATGTACTTTCAAGAGTGCGTTCTCGAAGCTCGACCCGACACAGGAGGGTCGCCCAGATATCGGCAAGGGTGTTGGCTTTGCTACATGGGTCGTTGATCCCAGCAACGATCAGAATCTAGTGTCTATCGGTTCAGTGGGCGAACTGTACCTGGAGGGACCATTGGTCGGGCACGGATATCTATCAGACCCTGCGAAGACGGCGTCGGTATTTATCGAAGACCCACCCTGGCTCTTGGAGGGCAGTTCAAAGATTCCCGGCAGGCATGGCAGGCTCTACAAGACGGGGGATCTCGTCAAGTATAAACCCGATGGTTCTCTCCTCTTCGTCAGTCGCAAGGATGCCGACCAACACAAGATCAGGGGACAAAGACTTGAGCTTGGAGACGTCGAACATCACGCACGGGCCTGCTTGGAGGAGACGCCACCAGCCATCTCAGTCATTGCGGACGTGGTATGTCCGAAAAACAGCGACAGCAATTCTCTGGCTCTGTTTGTCGTGGTTGAAAACGAAGATATCACGCGGGTCAAGGATGTTATGGACGGCCTTGCGGCGAAGATGCGACAAGTCTTACCGGCGTTCATGATTCCTACTGTCTATCTCCCCATTCACGATGTCCCAGTCGGTCCTACGGGAAAGGTAGATCGTCACCGTCTTCGCGAGATAGCGGCTACCTTGACATGGAATGAGTTGATAGATTTACAATCCACCATCCTATCCAACACCGAATTCGACGCGCCCTCCAACAAGAACGAAGTAGCGCTGAGCCAAGTGTGGGGGGAAGTATTGGATCTCAATGTGGCGGCCATCAGTACTTTCGACAGTTTTCTGAGGCTCGGAGGTGATTCAATAGCAGCGATGCGAGTAGTCGCTGAGGCCCGCACCAGAGGCCTTTCTTTGACTGTTGCGGATCTCTTCAGGACCCCAGTGCTCAGGGATTTGGCTCGGGCTGCAGATTTGAATACGGTGCCTCCTGAGTACCCAATGGTCGAACCTTTTGCTTTGCTCACGGGGGTAAGCGAGCATTCTACTCTCCGTGAGTTTGCGGCGAGCTTGTGCGGTGCGGAACCGGGCGAGGTTCAAGACATCTACCCCTGCACACCCTTACAGGAGGGCATGCTCGCCACGACAGCGGCACAATCGCCATCTCGATTCCATGGTGGTACAGGCTCATCGCGCTCTGAGATGTACGTGTCGAGCACGGCCTTTCAACTGCCCGGACATATTGATGTGGCACGACTCGAAAACGCCTGGTCAAGAACTCTAGAAGGCGCGGCGATTCTTCGCACGCAAATAATCAATCTCCCCGGGCACGGACTTGTCCAAGTTGTCTTGGCCCGTCAGCCAACTTTACGTAGCCATGAAACCATCGATGACTTCGCGAACGAGGCGAAACCCATGGGGCTTGGTACGCCGCTATGCCGAGCAGGTCTCGTCACCTCTCGTCCAGGATATTTCGTCCTGGAAATGCATCATGCAATTTTTGATGGCTGGTCTACATGTCTCATTCTTGAGACTTTGGAGGGTTTCTACAATGGCGAGCAGGGAATGATTCGACATTTCAGCCCGTTTCAATCGTTCATCAAGCACGTCTTAGCTACCAAGAACTCGAAAACAGAGGGCTTCTGGCTACGTCAGCTCCAAGGCTCTGAAGCACCTACCTTTCCGTCTCCTAATTATCGTCCTGGCAAAAGCCTGGACGTCACTCGTTCGATCCGCAATCTTCAGTGGCCTCAGGCAGAAACGACAGCGTCTACCACTGTGCATGTGGCTCTGTCTCTACTTCTTGCGGTTTACACCAACTCTTCCGACATCAAATATGGTGCGACTGTGAGCGGCCGGGGCGCGGCTGTGCCCGGAATAGAGAACATCGCAGCACCCACTATTGCTACTATTCCTATACGAGTCAAACTCGACTGGAACCAGACTCTGCAGGCCTTCCAGAAGGAATTGCAGCAGAGGATGGTGGACATTACCGAGCACGAACAATTTGGTCTTCAGAACATCCAGCGTATCAATGAAGACGTCAAAGAAGCCAGCCAGTTTCAGTTACTGTTAGTCGTTCAGCCACCTCAGCGGAACTCAAACCCAAACCCAAACTCAGAGACATGTAGTCTCTTTGGGCAGTCAAGGGCTATTTTGTACGCAGCGGACGGTGAAACTTCACATGTGGAAGGGGAGCTGGCCAACGGTCAGCGTACAGCGGTTACCTTAGTGGCGAAGGATGGGCAGACCGACAGCGTGGGAATGCACAACTCGTATGCCATGATGATAATTTGCCAGCTGGAAACGGATGGACTCACCCTCAACGTCAATTTTGATTCTGGCGCCATTGACCAGAAGTCGGTTCAACGATTTGCCGCGCAATTCGAACACTTACTGCGAAAGCTGTGCGCTGCAACTCCAGCCGGTATTGCCAAGCTCGGCGACATGTCTTTCGTCGACGACACTGATCTGGCGCAGATCTGGCAATGGAACAAGGTGCTGCCTGATCCTCTCGTAGACTCCGTGGCTAGTATGGTGAACAGCAAGATTGCCGCTAATCCGCAGGCGCTCGCCATCTCGGCATGGGATGCTGAGTTGACATACCAAAAGCTCAACGAACTAACCATGACCTTGGCGGGCAGCCTGTACAGTAAAGGGGCTCGTGCAGGTTCTGTTGTTGTTTTGAGCCTCGAAAACTCCTCATGGATGGTGGTTGGTTTGCTGTCTGCTTTCAAGATTGGAGCCATTGTTGTTCCACTTTCAGCACCAACCTCGAACCAACGCGCCAAGGACATTGTCGGGGCCTTGCGGCCTTTCTTGGTGGTCACATCGGACCAGCCTAGCAACTCTTCTTTCAGGCCCTTGGTATCTACATTCTCCATATCGGAGATGATACGAGATCCATATCAGAATTATGTCTCCGACACCCCATTTCATGCCAATCACCCGTCAGATGCTGCCTTAATACTATCTACTTCTGGTTCCACGGGAGTTCCGAAGTCAATTCTCTGGAGTCACAGTAACCTGTCGAGCAATGTCCACGCACATGCCGCCTCACTGGACATTGACTCTGCATCTAGGGTGTTTCAATTCGCAGGCTATGACTTCGATGTGAGCATCGTGGAGGCCCTATCAACACTATGCGCAGGAGGATGCCTGTGTATACCATCAGAATCAGATCGTATCAACCGCCTCACTGACGCCATCCGCGACTCCAATGCTAACTGGTTGTGTCTGACACCATCAGTGGCTGAGACCATCAAAGATCCACGCCAGATTCCTGCCATCACCACGCTTGTGCTGACGGGAGAGAAGCTACCGCTAAGGACGGCGTCAAAGTGGGCCGAGCATGTAGAGAATGTGTTCAACTGGTACGGGCCAGCGGAAGCTTCGGTGGCGACTACGTGTTTGGTGAGAAAACACACATGGAAACCTGGGATGATCGGGAGGAGCGGTGGCATGACAGTCACCTGGCTGGCCAGGCCCGCGAATCCCGACCAGCTAGCCCCAATCGGAGCAATAGCAGAGCTTTGCTTGGAAGGGCCAGTCACCGCCAGCTACACAGGTTGTACCGAAGACGTCTTGTTCCGAAACGAGCGAGCCTTCTATACTCCTTCGTGGATATCAAAAGGACATGGGGATGTACCGGGACGCAATCGTCGAGTTTACCGAACTGGCGATCTTGTCAAGTACGATTCTGACGGCAATCTGATCTTGCTTGGCCGAAAGCAAGACTCTCAGAGAAAGCTGCGAGGGCAGCGAATCAACCTCGAAGACGTGGAGGCTTCTGTCCAGGCATTCTTGGAGGACAAGCTACAGCTGAATGTAGTAGTCGAAATATGCACTCCAGGCAACGGCAGCGTGGAGACACTAGTGCTATTTGTCAGTCTCCCAGATATGCTGGTCGATGCTTCCACGACAGGAGGACTCGAGAATGTTACTGAGTTTGTCAGACTCTCGTTTCCCGCCGAAGCACTTGAGGAGTATCTCTTCGAACGCCTGCCGTCATACATGGTCCCAAAGGTCTATATCCCAATCGACAAGATCCCAATTACCCCAACGGGCAAGACGGATCGGCGGCAATTGCGCCGTATAGGACGTTTGTTCACGTATGAACAGTTGGCCGCGATACAGCCTTTACGCCAGGAAGGCAGAAAGCCCACGACGGCCATGGAAAAGCTCCTGCAGCAGCTCTGGGCCGAGACAATAGGGATGGAACAGAACGCCATATGTGCCAACCACAACTTCTTCCGGTTGGGAGGAGACTCGGTGACTGCCATGCGACTGGTAGCATTGACACGTCAGCAGGGATTACTACTGACTGTCAAGACGATATTTGATGCGCCTCAGTTGGAGGAAATGGCCAAAAGAGTCACACAAGAGAGCAACAGCAATACTGACCGTAGTTCCATACGGGAAGTCTCTCCGTTCTCACTTTTAAACGGTAGTCGCGATGAGGCCGATGTACGATCTATCGCGGCGCAGCTGTGCAAGGTTCCAGAGGCCCGCATTGAGGATATGTATCCATGTACAGCTCTTCAAGAGGGCCTGCTGGCCCTGGGTGTCAAGAGGCCCGGTCAGTACATCTCGCGCAGTGTCCTGACTCTTCAGGCTGGAATCGAAGTGGAGCAGCTGAAAAGCGCCTGGTTGGCCACAGTCAAGAAGATAGCACTATTAAGAACCCGCATAGTCGACATCCCCCGGCAGGGATTTGTCCAGGTCGTCCTCGATGCCCTCCCACTCCAGGCCTTCTTGGATACAGATCTGAAATTGAAAGACTACGTCCGCCAGGATGAGCAGGAACCCATGGGCCCCGGAACAGACTTGTGCCGCGTCGCCATCATTGGGAGGAACTTCGTCCTCACAATTCATCACTGTACTTATGACGGCAACACTCTACGAATGATGCTCGGAGAGCTAGAGTCTCAATATTGTAGCCAGTCTGGAAGGCCAGTTACCCCATTCAAGAACTTCATCAAGCACGTTGCAACCGTGGATCCACAAGAGGCTTCCGACTTCTGGAGACGATACCTTGCGAGCGCAGAGCCGAGACAATTTCCTGTACTCCCTTCGGGATTTTACGAGCCGCAGGCCAATGAAGATGTGGCGTGCAGCATCTCCGTAGACTGGCCACGCCTTGGAGTAACTCCTTCCTCTATCTTGCGTTCGGCTTGGGCTCTGCTGGCTACGCAATATACATCAACCGACCAGGTCATGTTTGCAATCACAGTCGACGGAAGACAGGTCGACATGCCAGGTATTGAGAACTGTACTGGGCCAACTATATCGACGATGCCCGTGGTCGTCTCAGTCGACCGGGACGAAACGACGGCAGAGTACATGGCCCGACTGCAGCGCGAGATGGTGCAGAGAACTCGCTACGAGCAGTACGGTCTGCAGAACCTGCGGCCGCCACGTGGCACCTTGGATCCTCGACTGTTGCAAACATTGTTTGTGGTACAGCCAGTGTCCGAGGGTAAACACAGCCTCGACAAAGACGGCTACTTGTTCAAGGCGCGTACCTTTGCGTCCAACAGAGACACCCTAGGCGTTGACCCTTTCAACACCTACGCCCTGATGGTGGTATGCGAGCTCGCAACGTCCGGCTTTCGTCTGCGCCTGAGCTTTGACAATAACATCCTCGAAGCGGAGCAGGTCCGCCGCATAACCCGTCAGTTCGAGACCATTGTCCACCAGCTCTGCTCTGAGGCCTGCAGCACGATGAAGGTCGGAACCATCCGGACCACTAGTGACCAAGATCTGGCCGCCGTCTGGTCTCAGAACGCAAACCTACCGCCGGATCCAGATCGGACAGTTGTTGACATCTTCAGACAAGTGGTGCGCGAGGAACCAACCAAAATAGCTATCGATGCCTGGGACGGCCAGTTTACCTACCAGCAGGTCAACCAACTCTCCACAGTCATGGCCCATAGTCTGGTCAGGAAAGGGGTACCCAAGGGCTCAGTTGTGTGTCTGCACTTTGAGAAGTCAAGATGGGTACCCGTTGTGCAGCTCGCCATATTCAAAGCTGGCGCCGCGGACGTGATGCTGTCGATCTCAGTACCAGACCTGCGCGTTGCCAGAGTCTTTGCGAACCTCGGCGTCAAGTTTGCCGTTGCCACAGACTCACGAGTGGCGGTGGTTGGCCAGTACGCCCTAGGATTCACCGTGGGCGATCTTTTGCAAGAGACGCAGACTGTTGTGGACCTTCCAGCTTTGCCAACTCTTGACATGGGTGACGCCGCTGCCATCCTCGTCTCGTCAGGCAGCACAGGGGAGCCGAAGCAGGTACTCTGGAGCCATAGAGGCATAACGGCGAACGTGCAGGCGCATGGCGAGTACCTAGGCGTAAGTAAATCGTCGCGCATCTTTCAGTTTGCGTCGTATGATTTCGACGTGGCCACTATCGAGTCGATGTCGGCTCTGGTGCACGGTGCTACGCTCTGTATTCCGTCTGAGACAGAGCGCCTCAACGGCACCGTCGCCGCCATAAATCGCTTCGCCATAAGCTTCATCAACATCACGCCGTCGACGGCTCGGGCGGTTGATCCTGACGATGTACCAACCATCGAGACCCTCGTGCTGTCCGGTGAGAACCTGCTGCAGCGCGACGTCGACCGTTGGAAGGAAAGAGATCTGACGGTTCTCAACTGGTATGGAGCGGCCGAGCACCCATCCACCGTTTGTCGAGCCGATACCGATTCGTGGTACAGCGGCGTCATAGGCTCGCTTGACTCTAGGCAGCCGACGCTGACCTGGCTGGTAGACCTCGAGAACCCCAACAGACTCGTACCGCTGGGGGCCGTCGGCGAGATTGCCTCTGAGGGTCCTCTGAGTTCGGATGGTTACGTCGCCAACCCTACGTTGCAGGTCCGACGGTTCCGCTCCGATCCATCATTCCTTATCTTTGGCCGTGGTAGTGCTGGCCCAGGAGAGAACGGTAGGCGAGGCGTAATCTTTTGCTCCGGCGACCTGGGCCGTTACGACAGCAAGGGCCAGCTAGTATACATGGGCCGCAAAGACGCCCAGGTCAAGATCCGCGGTCAGCTTGTTGCGCCTGAGGAAGTACAGCACCAGATACGCTCCCACATGATGCAGAAGAGCAAAGAGCGGGGGGAGGGAGAAGACATCTCGGTCGTAGTCGATGCCATACAGCCCAACAAGCACAACTCCAGCCAGACACTCGTGGGGTTTTTGAACGTGGCCACCGAAGATGAGGTGCAGCTGGTGACGACAGGACTGAATGAGAAACTCAAGAGAGTGCTGCCGCCTTATGCCATTCCCGCCTATTACATCCCCGTCAAGGAATTCCCTACCAACGCCTCTGCCAAGATCGATCGACGCCGGCTCCGCGAAATTGGCGCTGCCTATGAACCGTGGTCGAGGCAGTCGCCATCGAACAATACTGGATCGATTGGCCCCAATGGACTGACAACCACAGCCCAGAGAGCGCTACGACAACTATGGTGTGAGGCCCTAGGTATCAGCGCAGATGACATCTTCGGCAATGACAGTTTTCTGCAATACGGCGACTCCATCTCAGCGATGAGACTGTCCGGCTTGGCCAGACAACAGGGCTTGCTTCTCACAGTGACTGACATTTTCCGCCACCCGACATTGGAGGATATGGCAAAGGTCCTAAGTAACTTGGATAGTGAAGGAAAGGACGAAGAAGACGACACCGGAAGCCCGTTCGCGCTTGTTGTGGGACGAGGTCAGGAGTCTGAAGTCCAAGTTTTGCGCGAGCAGGCAGCATCTGCTTGTTGTGTTGGCATCGACGAGATACACGACGTGTTCCCCTGCACGCCGTTGCAGGAAGGTCTACTCGCCCTGACTATGAGAAGGGAAGGGGATTACGTGGGCAACACGATTCTTCAGCTGAGCCCGGGTGTGGATCTGGCGAAGTTCGCTCGAGCATGGAACACCGTTGTTTCCACCTTTAGCATCTTACGCACTCGTATCATTGACCTACCAGGGCATGGTCTAGTACAGGTGCTACTACGGGGACTGGTGGATGAGAGTCACATCAAAGCTGAAAGCATTAGAGATTACCTGGAGAGGCAGAAAGCACTTCCCATTGGCCTCGGTTCGCCGCTCATGAGGTACGGTCTTTTTAGCGACAACACCGTCGGAGTCATGTCACCCTTGGCGAAGTCGGAGTTCATGCTAGCATCATCGGAAGGGAGCAGCAGCCAAGATGAGAAACACGGAATCAGCTGCAAGTTTTTGCAGCATTTTGCAATAACACTGCACCACTCTATATATGACGGGCTTACGATGCCCCTGATCCTCGAAAGCCTGGAAGCTGTCTACAATGGCACAACACCGCTGCGCCACCGTCCCTTCCAGGCATTTGTCAAGTACATCAGCAGCCGCAACAAGACGGCCGAGGTTGACTTCTGGAGAGCCCATTTCCAAGATCTACAAGCAGGCCAGTTCCCCATCCTGCCCTCTTCCACATATCAACCACGAACCGACTCAACCCTAATGCACATGGTGGAAGATGTCGGATGGCGCAAAGACAATATCACTCCATCTACAGTGGTACGTGCGGCGCTGGCGCTACTTCTTTTCACCAGCCAGTCTGCGACGTCTGCGGCAGCCGCCAGCGACGTTTTGTTCGGTGAAGTCGTCGCTGGGCGCCAGGTGCCCATGCCCGGCATCGAGCGGCTAGTTGGCCCAACCATCGCCACCGTCCCCGTCAGAGTCCGAGTTGATCGACAGGTCAACAGCACGGAGTTTCTTTCGGCTCTCCAGCTCAACGCCATTGAAAGAGTTCCTTATGAACAGACGGGGCTGTCCCGAATCCGCCAAATCAGCGACAAGGCGAGGCAAGCATGCGAATTTCAGACGTTACTAGTTGTGCAGATGCCCGAGGAAGAAGGAGAAGTACGAGAAGGTTCCCTATTCAAAGGCGAGGTACGCCGTCGAGGTGCGGAGCACGATGCGCGCTACCACGGATTCCAGACCTACCCGCTCTCGCTAATCTGCACACCCGACACCCGGAAGGATCAATTGCACGTAAGAATATGCTTCGACTCAGCCGTCATAGCACAGGAGGAGGTTGCGAGGACAGCACAGAACTTGGAGCTGCTTTTGCGGCGTCTTTGCTCTCCCGACCTCTATGGCGCATCTTTGGGTCAGATCACCTCAACGCGGGAGCAGGACCTGACGCAGATCTGGAAATGGAACGCTGAGGTGTTCCCAAGCGTCGATATGTGTGTCCACGACCTAGTCACAGAGACTGCTCAGGCTCAGCCGAATTCTACCGCACTCTGTGGCCCGGATACGACCTTGACTTATCGTCAGCTGGATCGTGCTTCCACTAAGACTGCTCTGCGACTACGTGAGATGGGCCTAATGGAAGGCCAAGTTGTGCCGATTTGTTCAGAAAGGTCAGTGTATGCACTGGTTGCCCTTCTCGGTGTCAGCAAGGCAGGTGGTACGGCGTTGATGCTGGATAACGCGCTGTCAGAGGAGCAACTTGGGCGAGTTATCAAAGAGACAGGCTCCCAAGACTTGATCATCTTGTCCACTTCAAAACAAGGACTCGCATCTGAACTCAGAACGAAAGTGGTGGTCTTGTATCCCGGGTCAGACCTGATGCAGCCGTCGGATGCTTACGACAAGAACGCCTCTCCTATCAATGAGCAATTGCCAGTGGTGGACCCTTCATCCTGCTTCTCTATCATCCTGACAAGCGGAAGTTCAGGTTCCGTGAAGTACGCGACCCTGCATCACCGCAATGTGAGCAGTGCCATTGTCAACCAAAAGAGCCTGCTACGACTAGACAATACCAACATTCTCTATGATGCCGCGATATCACACGCTTATGGTGGCCTTAGAGCCTACTGGAGTGCTCTTCACGTACTCGCTGCAGGAGGTTCCCTGTGTGTCCCTAGCGAGGTTGAAGTCAATACCGACCTGGAACAGAGCATCAGCAGGTACGGCGCCACTGACATCTTCATAACGCCGGTGGCCGCTCGTACGCTTGACCCGGCAAAGACCGCTTCCTCGGCGACTTTGCGCAACATCTATCTGGGTGGCCAACAGGTAACGGCGCACGATACCGTGCGCTGGTCTCCACATATTGAGAATGTTTTTGTTGTCTATGGAGTTGCTGAGTGCGCACCGGCTGCCGTGTACTTCAGGGCACAGGACGAAAAAGCGCCACCTTTACACTCAACTATTGGCAGAGGTGTTGGAGTTTCCACCTGGATAGTCGACATGCAGGACAGCGAACGTTTGGTTCCCATTGGTACTGTCGGAGAGCTGTATCTGGAAGGACCCCTCGTGGGCCCAGGCTATTTGCACAATAACAACGACGATGAGCAGCACGATGCAGGAGTTGGCTTCATCGACAGCCCACAATGGCTTCTCGAGGGCTCTCCAGATGGCAGTGTGCCTGGACGAAGGGCTCGATTATTTAAGACGGGAGACTTGGTAAGATATGAGCCTTCAACCGGCCAAGTTCTCTACGTTGGCAGGACAGATGGACAGCACATGCTGCGGGGCCAGATGGTGCATCTCGCCCAAGTTGAGCACCATATTCGGTGCTGCATCAGCGCTGGCAGCTCACCAAAATCACCACCTCCTTCTGTAGTGGCTGCCGAGATTGTGGTCCCGGAGTCCATCGGCAAACCTATGCTGGTAGCCTTCATCGCAGCGCCCACTCTAGCCAAAGGCCCATGTCCAATATCATTGTACGAGATCCAAGCGAAGCTGCAGAGACATATGCCTTCTCACATGGTTCCGGCTGGTTACTGTGTTGTTCAGTCCATCCCCTCGCTGGTGAGCGGCAGGACGGACAGACGACGTCTGCGTGAGATGGGGGCCAAACTGACCGCAGATGAGCTGGCGGCCGGCCAGCAACGCCAGGCGGACGACAGTGCTCTGCCCACAACCGATTCCGAGCTCCGCCTTCAACAACTGTGGTCGAAGCTGCTGGAAATCCCGATTGATAGAATTCTGAAAGATAGCAGCTTCGTCCGCCTCGGTGGAGATTCTGTCTACGCTATGCGTCTGACTTCCCTCGCTCGCCGCAAGGGACTCTCCCTGACTGTGCAAGATATCCTACAACATCCTCAGCTGTCTGAAATGGCCAGATCCATGACCTTGCTGCCTTCGCCAGGTACGAATGGTAGCTCTAGGTTGGCAGTTAGGCCCTTTTCACTCCTGAGACACCCTTCCAAGACAGCTACCGCGATTGACCAGGTGGCAAGGCATTGCGGCATCGACGTTTCCCAAGTCGAGGACATATTCCCTTGCACAAGCGTGCAGAAGTCGCTACTATCCATGACCGCCAGGTCCGCCGGCTCCTATGTTGCCAGGTACTCGCTGCGATTACGCTCAGACATTGAAATCGCTCGCCTGAAGAAGGCCTGGGGAGAGGTCAGTCGGGTAGCTGCACCCATTCTCCGCTACCGGATTGTCGATATACCTGGCGAAGGTCTGGTCCAAGTGCAAATCAATGAGCCACTTCAGTGGGATGAATATGACGATATTAACACTTACCTTGCATCCGAGGAAACACGATCGATGGCTCTCGACACACCTCTCACGCGATTGGCAGTCGTTCGTGAAGGAGACAAAGAGAAATCCTGGCGGTGCTACATCACCCAGCATCACGCTATATACGATGGCTACTCGGTTGGTCTACTCCTAGAAGAAGTGTCCAAGGCGTATGCCGGTGTCATGCAAAATGATGTGGCACATGTGGCTACGTTCCAAGCCTTCATTCAGCACAGTCTGAACGTGAAGCGCGACGATGCTTTGGACTACTGGAAGCAACAATTCGCAGGGTGCGAGGCAGCATCATTTCCTGCTTTGCCAAACCAAGACTATCGACCCAAAGCTGACAGTACGATCCGTCGCAATATGGCTGACCTTGAGTGGCATGGGCACGGTTCGAAATCCGCAGTCATCAGGGCAGCCTGGGCCATTCTGATAGCGCACTACACGCGAAGCAACGATGTGTTATTGGGAGCCATGGTGTCGGGGCGACAGGTGCCCTTGGCCGGCATCGACCGCACGATTGCGCCTCTCATCAGTGCTGTACCCCTGAGGATCAGGGTGGACCCCAAGGAGAACGTAGACAAGTTTCTTCAGACTATCCAGGAGCAGTCAATTGCAATGACAACTTACGAACAAACGGAACTTCTCGACATCCGCCGTGTCAGTCCAGAGGCAGATGCTGGCACCCGCTTCAACACGTTGCTCGTGGTCAACCCACCTCAAGAACGCAACGGTAATGCAATGCAGCAAGGCCCGTTCGTCCAGCACGAGCCGGTGGGTGATGTGTCCAACCGCGACGGGGACCTGGACGACTTCAATCCGAATGCCATCATGATCATGTGCCATCTAGGTGACGCCAACCTTGGTCTAAGGCTAGACGTTAGCTTCGACTCCAACATCGTGCCGGTGGTACAAATGGATCGGATGGTTGCGCAGTTTGAGCATGTGCTGCGCCAACTCAACGATGCCACTGCCCTGCAACAGCCAGTCGAAAATATCAGTGCCGTCAGTAAGCAAGATATTGCGCAGCTCTGGGAATGGAATGCACCACTGCCTGAGGCGACGGCGAGATGCGTCCACGACCTCATCAGCGACACCATGAAGCAGCAGCCTCAAGCCCCAGCCATATGTGCATGGGACGGCAATCTGACCTACTCTGAATTGGACGCGATCTCAGCTCGTCTAGCGCAGCATCTAGTGGCCCTTGGCCTGGGCCCGGGAAGTATTGTTCCTCTTTGCTTTGAGAAGTCGATGTGGCACACAGTCGCAGCACTGGGAGTTATGCGGGCCGGCGCGGCATGTGTCGCCATGGACTCAACGCAGCCAGAAACAAGGCTCCAGTCTATCGTCCAACAGATTAATCCCAAGTTCATCCTCGCTTCCGCTGCTAATCAGGACCTGGCTCCGCGGCTCGCTTGCGATCCCATAGTTGTTATTGTCTGCCAAGACACAATTGCCCATTATGATCAAGGAGTGCCATCGACTGGCAGCCTCCCCGTCGCTTCTCCCTCCGATATGTTATATGGTTCGTCCATCTCTGTCTCCCCTCGCCTTGTCACCTGGTCTACTTTGCCTGCTTTCATGATCCTTTTATTTTTGATCCCTACAATATCAACAACAACACAACATGCAGAGGTTAACTGATATTTTTGAATAGTCGTCTTCACGAGCGGATCAACAGGGGTGCCCAAAGGTATCGTAACAACGCATCAAAACTTTTCCTCGGCAGCCACGCACCAGAAGGAGGTGCTGCGCATACGACCAGGCACCCGTGTCTTTGACTTTGTGTCGTACAACTTTGACGTCTCGTGGTCGAACCACCTGCAAACGCTCATCTGTGGCGGATGTCTATGTGTGCCCTCGGAGCAGGAGCGTCGAGATGATATTGCCAGCGCCTTCAATCGCATGGGATGCGATTACGCCTACTTCACCCCTTCAGTCGTCCAGTCTCTGGATCCGTCATTGTTTCCGGGCCTGCGCATCTTGGCGATGGGCGGCGAGCCCCTCCAGAGCCGCGAGGTGGCGCGATGGCCTCAACTGGCTAAGGCTAGTGGTGGTATTGTTGGCATCTATGGTCCAGCAGAGTGTGCCCAAGCCGTCTCTTTCATGTCGCTGGAGGCCACCACTACCCACAACCATGTTGGACACTCGTATGGGGCCACGACGTGGCTCGTTGAGCCCGGCCGCCCTGACCGGCTTGCCGCCATTGGCACTATTGGTGAGCTCATGATAGAAGGCCCGACTGTGAGCAGCGGATATTTTGGAGACCCGACCAGAACCGAAGCAGCCTACATTCAAGATCCCGCCTGGCTCACGGATGCATCGACAGCGGGGCATACAGGGCGTAAAGGCACCCTGTTCCTGTCGGGCGATCTCTTGCGGTACAATTCAGACGGGTCCTTGACTTTTATGGGACGCAAGGATGATCTTGTCAAGCTCCGAGGCCAGCGAATTGAGTTAGGTGAGGTTGAACATCACGTCCGGACCTCTCTGCTCGACCCAAGCCTATGCGCGGGAGGTATCGCGGCCGAGATTATCACACCGTGCAACAGCACGAGCCCGCTTCTTGTCGTCTTCTTCGGCCTCGCGAGGCGGGGAGAGGATGACTTATCGCTGGAGAAGAGTGATACTAGACTTTCCCAGGCTGCACAAGGTTTAGAAGACAAGCTGTGGCAGGTTTTACCTCAGTAGTAAGTCTATACTGATGCCCTAAAGGTGAACATGCCCGTCTGACATTATAAATTTGCAGCATGATTCCAGGAGCCTACATCCCCATGGCCAACATTCCAATGACATCAACTAACAAGACGGACCGCCGGGCACTGCGCAGCTATGGGAGCTCACTAACATTGGAAGAGCTCGCACGTATTCAGCAGTCAACAGCAGGTAAAAGTCACTACCGCCCACCGTCGACAGCCATGGAGACGCAACTGCAGGGGTTGTGGGCCGCTGCCTTGGAGATAGATCCCAATAGCATCAGTGCTGACAGCAGCTTCCTGCGCATCGGGGGCGAGTCCATCGCTGCCATGCGCTTGGTGGCAAAGGCTAGAGAGAAGAAGCTGCCCCTCACTGTGATGAACATCTTCAAGACGCCGCGGTTGTCTGAACAGGCCCTGCTTCTCACTGAGATGATGAAGAATAGCACTGAAGCGGACATTGCAGACTCACAATATCCACCACTGCCGCCATTTTCTCTGCTGAAGTCGTCTGGCCACAGCCCTGAGGCATTCATGGAGCAGTTTGTGACGCCCGTGATCGACTGCAACAATGGCACGGTCGCCGATGTAGTCCCTGCCACCGACTTTCAGAGCCTCGCTGTCACACAGGCCCTACAGGACCCGCCAAGCCGATACCCTCACTGGATTCTCGACCTGCCAACTGACACCGACTTTGCAGGTCTGGAGCATGCCTGCGTCGAGCTAATCAGCCGTTTCGACATCTTACGTACCGTCTTTGTCGAAGGACCCAGTGGCAGACTTTGGCAGGTCATCCTGAACAACTTCAATCCGTCCTACACGCAGTTCGATGCCGCAATAGAGCAGGGCGATGCTGACGTCGCAGTGTTCACCGACTCGGTCTGTGAGCAGGATTTGCTCACCCAGCCCCGGCGTCTCGGCCAGTCTTTTGTCCGCTTCATCGCAATCAGGGACCGTCGCTTGGGCTTGCACAAGCTCGTCTTCAGGATCTCGCACGCCCAGTTCGATGGCTTCAGCTGGCCGACCGTCCTTCAGACGCTTTCTCAGATCTACTGCAGCAGCAGTGGGGAAGGAAAGGCTGTGACACCCACATTCGCCCAATACATGGCTTTCATCAGTTCTAGAAGAGACGAAAGTATGCGGTACTGGGCCTCCAGACTGCAAGGGTCCGCCTATCCGCACTGGAGCAACACAGGCCCGACGGATAAGGTGTACTCTACGGAGGATCGGTTGACAGTAGAGCAGTGCATGCCTATGCCAAACATGGCCTCATATGACGATCGCATCTCGACGGCGACGTTGTTTCACGCTGCCTGTGCGTTGGCACTGTCCCGCACGTTCAAGCAGCGGGAAGTAGTCTTTGGGCGACTGGTCACCGGCCGCACCGCACTGCCGGAATCTTTGCAAACCGTGGTTGGGCCGACTATGACAGAGGTTCCCATAAGAATCATTGTGGATGAAGACAACGGGAGCCAAAACAATCTGGCGACCATGGCAGCCAAGTTGCAGGACCAGCTTTTGGAGGATTCGAAATACGAGATGGTCGGGATGGTCGAGATCGCGACTTGCTGCACTGAGTGGGAAGCTGGTGCTGTGGACTTCGGCTGGAGAACTTCGTTCCAGCAGCAGAGTGACGAGGATGACGGCTCAGGCTTTCGGTTCCTCGGAGTTCCAAGCCGTCTGTCTGTGTACCAGCGAGATATGCCGGCCCGCTCCCGACCAGAGGTTTACGCCACGCCTACAGCAGACGGCATGTTGCGCCTGGAAGTTGAGGCTAACGCCAGCCTCGTATCCAAGCACGTGGTCTCAGCTTTTCTAGCAACACTTCAAGACATACTTTTGGGTAACTGGAGGCACAGTTAGACATGTTGAGTGTTGGCAGGCGGAATTGTCCTTAAGATGGTTGATGCATGTATCAGGTGCTGTTGGGTTGGATAGTCAAGTACTTCTGTTAGCAGTCCGTCAAGTAATCTGATCATCACTTGAGTCTCTTAATCTTGTTTAGCACTTCGAGTTTCTGGAGATCAACACTTATGTGTGCTTGATTTTTGGTTCATCTCGTTCGATCCGCGGGACGAGCCAAGGCCTGCGCTCTGGCCTAGCTCGACGCTGAAATTTTGCCGCCAAGACAAATCGTTCACCGCCCAATATCCCCAATCTGGAGGAGGGCTTGCAGCGAGAATCTCGACTGTGGATTAAAACACCGAGTTGGAGAAGTATCCATCGAGAAGGAGCCGCACCCCTGAACAATATGCAGATCGAGCACCCACTCCAAGTGGACCTGCTCATTCTCGGAGCCGGCTGGACGTCTGGGTTCCTTTTCCCACTGCTCCGGCGAAAGGGTCTTGTGTATGCTGCCACCACAACATCTGGACGCGATGAAACCATCCCTTTCAAATATGACCCGAGCTCGGACGACCCGTCGCCATTCCGTCGTCTTCCTTCGGCGACCACTGTTCTCATCACCTTCCCGCTCAGAGGGAAAGGGCCATCAAGTCATTTGACGAGGCTCTACACGGAGACTCACAGGGACATCTCGGCGACAACCCCGCGCTTCATACAGTTCGGATCGACCGGCATCTGGAACACGCCATCCTGGAACGATTCTTCTTCTCCCTACGACGAGACGAACCCTCGTGCCGTTGCCGAGGACGAGCTACTTGCTGTCTCGGATGCCGTGGTGCTCAATCTCGCCGGGCTCTACGGCGGCACACGCCAGCCTCGGAACTGGGTCGACAGGGTGGCCAAAACAAAGGCAGAGCTCAAGGCAAAAGGGGCGCTGCACCTAATCCACGGCGATGATGTGGCCAGGGCTGTTGTTGCAGCTCACGAGAATTTTGAAAAAGTCAAGGGTCAGAGGTGGCTGCTGTCTGACTTGCATGTATACGATTGGTGGGACTTGGTTTTGGCTTGGGCGGTCGACACTCTCCAAGCAGCAGAGGATGACAGTATCGAAGATCAGAAGTCACAAACCGTAATGGCCAGGCAGGCGGAACTGAAGGACTGGGTTGTCGAGTTGATGCATGAAGAGGGAGTTCGTGCCCTTCCTCGGGATACGCCACTGCTTGGCAGAGTCCTGGATGGAAGGGGCTTTTGGGAAGCTCTGTCACTCATACCAATGCATGTACTACGCGTTCCCGGCGGCAGATGATCATTAGACCAAAACCGATAGATTTGAGCTGTCATTGAGTTGGAAGAATCTCTAGCATCTCTCGACGCACTTTCTTTCAAACAAAGTTGTTAAACTTGCGTCTCAAATTATGCATCAATCATATAACGGTGACTACAATGTCATCAGGGAGGGATAGATTGTCTGATGCTCAAAATAGAGCAGTCGTTCCAAGAATATATCATGGATTTGAAGTGCAATCTCAACTACACAGAAACTACTCTCCGAGACTGACGCAAACAAATTGCCCTACTGTCAACCGAGGGCAGTTGACCTACGCGATGTAATCGTCAGCCCAAAAATTTGAAGATGATAGATGCTCAGAACTCGTCACTCACCGAGGGATTCCATCGCCTGAACTGTGAAGTCGTAATGCCATACTCGGCAGTGAGATTCTCGCAGTTTTCTCCTCGCCTCACCTTGTGGAAATCGACACCTTATCACACGTACCCCCATGTTAGCAAAATCGCCCGCGTATCTCCCTTTCCCTTCTCCACACAAAGAGTACTCACAATTGTTCACAGACCCCTCCTGAATAGGACACAATGTGTTTGCCGGCCCGGGCGCCGTCACCGTCGTCGCCATGACAGAGGTCACCGTCTTGAACGCCGTCTTGGTCACCGTGCTCGTCGCCCCGCCACCGCCGCCGCCGCCGGGCGGCTTCCCGATCGTCGTCGTCCCCGTGTCGACCGCGCACTTGCCGAAAGCGGCCTGGCACCCGGAGCCGCAGTAGTCGGCCGAGCCGCCGCAGTACCCGTGCTCGGAGCAGCAGTCGCCGAACCCGGAGCCGAGACAGGTCACGCCGGCGCCGCAGTCGCCCTCCTCGCTGACCTTGAGGCCCGACGGCGGTGTCGTGCCGGGCGGGGCGGCCGGCGCCGAAGTCGTTGTGGGGGCGGGGGCGCTGCCGGGGGTGTCGCTGACGCAGTACTCGCGGCCCGCGACGAGGGCGCAGTTGGCCAGCGTGGGGTTCAGATTGAGGAACTGGCTGACGGTGGTGCCGGAGGCGCTGGCGACGGAGGCGCAGGTGTCGCCTTGCTTGGCTACGACCGTGCGACCGCAGGCCCGCGGCGCCAGATCTACCGCGCAGAGAGCCGGCGCCAGGAGGGAGAGGAGGACCAGGTATTGAGGAGCCATGTTTGCCAGACTTGGGCGAATAGTCTGGGGACAGAGTGCGTCTGAGTCCGATGGACATTTCGCACGATGCAGGCGTTGGCTCTTATATACTACTGCTAGTCCTTCATATTCATGTTCTAGACCCGGCGTACGTTGCATCAGGGACTGGCTGGATCAACAACCGGGTATCTAAAGCAATATATTTAAACGTTGTTCTACGTGCGACCGAGGCGTGGTGGCCTGGCAAATAGGACAGCGACGTAGGCTGTTTAGCCATGTCATATACATCCTGTCTCTTTCCAGGTTACCGTCCAGTAGGAAAACGCTTCCCCGGTTCGAGGGCCGCCGAAGGACCTGGCCTGATCGTGGGAAAGCACAGCTCTCTGCCGGGCAAGGTCTAGAATGCTGTATGCATCTCCCCCGGTTTTCTCGGGTATCTGTAGGCTAATCCTGTCCATGCAGTCTCTCTGGCAAATGGATGGTCACCTCAGGAAAGCTTGGATTTAGCCAAGATGGCCACGGCCGGTACTTTTCAAGTTGCATTTCTACGGATGAGCAGGCGCATACGTAAGCTCCATATATTTTCTCGTTTGGTGCTACTCTGTCTGGACTGTTGTGATCCGATCATGTTCTTGCCCTGAGAATTCAACCCTCTTACGAACTTGGACAGATTTGCCACTTCAAAAGCTATTTTGCTCTAATAGACTTGCTGAACCCCTAAAGAACCGTTTCTCAAATCTTCTTGCCATAAGGCTTCCCCTGATCGTCACCCTCGGTTGTCGTGGGAAGGGTCTTGGTCCACTTGAACTGTCTCTCGATGACAGCATTCCAATTAAATGGCTTCATGATCCGCCCGAATCTGTTGGGTTTGCGGCCCTGGTCTTCTTTCGGGTATCGTTCCAGGTTCTGCCCATTGTACAGGTCGATGATCTTTTTGCAGTCTTCCTCGATGGTGGGCCTCACTCGGTTCTTGTACCAGTCGGTCTGCGCTCCGTGGTCTTGGCGATGCTCAGTGTAGTAAGCAGTGCGGTATGGCGGTCGTTTGCCTTCGTCTTTGCCCTGAGCTTTGGGATCGGGCTGGAAGCCTGGTCTGAAGTCCCACTCGAACTCGTAGAGGTACTCGTAGTAAAAGTAGCCGCTGGCACCGTGAGACATGGTGGGCGAACGGGGCGCGAGGGGTATTGAGGTGCTAGCTACGGTGGACCAAAAAGGGTACGATCGCTTTCATGTTGGAAGAGCGTTCAACGAGTGAAGTTGGCAGGTCAGCCCGCCTTTAAATACAGCTGGCTTTCTATGTAGCACGGTTTGAGCCGCTCAGACGGTCAGCCTAACTGGACAGCCTTGTCCTCAGCCAAGCAGTCTCCGCGCTTCTGCGTATTTAGTGCTTACAGTATGGTGTAATGGATCGCGCATTTATTGGCCGTCACCTCAAGGGAGGCCGTAGGATTCTATCTTCTTGACTGCATCTTGGGGGAGTCCGCTTGCGTTGGGGGCCGAAAAAGTGACATTTGTGGCTATGAACAGGAACGGACTGAATCCATCGACAGCGATTGCCCTCTCAATACTTGGCACGCTTACCATCTCATTATACCGAAAGAGAGAATGCACATAGTCCTTTTCACATCTACGGTATGGGAACCGTGCCCAATTCCACCCAATCGGTACCTTTCAGCTGAACCTCCACCACCGCCAGGTCCCTCTGAAAATAACACCGGTTCTCGGCCGAGGCCTCCTCAAGAGCAAGCGGTTTCAAATCCGCGTTCCTGGCCGACATGGGCATCGTGATGCAGGCGATACGAGTCCCATTGTCCGCTTTGGCTAGCGCGGCCGGCCGAGAGCTCCTCCAGCTCAGGTCATCATCTTGACGCAGCGCAACGATGCCACTATCTGTATCTTGATATAGTATAAAGGTGTTTGTGCGATTTTGGCGATCGCCCAGACGTGCTGTCGCAAATGCCGCGATGGCATAGCCCTTTGGGAAAGATATGTCGGGGAGAGTAACATCTGCGATGGTCTCATCAGTCCTCGCAGCACAGAGTTACTTTGCAGGGGATTTGTGTTTACCTGGAGGCCAAGACCGGGAGACATTTGTTGTCTTTTGCGCATTGGGGATGAAAGTCTTCAGCGATCCCACGAGGCTCTGATACACGATACCATAGCCTCCCGGTTGAGCGACGGTCTCAAAGGCAGTCGAGAGCGGCACTATAGCGATGCCTGAGCCCTGGCAAGCGAGGATCTCGAGGGTTTGTGCCGCGTAGTCTCCTGATGGGCTGAAGGTGCCCTCACCGTACCCGCCGAGCACATTTTGCACCTCAACAAGACGCCCGTCGATGTTTTGGTAGATGGTGTATGGCCAATAACTCGCGAGGGAGCTTCGCTGATCTGCGGTGCGATTGTACATGTTGATGCCGTCTGCATTGTTTGGAGGGTTCCAGAGGGTATTGTGGTTGACACCGCTCAACTGGTTGTTTGGGCCATTGAAGAAGTAGGTCTGAGTTTGAGGCTGTCAAGGGGGTCAAAGTCAGAAGATGGACAGGACCGTATGTGTACATTGCATCACAGACATACCTGATAAATCTGTTGATAAACCACCGTTGTCGCGCTGATGGCCGTGTTCGACGTAGCAGCAGCCGCAGCGGCAGCCGGTTCCAACCAGTAAGAGTTATTCTGCGTTGGTAAACCTCGTCCACTGTCGTATTTGGAGAGGCGGATGACGTTGTCCTGGCCCTGATAGTACAAGTATAATTCGGCGCCGGTGACCTTCCTCCAAGCCGTCACTCCTAGGGGCGAATTGGCTTTGATCGATCTTGGTTGTGTAGGAGCGGTGGCCGGGGAGCTTGATATCGGAGTCGGTGGTTGGTTGGCTGAATTAACGGAAGCAGTACTCCTTCGTCCGAGCGTTCCCCCGACCGCACCGCCGATGACAGCGATGATCACGACAAGGCTCAGTACCGCCCATATCACTCTTTGCCGCCCTGTTTGTGGAAGAATCGTACATCGTCGTAAGGGCTGTTGTGGCTGCTGCTGGTGGATCTGACTTGGATCGTCTTGTTTCTCGAGATAGGCCACGTCTCTGGCATAGTTGACCGCCGGGAGCTCGTTCGGGTAGCTGGTCCCTATTCCCATGCCGTCGGGATAATCCTGGGTGTGAGGGTAGTGATTCTCAACTGTCACGACTTCTAGACCTGCGGGTTCGAAAAGTGCCTGGTTGCTGCCACACACGCCCCCGAGATTTCCCGGTCCAGCCTAACATGAGAGGTTAGTCGAGGGAAGCCCGAAGCATTTTGCACATGATGTCCTCACCATGTTACCAGACTCTGCCCTTTCGACTCTGTATTTGCCTGGATGCTCGTCTGCTCGCGCTACTGCATGTTCTCGTTCAATTATAGCAACAACGGCAATATGAGTGAACTCGTGAGGCGAAAGGTCGGCGGAATGGTCGAGTAATGGCGGGCAGAGACTGGCCTACCCGCACGGCCACTCGGCCGATGGAATCCCAGGACCAACATGCTGGCAATGAGACTGTGCGTCCACATACTGGGACCCCCTGCATGTCATGCCATAAAGAGAAGTCTCAGAGCCCTCTCTGGAACCAACAACACTTGTCATGTGCAGGGGAACCTCCCGACAGGGAGCGAGATCAACTTTCCAGCATGTACGCCCCTTTTCGTATCTCTGGCTGGGAAACATCTCACGCAACGGTCGGCCTGCTTCTCCACGTATCACACGGTGTTTAAATGCGTACCTTCTGAGATTTTCAACCAGGTTGGAATTTGATAAGTTGAGAGCGGACCGAGTACTTGATTTATTATACATGGTAATCCAAGTCTTGTGAATCTGCGGTCTCCAGCTCGCCGTGGGATCTTTTGATTCGTAGCTATAAAGTCGTAGTGGATGTGCGTGCTGCAGAGCCAACGCAGATATCCAAAGCGCAACGTCGAGTCTCGAAGTGATCACGTAGTTCCACCTGGTCCAGAGCCATCCTCGCATCTCTCTGGTGTTCAACAAGCCAATTTCGATGCAAAACCTTGAATTACTGCAAAACCCATTCAGCTCAAGGCTGCACGCGCAACTTCTTCTTCCTGGTAAACGCAAGGGGCCAAAATGCCTCCTCGATCTTGGGCCGTGGCGTTGGTCTCGCTACTGGTGCCGCAACGGGCTTCGCTGCTGGTCTCGACCGAATGGTTGGCATTGCTATGACATGGTTCTAAAACGATGGTCAATGAGCTGGCGCAGCACGGCTTGAAGCAACGAATAGACGTACCGACAGTAAGGAAGGGTGGCTCAAGATGACGAGGGACAGAAAGCACGCCGTGAGTACTAGCAAGCGCAGGAAAACAGCCGAAGCCGTCGATCTCGCGACGGCCATGATGAAAAGGTGTGCGTCCAGTTGAGCAATCAAAAGGACCAGCAGGGAGATGTTGCCAGGAGCAGACGGGCGACTTTATGGATGCCCGTAAAGGGAGGCAAAGCTCATTGAAGAAAGTGAGGGGAGTCGACCATTGATATCAACCACCCTCTTCGAGGATCATTGCGGAATTGGACCCCAAACCACTGCGCCGTCGGAACCACCGTCGGCATCATTGTGCTTGGTGGAGGGGCCTGCGGGGAACCCCGTCCATGTCCGGCTCCATCTGCCTCGTCTCGGCGGCGGTGTTGTTGGTTCATGGACGTAGTGTATCATGTCCATGTGCACCTCCTGACCCAGGCCGCTGGTAAATGACAAACACAACGTCGTTGGAGTCTGAAGGCTTTCTTGGAAGATTCCCTTGTATTTTTGGAATAATCGCTCTCTGTTGAGATGCATCGCATTCATGCACCATCACTCCGTTCTAGGTTGTGTTTGACGGAGTCAGCAGTGACAGAACACCTGTAGTGAGGAGGGAATTCCGTAACCCGGTTGTCTGGAGGAGTGGTGTGACCGTACCTGGAAAACCCCGGCACGAAAACCATCTAGACTACCTAGGTATCTAGGGACAGCCATGTCAAGCAAGTTTAGCCGCCCAGTCCATGCGCTGCTAGCTGCATGCCGAGGAATGTATTTCAGCTCTGCACTTCCCGCTGGCTTCAATAAAAACGGCCGCACCATTTTTGACATCATAATTGCCTACTCGTACTTGGAAAACGGCACAGGTATATTTGGAATGCGCTTTTCTACTAGATGGTGCGATAAAAACGACTCGCTTCGAATGCAATGCCATCAGACAACAACCCCCTGACAATGACCCGTACGCATAGACGCACGCCTAGGTAATTGACGTTGAGTTCCCTCGTATCGCGGCACATCGCGTCGCGCCCTCTTGCCCGCTTACCTGCCCACCGTTGACGGGAGTCTACACGCACTGCGAGTAGTAATCGCCCGACTTCTGGCACGTCGACCCGCTGACGCACGTGGTGCAGCCGGTGAAGCCGATGCCGCCGCACTGAGCCCACTTCTGCGCCGTGCAGCCACCGCCGCCGCCGTTGGTCGGCTCGGCTGGCTTGGTCGAGGTGGCGAGCGTCGTGGACTGGGCGGGTGGGTTGCCGCCGCCGCCGTTGGCGCCGCAGGTGAACAGCTCCGGGCCGGGGATGACGTACTTGCTGCTGGGCGTCATGCTGTAGATGTTGATGAGGATGCCCGGGTCGGTGGCCTGGGAGAGGTGTTAGTCGGGTTGCTAGCCTTGGCTGCGACACACAAAAGACGCTTACCTTGTAGATGCCGGGGAGGCTGTAGGTCTTGGACGGGGCCGAGCCGGAGCCGCCAGAGACGCGGATCTGGGCGCACTCCATCTGCAGGTGCCAGAGCTTGTTAGCATCTCTTTCTCTCAGATCGAGCAATGTTCGAAAGACCGTGTAAGTGAAGACAAGGTTGTTTCATACATAAAGCTGGGCACCGCCACTTCCACTGGCGGCATGCAGCGCGATCATCTCGGCACGGAGCAGGTACTGGCCGTCGGGGATGCAGCTGGGGATCGTGATGGCGTGGTTGCCGCCATTCTCAATGACCTTGCTCGTGCCCCAGACGCCGTTGTTGTATCCGTCCTCCTGGATCTTGAACCTGCAATGCGACACGTGTCATGAGCAACCAAGCCTTTCATTGAGCCTTCCGGATGCAGAAGAAGTCTTACCATCCACCGCCGATACCAGAGTCCTGGACGGCGTTGTCCACCTTCTTCATGTACGCGATCGTGGGACCCTTGTGGCTGGCGTCCATGACGTCGCTGGGTCCAGAGGTCAGGGTGTGGCGCCAGATGGCGGTGACGGTCTCGCCGGCCTTGACGTCGATGATCTTGTCGGACGGGGTGGTCGGGTTGGGCCCGCCGTTGCAGACGACGTCGTTGGAGGTGACGTCGGTGATGGGCCCGTCGTAGGACGGCGTCCGGATGCCGTAGCCGATGGGGTTGGTCGTGCCGCCGGCCTTGAGCTGGAGGAAGATGGTGTGGGCAGAGGCGACGGATGCGCCGCTCAGGGCTGCCGCAAGGAGGCTGGTGGTCTTCATCGTGTGTCGAAGGAAGGACGGGGAGCTCTGACAGACTGTACTGCGTGCGGGTCGACAAAGCTCGAGACAAATCTTGCCCACACAGGCGATGTCACGACTAGATATACTCCTCATCAAGCCGACCCCTTTTCCTCGATCGGAAGGGCGCCAAGTGCCCGGTCGTTCTGCGGCGATGAGGGCCATCACGAGCGAGAACGACCTGGTTTCTCCTCCAATAACTGATGTCTTGGTGGGTACCGATAGAATCTCAGGGTCGACTACCAGGTTTGAATAGATTGCTCAGGAGCTGGGCGAGGGGAGAGACCCGAGCTTGTGGGCGTGGGAGGCACGGAGGCACCATCTCCGAAATACCGATCTTGAGGCAACGATCGCAGCCTGGTGGAACCGCGCAGTCTGGCCTAGCTGTGCTTACGGGCCTTCAATCCGATCGATACTACTATCAAGCATTGGCATCGGGGCCCAAAGCTCGAGGGATAGAAGTCCCGGGTCTTCAGGTTGCGGTGCTTGACATGGAAGCAGAGGCCCCGAATGATCGAGGCGGGCTGACATGGTGCTGCTTGGCTCCGATCTAGCCATGGTCGCCAAGACTCTTCGGTGTCCGTGATCCGACGCTGAATCTCTCTTAAGCATAGATGATGTTGCCCAGGGGGCATATTCATAATGGCCTCGATCATCTCTGTCGTCGTTCATCGAGCTTGACTCATCATCAGTTGTCTAGGTATCGGCGAGCATTAGCTTGCTTCCATTAGCGCGCCGCTTCCCCGCAAGAGGCGCTGAAGCGACGGCAAACGTCCCGTTGTGGGCTTCGGTTTAGCGCCCCCGCACCCCGGCCTGCGCTAAACGGTAGCGACTGCTCTGGGCTGTGTTCCGGTCTCGGTCCCAGTGTTGATTGACTCGGTCTCTCTAATATCATCAAGTCAAAGAGGTTGCGTCCTCATCGACATGGCTTTGGGCCTAAAAACACCGAAGTCCAAAGATGGCGTGCATTCCAACTTCAAGTGCAAATCAAGGGGCTTGTTGCCGCGAATCAGGCATGAAACAACGTGACCATCCACATTCACCCGGGCCAGTCTTACCTAAGCCGTGACGTACACAGCTCAGCCTCCCCCACTCCTCACAGAGTGTTTCAGGCTGCCTCAATCTGACAACCTTCAACTGGTAGATGATCACGCCACAGAACACCTCTTGACATTTCATAATTATCCCCATCAGGGCAGGCAAGCACACAAACACAGACCTAGAAATCACACCGAAGGGACGACAGCCTCGCCCTTCAACCACCTCTACCAAAACCAAAAACGCAAACCCAAGCAACATAACAATGGGCCGCTACTCCCACTACGACACGGACGAGGAGCGCCTCCCCGAGAACATGACCCGCATAGGCTACGACGCCGACACCCAGGTCTACACCTACCGCGACGAGTCCGACGGCTCCATCTGGGAGGGCGCCCCCGGCTCCCGCTACGGCCAGATGCACCGCGTCTCCGGCGGCCCGCCCGCCAGCCACGACCACGGCGGCGACGGCGCGAACAACCCTCCCCCCTACTCCGACACCCACCACACGGGCACCACCTACGCCGACTACGTCGACGGCGGCGGCAGCAGCCAGCCCCACCGCTCCTGGCGGCAGGAGAACATGCCCCTGCTCAACTTCTTCCTCATCATCGGGCTCTTCCTCCTCGCCGTCTTCTACTTCATGGGCGTGAGCTTCAGCGGCGGTGGAACTACCAAGCCCATGTGCGGCGACGGGCAGGCAGAGTACGAGGTGCGCCGGGGGGACACGTGCTGGGCCATCGCCGAGACGAGGGGCATGAGCGTACAGGAGCTGACGGGCTTGAACCCGGGTGTCGACTGCGACAAGCTCGGTGTCGGGTCGGTGCTGTGCCTCCCCGGGAAGGCTCCCGCGGTTTGAGGATATCCACAGAGTTTTGTTTCACTTGCAAGGACGGGCAACGAACCGAATGAATAGTTTCTTTTCGAGTTGTAGCAGAGAAGGATGGCCTCTTGGAGTACGTAGGTCGTCGCAGAGCGACAACCGCTACTATGACACAGCAAAACAATACCCCAACTAAACAACACAACTAATCGAGTAACAAATTGAGCAGACAGTGTTCATCGTGTATCGTATGCAATTCATATAATCTGCTGCCACTGCTCAAACTCTAGGAGAAACCGCAAGACAAGAAGTCAAAATTGTATGCTTCCAAAGCCCCATGTAATGTACCCATTCCATGCTTCCCATCCCCTCCCTTGTCCACAATACCAGTGCCACAGACCACCCTCCCACTTCCCTCGCACAAAAGATATCAGACATCACAATCTCACTCCACCCCCTTGAACCTCCGATTAAACTCCTCCACCGCAACCGCCACCATCCGGTACAAGAAAGCCCGGCTGCTCTCCTCCCCGACGGGGATAAACGGCCCGTTCGTGTTACCCCGGAGAGTCAGGCTCAGGCCCGTCCTCTCCTTGGCGATGGTCTGCACGTCCTTCAGGGGCACATCCCACTCCGCCGTCAGCCGCCGGCTCCGGATGAGCAGGATCCGTGCGTACGTCACCATGACCACCATGTCCTCGCGGGGCAGCTCCAGGTGCGCAATGTACTGCTCGTCAAAGTACTTGCCGTTATCCACCTGCTTGAGCCAGAACTGGCCCAGCGCCTCGCGCTGGTTGTACGGCCGCACGATGCCGTCGGCGGGGACGAAGCGCGCGATGCGCACCCGGTCCAGCTCCGACCCGTCAAACACCGTCGTCGTGTTGCGGATGCCCTCCGACACGTTGCTCGCCATGTCGAGCACCCCGATCGCCGGCTTGGTCGCGAACCCCAGCACCCCCTTGCCCACGCCCTTGAAGAAGCCAAGCGCGCCTTCTTGCTCGGCGCCCTCCAGTGGTTTCCTGGCAAGCCCGCCGACGCCCGACGCCACAGAGGTGAAGAGGGAGTTAGCCCCGGCTGTCACACCGTACAGCGCGTGCTTGGGCCGGTTGCGCGCTCTAGTAATGCGCCTGCGGTCCTGGAACTGCTTGTCGAGGGTCGCCGCAGCCAAGCCCTTGGACAGAGAGCCCGTAAACTTGGAGAAGGAGTCTGAGAAACCGTACACCGTCTTCTTCGCGAACGAGGCCGCGCCACGTGCAAGACCGATACCGAGCTCCTCTGGCTTGTCGGACATGATAAGTCCCTGGTACGGCTCGTAAAAGACATCGGTGAGACCGGAGCTGATGTTGTTGAAGAGACCGACGGGATTGCCCAGGAAATCAGCAGATCCAAGAATCTTGTGGATCTGGTAGAGCACCTCCTGGCTGTAATGGTTGGACAGAGTGCTGATCAGGAACGGCACAGTGACACGCGCGTTCTCCAGCATACAGGCGTTCAAGCGGACTGGTGCATCGTTGACATTGCCAATGGCCATGGTGAGCACGTTGAAGAAGAACATCAGCGGGTTGCGCGACGAGCTCTTGTCCTCGGCGTTGACGCGCTCTGTCCGCATGAACGAGAGATCAAGCTGCATCGGCTGGATGTTAAGTAGCTCGAAGTAGATATCCTGGCCAGCCTGCTGCTGCTTCGGCTCGGGGATATCCAGGCTCTCATCACATAACTTGCCCTCTTCCTCCGCTGTCCCAGCTGTTCCAGGGACCTTGGAGAAGTCCATGACGGCGTAGACAAAGTCTTCGTCAAGATCAACAGTCATCTGTTGAATAAGGATGGTGGCATATTTGATATAGACCACTCCGTACGAGTCGTCCTTGACGCGGGTGACCATGGCGTGCAGCGAGGGATGTGCCTCTATCTCCTGAGCCCTCTTGGGCACGACGCTGGGGTACAGCACCATCGGGAAGATGCCGCCGTAGAGCTGGTTGTCGATCTGCACCCACTTGACAGCCAGGCTGATGGTTTGGTAAAGAGGCGACTCGCTGTACCTCAGGCCCACGTCTCTGAGCGTGATGTATGCCAGTTCTTTTAATTGAGAGTTGACAAGCGACACACCAATGCCCGCAAGTTTGAGCTGCGCCCGGAAGGTCACACCAGTGTCTTGATTCTTGGCCTCGAATGCGCCAACGTTGGAAGCAGTAGAGCCCGATTGTGTCTTTTGTCGGTATAGACTCTTGGACTGGCGGAAGTTGGACAAGATCAGAGTCTGCGTCGGGCCATCTGCCGCAACGTTGATGTCAATGACCTTGGACTGGCCGGTGCTGGAGTTGGCAAATTTCATTGGGAGCAGATTGCCGATCTCTGCCAGCTTGACATGACGCTCCTTGCCATAAGCACTGATCACCACCTCGCGGTGCTTGGCGGCGGGGAAATCCCAAGCATAAGGCATGATACTCCTTGGCGGCAGACGGTACCTTATGGGCCTCCATCCAGAGCGATCCTCAACACCTTCCTCGTCAATGTTCGGGTTTGCTTGGTAGAAGGTGAATTCGGTATCACTCTCGTTGCGCATGGAAAATGGCCAGTTCTTGGTCTCCATGCTCAAATGCAGGAAGATTGTTGCGTCCTCCATCAAAATCTCGGCCCGGATCAGCCTCTGTCGCTGGCTGGCCTTTGCAATTTTGATGTGAGTTGTGCCTGTATCCGAGATGCTGAAGGGTGACGTCCATTGGTTGTTCACCCCAGGGAAACAGAGACTGAGTTGCTTGACGGGGCTTCGCTGCAAGAAGTGAAGGGGCTGGAGTGCACCCGACTTCAGCGTCATCACATTAGACGAACTGGGTTCGCGAATGTTGATCTCCTCACCGAGCTTGTTCTGCAGGATGAACCGCGGCGCCAGGGAGACCACTTTGGTCATCTTGTATTTGCCCTCTCCCGGCTCCACTGTGATGCCGATGTGGATCTCTGTGTTGTTGCGCGAGGTCGATTGCAGAACAACCTCCGCATTGCTACCAATGGCGTCGAAACTCTGCGGCTTACTCCATTCAGAGTCGCCCACTTTCAACGACACACGGTTTCGTTGATCTTCGTTGGCGAAGGAGAACATGAGCGGTTGCGCCTTGGGCTGTTCGCCCTCAGAGGGATTGCTCAGAGACTGCCCTGCTGCAGCCTTGGCCGGCTGCATGAAGCTCTTGGAGCGCACGTCGAGGTCAAGACCGGTCTTGTTGAGAATGACGTACGGGCTGTACACTGTGACCTTGAACGCACCGCCGCTGTCCGGTACTTTGTGGTAGTGAAGTTTCAAGTGTAGGTTGCGTCCGCTATCGTCCCGGCAGACGAGTGTATTCTCTCTCTTGAAGTCATCGGCATGGCCTGAATGCCCCGAGTTGATGATAGCAAACTCGCTCGACTTAAAGACCGTGTCTTGCATGTCGACGCTCAAGAGCAGAAGGTGAGACAGCTCCGTGACGTGGACAGGGCTAACGCCACCCTTGCGGAGGAAGTTGGTCCAGTCCTTCTTCGTATTTCGATCGTAGATACGGTACTTGAAATCGTACGGCAAGAGGTTTTCGAGAACCACTGGGGCAGACAGCTTCAGCTTCATGTAAGGATAGTTCCTGATCTCAATTAGTGTCTGGTATGAGCACAATCAAATTTGTCGAGACGTCACTTACCTGGTCAACGGGTTGCCGCGGTCGTACACAGCATTCATCTGGAAGTAGAACGGCTCCCCATGCTCACCCTTGCAGACCATGGTCCGTGTAGGGCGTTTGAGTAGATCTTTCCACCACAGCGCATCATTGGACCAAGCGTAGCCGAACCCAGAGTCTGGTCTGACTAGTAGGCTCTTCAGGTACACAGCCCCAACCGGGGCAGGTCGGCTCTCACCCGGCGGGATCTTTTCAATCTTCAGCAAGTGGCCTTCTTCCGCATCGTAGACACCGATCTCGATGGGGATCTGTGTCTGGTTCTCCACCAAGAGCGGGCTGCGAAGCGTGACATATTTGACGTTATCACTGCCGAGCTTCACGTCGACCAGCAGGCGATGCAGAACCTGGTCTGCCTTGGGCCGAAGCCCAAAGATGAACTCGCCCTCACGGTTGAGGCGGATGTTCTTGACGGTGTCAAAGCCAGAACCCTCGATCTGGACCGAGACATTGGCACCTTGCGACTCCGCGAGTAGGTTCTCACGCATCTTCTCCCAGTGCTCAAAGGACCATGGTCCCTCCTGGCCCTCCTCAAGGCGGAGAGTAATGTCCTCTTCCGAGGAGGAGTGGCGCGACTGGACAACAACATCAAAGCCAGTGTGGTTGCGGATGCGATATGGCGCCTCTACTCCACGGGGTTTGCCCAGCACGTCCTCATCCTGCGTCAGGAAAGCGAACGACTTGGAACCGAGGGCAATGGTATTCGTGGTAATTGTGACGTCAAAGACCTTCTTCGACGTGACATCGACAGATAGAAGTCCAGTGCCTTGTTCTCTGGCAACACCGAGACCAACCTGCCAGGGCTCGATGAGCGGTTCCCACGCCGACTTGGCAAAGTTGTACACATTGGTGTACATCTCAATTGCCGTCTCCGCCTTCAGATTGCTCGACCAGTCCTCAGCTGTGGCGGTGAAGTGCTTGATGCTAAGGTCAAAGATGGGCAGTTCGTGCAGATCTCCTATCAGCACAACGCGAATGCCATCAATAGTCGCGGTGAGATCCTCGTGTTTCGGGGGTGGTTTTGTGATGTCGTGTGCCGTAACAGGCTTCTGGTGCGACTGCGATCGACCACTGATAGTGCCAGCAGCTTTGGACTTGCCCGCAGCCATAGTGGACGGGCCCTTCCCGCTTGCTGTCCGCTGCTTAAGCCCAGCTTGCCGGAGTTCCTTAGCCTTTTCGTCCGCCGCGCTCGGCTTGTGAGACTGCTGCTCATTATCAGACAACTCTGAGGCCTTGCTGACGATCTGAAGAACGAGCAGAATATCACGCAGCGACAACCGAAGGATAAGAGGCTCGATATCGACGTGAATGCTCGTCTGCGAGGGCTTTGAACTATCCATAGACATTTGAATTGAGAAGTCATCGATGATTCTCAGTCGAGTATCGTCAAACCGATCCATGCGGCATAGGAACATGCCGACCTCAGAGACCTGGAATGTCAGGGCGTGCTGCTGTGAAAGGAGTACCTGTTTGGTGCCTAGTACAATTGCCTCTGAGCTGGAGCTTAGTGGGTTGGCGATAAGGATGATTTGAGCGTCGACCACGTTGACTCTAAAGGCGATGTTCATCTTGTTCTCGTCCTTCTGCTTGTTCTCTCGGGTACCGCGGGCATCACGGCCAGGGTGACTCTGCTGCGATCTTGTCTTCACCGATCGTGCTACCTGCATCGAGTCGGCATCAGACTCCTCAGGTGTCTCGGTAGGGCTCAGCTCCTCTGGCGCGGCAACCTCGTCGACCTGCAAGCCTGTCGACACAAAGTGCTGAATAGCAAATAGGTAGTCCAAAGCGAAGATGACTCGCGGGCTGTCGATGGCGACCATGGCGATGAGATTGCGCTCTTTGCCGCCCGACATGGACACACTGGCCATGAATTGCTGAACCTCCTTGTTGGAGACCATTATCTTCCTGAACTTGTTGGATTCGCGTGGTCGGCTATCGTGAATGGTGAATGAGCGTATTACAAACTCAGCCTCCAGGGAACCGTTGGCCTGCATCCTTGTCTTCAGTCTACTGTCGTCGAGGGAGAAGCGCGAGAGGCTCGCGCTCTTCAAGTCGCCAACAGGCTTGTCCTCCTGCGCACTGATAAGCTCCAAGCCGATCGTGCTCACGTTAAAGACAAGATCGAGCTTCGTCCAGGTGCTGGAATGGGTGCCTAGTTCCGGAGCAAGGTCAATCGCTTGTTCCTCAGACGTAGTCTGCGTATCCCATGAGCCGGTCCTTGCTCGCTCGAGGGTTTGTTGGTCCACGTCCTGCTCAGCCTCATCGGCGCTCTGATCCGAATCGTTCGCAAAGGCAGCCGGAACGGATCTTGAGATTTCCAGAAGAAACCGGAGCTGGTAGGGAGTAATACGTAGGTTGAAGTCTGTCATGTGTCCTTCAATTTCCGTGTCGGGGCGTTTCATTCCTTCCTGATGCTCCGCGTATGTGATATCGAATCCAAGATCCGTGTCTTCGATCAAGTCTAGTTGTTCGGACTCGCCATTTGGGTAGTTGAATTCGGAGGTCAATTTGATATTTCGGATCCCGGCAGACAGCTTCATCGCAATTATAGCATCCTCAGAGTCGTCCAGCGGGGCAAATTTATTCTGCGCGTAGATCTCACCGAGATAGGCGGTCAGGAGATCGCGCTTCGGTTGGCCAGGCACGACAGCACGTGGGAAGACAACAATGGGCGTGTTGACGATCACGTCAAACTTGAAGCGACTGCTGCTCTGTTGGATTTGGTTTGCCTGGTTTGCTGCAGCCTGTCGAGCCGCGTTGTAGATGGCCTGCATCTTCCCGAACTTGACGAGGAACTCGACAATCTTCCGGAAAGGCTCCTCCACAAAATTGACTTTGATAGAGCCTGCGCGAAGGTAAATCGATGAGTCGTACCCGGGGTATGTCTTGGGGTTGCTGGCATCAAAGGTTTCGTAGCGGAAATCTGCTAAATCATCGCCTTGAATGGTGATGAGTTGGCGCAAGGACGAATCCTCAGAGACACCAAGGTTCACGTCGTCCACGAGATTGAGGTCTCCAAGCCTGGTTGCCACACGCATGGTCTTACCCAGCAAGAAGACCCCGACGTCGGCGTGATTGAACGACAGAGTTGCCAGGCGAATTCCATCATTATTGAGAATCAGCCGAATACTCTTAAGATCAACCTTCACCCTGATAGCTCCACCTTCTGCCTGTTTGGGTGGGGTTGGCTCGATGACCTGGACTCCCGAGTCATCACTGGTGGCCTGCTTTGGCGGCGGATTGTTGTCGTTACCACCAGTGAATGTTATTAGGATGAAGTCAAGCAAGGTCAAGAGCGTCTTGCGGGTGACGATGAGATTGATCGTCGAGATGGCGACCTGGATGTTGGTCTCAACACCCTCATAAACAGGCATGAACTCCGGAGACTCCTTCTTGACTCTCACGAACTTGACATGCACAAGCTCGCGGTCTTGTTGCTTGTCTTCGAAGTCGCCTGTCGACACGATCGACTTGAACTCGGCCGAGGGATTAGAGACAAAGTCATCCACTGTGACGGAGCCCAGAGAGACCTCGGCCACCATGTCGTAGGGGCGAAGGTAGAACTCGAGGTCGAAGTTTTGCGCAACCAACTCCACCAGAAGCGAGTCTGGTCTCTTCTTGTCAGGATCACTGCGGTACAATGACCCACGTAGTTCATCAACAGCAAACTTGAACTGAAAGCTCTTCTGTTGCATCTTGAGCTGCTCGTTGACAGTTCCAGACTTGGCATCCTCGAACTCATCATTTTCATCATCAAGATCGTCGTCAAGAATGATGGCTGTCTGTTGTGTCGTGAAAGGGAGAAATTGGGAGGACTTGTTGCGCGTGTGTTTCTTATTCGACCGACCGGAAGCACTACTCAAGAGTCGGGGTCGCTTAGGCTGGCTGGCCTGCTCTTGCTGGGGCTGCTGTTCTCCTCCGAGTTTGGGTATCGCCACATCAATGATCCTCATCAGCGTCTTGTATTTGGTGTCGGACATGGTCGCATGGAGGACTGGCATGTGACCGGAGACCTTCATCCGGGTGAGGTTCGGGGCTTTGGGAAGGATGGATATTTCGACGATAAAATCGACATTGATCTTCTCCACGATGTGAAATTGCAAGGACTCATCCTTCTCCACAAGTTGAGCCTTAGTCTCCTTGATCGAAGGACCAATCAATAGTTGAGTGGAGGTCAATTTGACAATGAAGCGGTCGTACATCAGCGACTCCAGGCGCTGCATATCCTTCTCTGAGTAGGCTTGGCTCTGCTTCGACTGAACCTCCTTCATGGTGTTCTTGTCGACCAACTTGCTGTTGACACTGATATGACCGGCGTCGAGAATGAGACATGTCGATGTCTTGGTCTTGATGCTCTGAGGGATAATGATAAGGGGAGCCTGTAGATCAAGCTTGGCGTTGATGGTCTTGTGCTCCTCCAGGGCGAACTCCAGGCCGGCTCGGGTCTGTTCGCGAAGGCCTTCAACGGTAGCACCGGCAGTCTCCATGAGCGCAGTGATAGACTCCATGTGTCGCTCGGGAGGGCGGAAAAAGTCGACCACGCCGACAACAAAATTGGGATTCCAGATAACCTCGAGAGGCTTGAGCTTTGCTGTGACGGCAATGTCTCCTTGGCCATCGAGCGGATTTTGCTCGACCTGCAGTTGGAAGAAGGCCTCTTCCTTGTTCTTCTCGAGCTCAACAATCGACAACCGTTTCTGCTTATTGTCGTTTTCAGGAGCGTCCTTAACCCTGACGATTTCAGTAAAAACGCTGTCGGGTGTCGTGCCATCGTTGACTCGCAATCCACCAAGGCTGAGATCCAAGAGCATGGAGTCGGGGCGCTGAAGCGCCTTTGCCTTGAAGACATCGAAATGCAGACTGAGGAGGTCCTTAACCTCGCCGTTGGGGCTCTGTTTCAAGGTGAAACTTCCCGTACTAAGGGAAGCCTCGACTTGCAACTTGACGGTCTCTCTAGGCACATCGACCTCCTCGGCCAGAGCCGCCTTCTCATCCCAGTCGATGGCCTCGTAAAGCTCTTTCCGCTGCTCCTCTGTCATCTGGGTGTTTTCGGACGAGTCGGCTGGTGTCTCTGCTGGCTTCGAGCCCCACGCCCAAGCAAGCCATCCTTGCTGTTCCTGTTTGGGGGGCGCATTCTTGAGAGCCTCGGCGTTCTCCTTCTTGAGCTGATTCCGGGCCAGAGATCGCCAAAATCGTAGATCCTCATAGTCGAGCCTCCATTCGAGCTTATTGAGGTCGTCGTTTTCGGAGGCACTAAGAGGCTTGTTCTGCTTCTTCTTCTTGAACAGTTCGATGTAGCGCCGCCGGTCATCGCGCCGCTCTCTAAAGAAGTCCCACGTCCATCGGCGATTCCTCTCGTGGATCTTGCTGAGAACAGCATCTCCAGCAAACTTGAGCCACGCTTTGGGATCTTCCTTGGGCGTAACGCCCTTGGGCTGGTACTTCTTGTACTCCTGGTGTCGGATGAAGTAGTGGAATAGATCCGCCATCATCAAGCTATCACGATACTGATCATCATCCAGAACAACGCCGATTTCATCGAAGAGAAGCGCCGCTTTGGCCCGAGGCACCTTGGTATCACCGGACTTATCGAGCTCAATCTTGGCCTGTCCGCTCACGGGCTTCAGGATGAATTGGTGGCTTGTATTTTCAACATCGTCCGTCTTGACAATCATCGACTTGAAGTTCTGGATGATGTCATCATGGGACATCTTGTCCTCTTCCTTGGGTTCGGCCTCGCGACCGGATCCCAAGAGGTCCGCATCCGTGTCCCAGTAGACAGCCAGAGCACCGAGCGTTGCGAGCTTGTGTGTGGTTTTGGTCGAGTCTTGGATGTAGGCGGGCTTCCATTCGCCATCTGTGCTGATCGCACTGAACTCTTCGAGAGTGAGACCGAGGGCGAAAGGGTGGCCAGGAGCGGAGATGGAGTCTTCGTAGCGGACGTGGATGTTCTTGACGGTGACCTGCAAGTTATCCACAATCTTGGTAACCAAGCTCTGGGTGAAGCTCTGGCTCTTCTTCTGCTCTTCCTGACTGAGACCCTCTTGTGATCTCTCTTTCAATAGCTCGGCCGAGTCGAGCTTCTCCATCTTGATGCGCTGTCTTCGCCTCTCCTCCTCTTCCTCGTCGTACTCAGCCTCTTCCTTGGGGGAGGCAAGGAGGAATACATCCTCGATGAAGATCTTAACGGGCGCGCCGCGCAGATTAGACCAGGGTATGATGAGGGTGAGCTGGCCCAGATGGCCCTCGACGACGTTGATGGGCAGCTTGAGCTGGTCAAGCGCCTCCTTACGGAGCTCGAGGTTGTTGAGCTTGACGTCGCCAGACCAGATGCCGACCTTGAGCTGTGTAGGGTCAAAGTTCTTGACGTACATACCCAGGAACCGGTTGAGCAATCCGGCAACCAAACCTTCCAACATGTTGGCGACGGGATGCCGTTACCCGGGCCGGGACTCTTGACAGCTATTCAGGGAGGGCTCGAGATCGGGAACATGGGTTCGACGGAGGGCTCGGGTCGCAAGGAAAGGGGTATCGCCAAGGTTGAGGGTGTTCTCAATCGCGACCGTGTGAGGAAGTGCCGGGCAAAGAGGTCCTCGGTCTGTTGTATTGGGCGGGGTCGCGGTCGAGTCGAGGGCGGTCCTCTGTTGCTTCAATCTCCTGATGGGGTCATTAACGTGAGAATGCCAGCAATTAATGCATGTAAATAGGATCAGGGCAGCAACAGCTGTGCAAAGTTGACTCTAAAAAGGGCTGCAGATATGTGGCAGATCGCTATCAAAGGAGGAAGTGTAGACAAAAGCACTGCCGGCCTTGTCTGTGCCTGGCAGATGATGGGAATTGTGGTGCAGGCCCAGCAGCAGCCCAGCGAAAAAGGATGACGCTACGTCGGGGAGGAGCTGGGCTGCGAAAAGGTGGGGGCTGCGGCGACGATGGAGGGAGGTGTGCGCACGCGCGCCTGCTCTGTCCGGGACGATTTGCAGTTTCCTTGGCAGCTGGCACCTCACTAAAACGACGTCAGCACTTGGACTCCTCTCCACTGAACTTGGGTGCTGTCTTCTTATTTTAGTGGGCTGAAGCTTGAAATGGGGATGCCAGTTCTGCAAGTCAGGTCCCAGAGCTACCCCACACCTCGGCCTTTGGGGGCGTGAAACCAGCAATGATGACGCACTAAAACCACCCGCCTGAAGCCCAAGGCAATTTGTTTCTGGTGACAAAAACAACTGACTTGAGAACTGATGCCCAGGGCGAGACGCGTCTAAAATGAAGTATTGTCTAGTATGGCTGTCATCCCAGAAATCTCCATCAGCAATTCATTAATTAAAGGACACCTGGACCGCCAACTACTTTGATTCTTGAGCAACAGCACGGAGGTTGTGTGCTGTCGGCATGTGTAGCCGTGTTGCGGGGTCAATCTATGAAATGGCACGCCCCAGTCCATCTGCGATTTCGATTTCCGGGCCTTTGGAGCTCTGACATAATTACGTCACTGTCACCAAGCTTGCCCTCACAGCTTTCCCAGGCGCAAAGAGCGCCTTGGTCAATAACAGGAGCTCTCTCCCTCCCACAAATCATAACTACCTACCATTCCAGATTTTCAGAGCTGCTTCAAGCTTGAATCAATCAGCTTGCCAGGTGGACGTGTCTTCAATGCTGTTTTAATCAGTATTTGTACAGCCTGCACTATCTTGATTCCGGTACCTCTGAATAGCTTCACTATCTTATCGCACCTACCGGCTTTCAGTATGTTCCGCTCGACCCGGCCTCTGTTCAGCTACTCCGCGAGGGCAATTGCCCAGAGCAAAAGCCCAAAATGCCCCTCAAAGGCCCTTTCTACATTGGCCTTGCAGACCAGCCGACCTAGGGCAATAATATCACCATTCAGCTTAGCCTGGCGATCCAAGTATTCGAGCAAGTCTCCCGTCCCGCCCGACGCAATCGACAAGAAAGCCGAGAAAGAGATTGGCCAGAAGAAGCTTGTCTCCGATCCTCCTGCCGTTACCACCGAGTCCAGCGTCCGCCATGTCATTGAGCCTTCCCCTGCGTCGACATCAGCAGCCGCCAAGGAGGAGCGAGACATCAGCAGCGGCATCACACAAGATCTGGTAAGCTATGATCTCTCATAATACGCGGCCAGAGAATTCGATATCGGTGCTAATGATGGTTCATTTGCCCTTAGAAAACGGTCAAAGAGACTCTCGCCCTGTCCAGCGTGCCCAAGGAACCCTATTTTCTCGGTCTGGCAGGCACCCTTCCCTACCTAGCCACCTCAATTTCCACTCTCTTTCTTGGATGGAACGTGAGGACGGAATGGCCAACTTCTTCCAACTTTGTGAACAGCTTCCTGCTCAACCCCGAGACTGCTGCCTCTTGGCTGGGCACCCTTGAGCAGATCCAGCTCGGATACGGCGCTGTCATCATCTCTTTCCTTGGAGCTATTCATTGGGTATGCTGATCTCTACAATACCTACCGTCTCTCGAGGGGCTTAGTTTAACGCAAGGAACTACAGGGTATGGAGTTTTCCGAAAAGAAACCCGAACACGACCGAACGCGCTTCCGCTACGGCATGGGAGTGCTTGCGCCCGCCGCTGCCTGGCCCACCCTCTTCATGCCCGTCCCATGGGCCCTCACCTCCCAGTTTGTGACTTTCACCGCCCTCTACATGGCTGATACACGCGCGTCCACCAACGGCTGGGCCCCTAGCTGGTATCCCACCTATCGCTTCGTGCTCACGTTTGTTGTTGGTGGCGCCATCTTTATCAGCCTGGTCGGTCGCGCCAAGAGCGGCTCGGAGACCCAGCCTTTCGTCTTGTCCCGCATTGATGACCAGGTCGGCAAGTCATTCTCAAAGGAGGTTGCGCAGCCCTACAGCCAGAACTGGGCCAAACTAGAAGCGGAGGAGAAGGCAAAGAACCGCAAGGCCAAGGAGGAAGAGGAACGCAAGAAGAAAGAAGAAGAGAAGAAGAGCAAGAAGGGAGGCAACAAGAAGGAGGACGGAATGAAGGATGAGAAACAAGGCAAGGAGGGCGAGAAGCAGGAAGATGACAAGGCCGCCGATGAGGGTGATGACGAGGGTGGCGATGACGGCGACGAAGAGTCTTCTGGAGACGAGGACCAGAAGGGCCAAGACAAGTCCAAGGACAAGTCAGATGACTCCAAGGACAGGAAGTCTGACAAAAAGAGCAAATCAAAGGACAAGGACAACAGCGAAAAGGATAAATCAGAGAAGGATAGCAGCGATGAGAAGCAGGACGAGAGCGACGATGCGGACAAACAGGAAGAAGGCGGCGCAAAGAAGGACGACAAGCAAGGCAGCAAAGGGGATGAGGGAAAGAAGGAAGAGAAGAAATCGAAGAAATAATCAGCAGATCCATTCCATGGCAATCGAGCCCCCGACATGGTCTCGCACTTCTTTATTCCCTATATAATTATTTGGCAGTTTTCATGTTCGGCGTTTGGGGGCGTTGGAAGTTATTATTCTCTCGTAGCGTTAACAAAGGCATTAATTCATCCAGAAGTATTATGAGAAGTTCCTTATCAGTTTGCTGCAGTTGAAAACGAAACTCAAAGCAGATAATCAATTGTTGACACTGGCAAATGGGAAGGAAAGGAAAATTGAGTGTTTTGATGTGATGAATACTAATCAAATAATGCATCACCCATAACGTTCAAGGCGGCAGCCCTTCCTACTCCTAAGCCTCCGCCTCGTTCTGCTTCTTCTCCTCATTCTTCTTCTCCGTACCATCCAGCCTCGCATCAACGTTGCGCTGCACGAACCAGTTGCGCAGCTCCTCATGCGTCACATGCTTGCACCCAAAGTCGACGGGCTTGCCGACGACGCGGCTGACGGAGTCAAGGACGTGGTTCGGGTTGCACGGCAGGATGTACGGGATGCCGTTCTGGGCCTCGAGCAGGAAGGCCGTCTTGCCGCCGTGGCTGTAGTGCACGGCGTCCCAGGTCTTGACCTTGCAGTTCCAGCCGTTGACGTCGTTGCTGATCTTGACGCCCTTGGGCCCGATCTGCTCCGGGCCCGCGTCGATCTGCACGCCGAACTTGATGCCCTTCTCGTCGTTGAAGAGGCACGAGCCGTGCGTCTTGGCGTCGCCGTCGTGCGATTGCTTCTTAGCCTCGTCCTGTGCGTGCTTCTTAGCCTCGTCCTGTGCGTGCTTCTTAGCCTCGTCCTGTGCGTGCTTCTGCTCCTTGATGAAATCCTCGTATGAGGGCCTCGGGGTCGGTGCGGCCCCGTTGGCGGGCTTGGTCCGGACGATCCAGTGCTCGTTGACTTGGGGCCTTCGGTGCGGCACGCCGGCAGCCGCGGCGGCGCCGAGGACGGGCTCGGCCGTGTTGGTCGGGTCGGGCATGTGGATCATGGTGACGGTCTGGCCGGGGACTTCGTGGAGGACGGTCTCAACGACGACGACGTCCGCTGCCGGGGGATCGTCATGTTTCAAGTTGTTGGCGCTAATAGCAAAAGCACCAGCCACCATACTGGCGCCGGTCAGGCACCTGAGGTAATGCATATCGTTGATATATGACTGAAAGATGGAGAAAAAAGGGTGCGAGTAAGTCACAATGGTTAGTGACTGGACCCAAATTATACCCCGAGGCAAACCACAACTTGGAGGCGGAGGAGGAGGAGGAGGAGGAGGAGGAGAAAAGTTGAGAGAAAGGATTCGGAGCTCGCAGGCGTGGAAGGGGAAAATATTGATTATGTATGCATTTCCAAGACGCTGGTTGTACTTGACAACTGGTCTCAGGATAGGAACATGAAGCGCCTGTGCAAGATTGCCTTGGTATCATAATAACGGACGAGAACTCGCTCACAACAGACTCTCTGGCGACTCGCCTAGTGCGGTTGGTTCCCACCTGATGACCCTTTCTGTGTTTAGCTCCAATGGTTGTGTATCCTCCTAGCTCCAATATGTATGATCACTGCTGTGAGAAGTATGAGTGTGACTTTGGGACTCCCCCGTATAGAACCTGCAGATCATGCGTGCCGGGTTTTCTTAATCTCTATGTGAGCAATACGGACTCCGGTAGCCCATGGGCCATGGTGGGCCGGAACTCCTTCTTGCTCTAATAACGGATTTGATTGGTTTTCATCTCACCAAACATTCGACTAGCAACTTATTTAGTTATTCCAGAAACATTCCTTTGACACACGATGTAGTACCGCTTGTGACGCAAAAACAAGAACGCCAGATTTTGATATTTGTTTACAGCTAGAATCTACGGTTCTATTTCCTCGGTGCATACTCCTGGATTACACTCACCGGCTCAACATACTTACCCAATGGCTTGTACTCAAGCTTTTCGTATCCAAACGCGCCAGGCCCACCAATGTCGATGCCTGCCTTGGTCTCTGTCCATCTCGGCGAGCAAGTTATGCCGATCACAGTAACCCGGTAACCGTACTTGAACTCTGGCACGCCAAGGGCTTGCCCGGACTCGTTGTCCAAGATGGCAATTAGGTCGGGCACCGTAGCAATCATCGTGCTGGTACCGTCCTCGGCCACATGCTCGGCATAGATATTCTCGTTCTTGAATGGGATGCGCAACTCGCCTCCCTGGGCGACGGGAACAGCCCTCTCAGAGCTTGACCTTTCCTCGTCCTCATCTGCCTCGCCAAAGGCGGAGATGTAGACCGTACCGTAGGAATGGCCCTTGAACAGCCGCCTGTCGATCCGCGTGATCTTGCCCCGGAACAGGACCTTGGCCGCCTCCTGGCCACCCGCCTCCCGGATGATCGACTCGGCGACAGTGTTGAGCGTGTTTGTCGCCTTGGAGAGGGCGATGGCGCGCCCGATCCGCCAGGCCAGGGACACGGTGTTTAGTACGCCAAAATTGCGCACCTTGTCCGTGGTCGTGGGCTTGGCGGCCATGCCGACGCGAGAGCCCATTTCCGAGCACGAGGCGCGCAGGGCGCGGTCCACAATCTCGTCGTTGGGCGCGCGGGTCATGATGATGCTCTTGCCGTCGCCCGAGTCGATGGCGCAAGGCACGAGTTCCAGCGGCGCGTGGACCGCCAGCGTCGTCTGCCAGTAGGTCGGGTACGCTCTGCCCATCCAGTCACCGTCGATGACGGGCGCGTCAAAGAACCTGCTGGCGCCGGCTAGGAAGGGCTCCAGGCCGTTGGCACCGCCAATCTCCAGACCCATTACGGCGTCAAAGGATGTGTGGTTGAGGTACTCCATCAGCACCTTGAATGCGTCGACCGTCTCAAGAGACTGTAGTCGCTCAACCGACACGGCGGGCGAGCCCATATGCCCACCCCAGTAGATCACATCATCGTCTTTGAGAGAGGACTGGTCAATTACCCGGATCCTGTGGCCATCGCGCAGCATGCCCCGTAGCTGGATTCTTGAAGCGGCGGGGCTACCGCCACCAGCACAGCCAAGGACATAGCAGCCATTGGCGAGGTAGTCCAGATCTGTAGGGCTGATGATCCATTCGGGGGTACCCTTGTCGTTGATCTGAATCTCAGGCTTGTACGTCCGAGGATCGACTTCCTCTTCTTGTTCTTCTCTGGCATCCATGTTCTTGGCGACTTCTGTCTCTGTCTCGTCCTCGTCCTCGCCGTCATCAGCCTTGACATCGGCCACCTTGGCATGGAGATCCACATCGCCGACGGCTTTGACCATGGTGCGGACTTGGTTCGCAACATACTGCAGTGGCATGCTCTCAATCTCTGCAATCCGGATGCTGTCCTTCAAGGCACCAGCTTCAAGCGCGCGCTGAATCGCAACCTCCTTGGCATGCTCAATGGCCTGGTGCTCTGTCTGGTGCGTGGTGCCCTGGACGATGTCGACAGCACCACAAACCCTTGCGATAGCTGCACCAACCGCGTTGGCAACATCGTGGAAAGGAGGCCGGACGAGTTGCGACGCGCCCTCCAGAGTCTCGGGCGAGAGGATTGCACCACCTCCGACCAGGAGAACTGGGATGGGATCAGGAGAGGTCTTGATGACATCGATCGCGCCCTCTAGCAGCGCCTTGATGCGCTTGCCGGCCTCTTCAACGAAGCCCCTGTCGAGATGCGACACCTTCGCCGCTGCTCCGACGTCGGCTTTGCCCGAAGCAACCGCAATATCCGTCGTAGTGCAGACACCGCCACCAAAGACAAGGCCCTTGGAAAGTAACTCGTTGCCGACAGAGTCCGGCCCCACACGGACCTTACCGTCAAGGTCGCGTACAATTGACCCGCCGCCGAGGCCGATGGAGTGGAGATGGGGCATGGAGTAGTTGACTCGAACGCCAGCGACCGTGACGTACGCGGATGCTTGACGCGGCATGCCAGAAGGGAGCAACACGCCCAGGTCCGAAGTGGTGCCACCGATATCCACGACGATCGCTGAACTGTCGCCTCCGTCATCGAGCCCGGAGAGGTACGCGGCACCGCGCATCGAGTTGGTGGGGCCCGAGGAGAAAGTCCTGATGGGCATCTTGGACGCCGTCGCCGCATCCAGGATGGTCCCGTCGTTCTGCGTCAGGAACAAGGGGCAGTGCAGGTTGAGCTTCTTCATGGCCCGGCGGAAACGTCCTACCGTCTTCCTGGCGTACTGGAGGATCGCGCCGTTGAGGATGGCGGCGTTCTCCCTCTCGATGAACCCTATGCTGGCGCTCGCCTCGTGGCTGCACACCACGTCGACGCCGGGCAGTTCCCGCTTGATGATGTCTCGCACGGTGCTCTCCTGCTTGAACACCTCGTCTATGGGCGAGTACACACCGGCAACCACGACCGCAGTCTCGCCGGACTCGCGGATCTTGGCGCATTCGGCAACGACCTGCTCCTCGCGCACGGGGGCCTCCTGCGAGCCATCGATGTGCAGACCGCCATCGATGATGCCGGTGTGGCCCCGCAGAATGGCTGTGAGATCAGGCGGGAACTCGGCAAAGGGTGGCACTTCTCGCAGAAAAGACTTGGAGAGGCGAACCACCGCTACACGCCGCAGACGTCGTGCGTCACGCTCAATGACGGCATTGATGAAGTGTGTGGTGCCGATGGTGACGGAGGCGATGCGCTCCGGCGTCTTGATGAGCCCGGACGCCTCGAGCACGGAACGCACGGCAGACTCAATGCCCGAGGTGGCATCCGGGGTGGTGGGCGTCTTGCAGTGGGCGACGACACCCCGGTCCTTGTCTCGCTGCAACGCAAGATCGATTGCCACGGCATCGGTATTGGTTCCTGCAATATTGTCAACTAGAGAGCCCTCGTGATTATCTACAGAACTTGCTCTTACCTCCGACATCAACACCGATGCGAACCGTCCTTCCGCTGTCACCAAGGGAACCCATTTTCCGGAGCAGTATCGAGTCTTGTTGATACAGTGTTGCAAGTACAAGCAAGCTCACTGGTAAAGGGAATTCAAGTGACTGGCGAAGCTTCCCAACTACCACTCAGTCCGAACTCTGCGATAGCGAGTTCTTATCTTCGAATGAGATTGGGGTCCTACTCGGCACATCGAAAACTCTCCCGATGGTGGCTGCCTTTAAGCGGGCGCATATGTTGCAAATCCGGGAACCGGGTGCGCGGTGATCGGGTAATGCCAAGCCACCTGCTCCGCTCGCATCCTCCCGCTAGCTCCTGAATCGGCAAAAGCCCGTTGACGCGATCGGCGAAGGAGTGCTTGGTGGTCTCATGGGATCTAGGCCTCTATGTTATCTTCCTGCTCACTATGCTATTGAAAATGAGAGCAAAACCGCGCAACTTGGGCTTGGATGTGGACTGATTTCGAACGCCAAACCTTCCCAACTTTTCCATTCCAGGTTCGTGTGTTTGCGCTTCTTCGTATTTCTTGAAGAGATAAGGAAAGGTAAGGAGGAACTAAATAACGGAGGGCCCACCCCGAGAAGTTCTCCGTCCAGTGAGTCAACACAGCAGGATGGACTATCTTGAGACTAGGACAAGTTTATCCGTGGGGACCCCTTGAAGATAGGGCTATTGCACGGCAGATGGCTATCTGCCTCTTACACGCGGCCCCAAAGGGCGATGATCCTCGCCCCTTGATGGGGAGACATGTAATGAGTGCCGTGCTCATATAAACATCTGGCCAAGTCCCGACTCCCACATGGCCAACTGTGGATCACGCTCCTCACTTGAACTTGGCCGAAGCTCCTGTCTCCCAAAGCGGACGCATAACGATGGGTGCATTCGATAGATTCGTGCACAAGCTGCGCCTTCCGTCCTCCGACGTCGCGGAGGCCAATGTCTGGATCAATGATGACATCCGGCCCATGCCGCCGAGCCGGCGCCGGTGGACAATGTGGACGTTCATGTCCTTCTGGCTGACGAATCAAGTGGCTAGTAAGTGGTGCAATGCAACGGGACCGCTTTGCGGCCTAGATCCATGGCCGGACTCTTCGTCCACACATTGAGCCTCTTCTGACTTGTTTTGCGTCATCGCAGTCTCCAACTGGCAACTCGGAGCCTCCCTGGTCGCCGCCGGGCTGTCGGTGTGGCAGGCTATCCTCGCGACCATCGTGGGCAAGACCATCACCGCCCTTGTCGCCATCGGTAATGGCATGGTCGGCGCCGAGTGGCACATTGGCTTTCCCGTCGTCGTGCGCTACGTATGGGGTGTGTATGGCCAGTACATCATCCTCGTCCAGCGCATCATCCTCAGTCTGGTATGGTTCGCCGTACAGTCGTGGACCGGCGGTCTATGCTTCGTCAATATCCTGTCCGCGATCTTCCCCTCTTTCGAGTACATGGGCAACCACTTTCCAGAGTCGGCGCATATGACCACAAAGCAATTCATCGGGTGGATCCTTTTCAATGTGGCTATCATCCCCATCCTCTACATTAGGCCGGAGCGCATTCAGAAGCTCCTCGCGGCTTTCAACGCCATCTCGTCGATCACCCTGATCTCCATCATGATCTGGGCCCTCGCAACTGCGAAGGGCGGTGGCGAGCTTTTGACGTCCGGATCCAAGCCCATGTCCTCCAGCGAGTTGGGCTGGTCCATTGTGCAGGGCATCACCACCGTCATTGGCAGCATCGCAGTCGGCCTGACGAACCAGCCCGATTATTCGCGCTTTGCGCGCAAGCCCGGTGACCAGATCTTTGGACAGTGGTTCAGTATCATCTTTTTCGGCACGCTGTTCCCTCTCTTCGGCTGCCTGGCCGCCTCTGCGACTGGCCAGATCTATGGTGAGGCCATTTGGAACCCTCCCTTGATTGTCCAGATGTGGCTCGACACCGAGTACGGCCCAAAGAGTCGTGCAGGTGCCTTCTTTGCCGGCGTCGGCCTCTTGATAGTCCAGATCAGTATCAACTGCATCGACAACGCTTTCTCTGCAGGCATGGACTTGGCCGGTCTCTTTAGTGGCTTCATCAACATTCGTCGTGGTGCCTACATCGGCTTGGTGCTCAGTATTGCGCTGTGTCCTTGGGAACTACTGAGCTCTGCGGCCGTTTTTATCAGTGTTCTGTCGGCGTACAGCACTTTCCTCGGCCCCATCATCGGTATCCATATGTGCGAGTACTTCATCATCCGCAAGAGGCGCGTCAAGTTGACAGACCTGTACCACCCTCGCTCTGACGGCATCTACTACTTCTACAAAGGGTTCAATCCACGAGCATTCTTCTCATGGGTCTGCGGCTTTGCCACGCAGCTTCCTGGGTTCGCCGCCACCGTCACACCCGACAGCGTCAAGGTTGCTCAGCCTTTGATGGACATGTACTACTTGGCCTTTCCTCTGGGATTCTCCATCTCCTTTACCGTCCACCTATTGGTCAACACCATTTGGCCCCCTGTTGGGGCCGGTGAAATGGATGACATGGATTACTATGGCACCTTTACTCCCGAGGAAGCCAGGAAACTCGGTGTCGAGCCACTGCAGACCGAAGTGACAGAAGGAGTGTCAAAAGATGGGGAGACAGTCGTGGTTGACAGCGAGAAGAAGACACCTCGTAGGACGTTTCACTTCTAAACGTCCGGCTCTTGTTGGGAATTCTATCATTCAGGTCTGAATTACTTGGTTCAAGGTGGCGTTGTTGGGTGACAGCTTTTCATTCAACTGGTGCGGCCTTTCACAGAGAATCCATGCTTCACGCGCAATGCAGTTGATTGAACGTGCCTATACTTGATGAATATTTGCAATTAGATAGAAAACTTTCGACAGCGGCTCATTCTTCCTGCGTGCGCAAGTAATTGAGTTAGTTACCCGGCTACAGAGATTCTCAGCGGGAGGAAGGCCTCCCTATCGGCCGTCGAAATCCTAATAACCAAGAACTTTTCGAAGGGGAAGCCACCCGCCTATCTGAATACGACAGTACACACAGCAAAGCTCTACACTCTTCTGTCCTCGGTATGCACAGCCTGATTCTTGGGCGTGATATCGGCGTGTACAAAAACAGTATCATCGCCGCCCTTGGTGTTCTCGACAGTCATGTCGACCTTGACCTTGCCAAACTTCCTCATCGGGATGGATGACTCGAAGAGCCTGTCAACCTCCTCCAAGGAGCGGCCGGACACATCAGGGACAAAAGCATAGACGAAGACGATAGACAGGACAGCGATGGATCCAAAGATGAACCCGACTTTGGATCCGAGAGCGGCGTAGGGAGCGTTGAGCAGGTACGGAAGGGAAAAGGACACGGCGAACCTGAATAAAAGCAAGTGTTAGTAAGGCCAGCTCGGGAGAAAGCAGGAAGCGAGCAAACGTACTGAGTAGCAACATTGAGGACGGAGGCAGTTCGGTAGGTCATGTCACGACACCGAGTGGAGGGGATTTCGGCAGATAGGATGTGAGCCGTCGGGGCCCATCCAAGAGAGTACCCAAAGGAAGAGACTACCATCATCGAGACGATACCAATCTTCATGCCCCCTGTGATGTTCGACGCGGTGCCCAGCCCTCCCATAGTCATCATGGCAGCAGCCTGGATAGATGCGCCAACGAGAAGCTGAAATCGTCGTCCGAGCTTGTCGGTAAGCACCATGGCAAGAATCGCGGTCAGCGTGTTGACCACAGCCAGGATGATCGTCACGGTGAACGGGTTGATGGTGCCGAGAGACTTGACAAACAGAGCGCCGTACATTTGGGTAAAGATCTGACCAGTCGCCTGCAATAGGAAGTTACATCCAAGGACAACCATGGTCCGACGGAACTGATCTCGCTTGAAGATGTCCTGGAAGCTTCCCTGCTCGACTTCTTGCCTGATGCCGGCAACAATGACGGCGAACTCTTCCTCAATTTCTTGGTCAGTGAACTTGCCGTCACGCAGTTGCCGGAGAGCCTTCATGCCATCCTCGGGGCGGTCCTTCAAGACAAGCCATCTGGGTGACTGTATGACGAAGTCAGTATCAACGGTTGCCCAGTTTGGTTTTTTTTCGAAGCACATATACATACCTCCGGTACGAACCAGATGCAAGCAGACACAATTGTGGGGACAACATAGAACAGGCCATACGGAATCATATATGCCTCCCTGCCGGGCATGGACCCGGTGCCACGAGCGATGCAGTTGATGATGAGCCCACCAACCTAGCAGGCATCGTTAGTCAATCATCTTTGGCATCTTTACTAGAGTTCCAACATACGTATAGGGCGACTTGATAAGTACCAACGACGAATCCGCGGGTCTGGGCAGGGGTAATCTCAGACTGGAAAACGGGCACCACGGACAGTTCCATGCCGATATATATATCTAAGTTGGGCAGGTCAGTAACAATTTTTATCTTGGTCTTCGTATATCCGTTTCCTTTTGTGGATGCGGCGCAAACGTACAGTTGAGAACGCGAGCAGCAAGGATCTGATCGGAGGACTTGGAAGTAATGACTATGGTGGCCGCAATGATCGCCCAGATGCTCATGGTGAACATGCACATGCGTCTACCCCAGCGTCTACTGATGTAACTTCCAATGATTACACCTGGGAGCACCTAGTGTCAGCTAATGCAGGACTCAGCAATACTACCGGCCACGTCAACATACCTGAAGCCTGACCGATATACATAAAGCCATTGAAGAACGATACCCAAACGGGGTCTAGATAGTACTTCTTTGTCTTCTCGTTGTAGGAGCCGAATTGCTTGATGAAGGCATCCATAGCCTGCGTGGACGCAAACCCCTGGTTGTCGAAGCCGAAATTGAATTGGGAAAAGGCGATGAGAAGGACCGTCAGGGTCAACCTCGCATTGAAGGTTCCCTTCAGGTCGAGGTGTCCGAAGCCCAGCATCTTGATGATAGCTTAGTGGAGGAGTCTCCAACGCTCAACTCTTGGGATTTCAGGAGGCAGCGGGCGCTAATTCGGTTCTGATGAATAGGCAAAGAAATCTCTACGGAAATCCGATGGTCGTCGCTAGCTATTTTGTACTTCTTTGCAACCCTGCATCAGGCCGACACCCGTCCGAGAGCCTTCCGAGCTGTCATTCCCCGCAAGTCCCCGCAATTCGGCTCGTCGCGCTCCATTCAGAAAGGCTGGTCCTGGCAAGAAATGAAACGATTCTCCGCACTCCGCACTTTTCGGACTATGGAGAAGCAAGCCTGCCTGGTCTGGTCTCCCCGAACATGTGGGTTGGTCATGAATGAGGCTCAAGTGATCTGGCCTGTCCTTGCTTGGAGAACGCGAATGAATCAATGTGTAGTCCAATCGCATGGTGTTATGATCAGCCCAAGTTCGGAACCAAGGTTTCATGTTCCTCGAGGTAGTCAAAAGGTTCAAATGTCATCCATGTCTCCCAGAATCTGTTTGTAGTTTTCTCCGTTGTGACTCTCCCACGAGAACCCGTCTTATGTTATCATTCAAATCTATTCCTCAAACTGCCAGGATGCCAAGAGTTTGGGTGAAGAGTGTGTGAGAAGAAGGGGATAGTAGGACCTTTGCCGGGCCCTCCGACAGACCGCAAGTCCCACTCCGATGTGCCGAATTTGGCACAACAGGGTGGACTTCTATCCCCTAACAGCGACGACCCGAAACACCATCGGCGAACAATGATACTCACATTACACATTCTAGAATTACCCAACTTGCGTGCATGCTAGCCGCGAAATGGAAATAAACCATAATCGCTAAGTACCGACTTTTGGCCGTGCTAATCTCCACGCTCCTAGGCTCAGGTAGTGGGATACTGATTCGTGACAGAAAGGGCCAATGTTGGGATGGAGTACGAGGACTGCGCAATATTTGGCAATGCTCAAACCATCCATCTTCTTAAATTTGGAGTCTATAAAGCCTCTTGACGGTCTTTTGAGTGTAAGTTTTGAAGTCTTCGGCAGAGCGGGCCTTTTTTGCACAAAGATATCCTCTGCTTCATTTCTCAGATGGCGTTGGGAGACACGTGTCTCCTTGGTAGCATCGGTTCTAGCCTGTCGGTCTAGATATATACCGTCACTACGTTCCTCTGGTATTGCCAACCTGCCACTGAGGCCAAGACCTTTAACCCCGGAATGTGACCTGGAGTCCAGCTTCTTGAACAGACATTGCTATCCGCCGGCGCGTGAGTGATATTCTAGGTCGAAACAAGCTTCGACCACCACGTGGTGTAGAATTGTGGTACGCGGGACATCTACCGCTATTATTAATTACTACAGTGTTACAGCCATTGCTGCCGAAGGACCATAACCAAGGAGACGCGCTCGGAATCCTGTTCGTTCAAACCTCAGCTCTCACCCCCTCAGCTATGCGTCGGATCAGATGCTCTCCCCGCTTTAGGTTCTTGAAAGACTGATGGGGTGTTACTCGACTTTGTGAAGAGGTTGCGCGGGTACAACAGGAGGACTACAGCCAAGTGCCGACTAGCAGTGCCTGAATTAATGTGCGCATCGGGGCTCTTCGGCGTCGGCGCCAATATTTGCACCGGAAATTGGGCGCATTTTGATATTACATTTGCTTCAATTTACGCGGCACCACGCCATTCTTCCAGTTGCTATGGAAAGGATTGTTGCAAACGGTGAATGCGACCGCATGTCAGATTGCCTGATGCAGACAGTTAATCCGCCTCTGGGCTCCATCTTGTAGATGACAAATCGAATCAGCGGTGGCACTCAGAATGACGGCCTCTGAGCTCATAGATAGCATGGCCACAGGCGCATCACTCTCATCTTAGTCATGCACCAATGTTTTCGTGAAACTTCAACGGCACCCGGTTGAGGAGCCATTAAATATTCCGCGAATCTTTCAAAGACTGGATTTGTCATTTCGTCGCTATGCATATAAAGCAACTAAAGTGCACGCGCATCTCGGCTCTCGGCTCACAACAGCTACAGCGCTTCACATACGATCACTTGTCAATTAAGCAATCCAACTTTAAACCTCTCCAATATTCCAATCAGTCACATACTCGCAAAGTACGGTCTCGATCCTACGCCACCATGACTACCAAGGCCATCGTCTTCGTTGAAAAGGGCAAAATGGCCATCCAAGAGGTGTCTGTGCCCAAGCTCCGTGACGGCTATGTTTTGGTCAAGGTCAATGCGGTCGGGGTTAACCCTACGGATTGGAAGCACACCGACAATGGCCTCACTGATCCTGGATCAAGGGTTGGATGTGATTATGCGGGTGTCGTTGAGGCTGTGGGCAGCAAGGTGACTAAGCCTTTCAAGAAGGGCGATAGAATCAGCGGCGTCGTTCATGGATCGTGAGTGGTCTCAACAAAGTGGTTTCGCCCATAAGTACAGAGGTTTCTGACAACCCGCCAGCGATCGAACCCAGCTCGAGAATGGAGCGTTCGCCAATTACATCGTTGCAAAGGCTGATGTTCAGATCAAGACTCCTGATAACATCAGCGACGAGGAGGCTGCGACTCTTGGCATCTCAATTGCGACAGTCGTATGTATTTTCCAACCGTTCTTGACGTTGGCATATCAGGCACGTACTAATGATACCCCAGGGCCAAGGTCTGTACCGCACTCTCGGCCTGCCAATCCCCACCGAATCCACCAAGGACAGCGAGTACATTTTGATCTACGGAGGCAGCACCGCGACTGGCATCTTCGGCATCCAGTTCGCCAAACTGTCTGGACTCAAAGTCATCGCCACGGCCTCACCACATAACTTTGACTACCTGAAATCCCTGGGCGCTGAGGCCGTCTTTGACTACAAGTCGCCCACGGCGGCAGAGGACATCCGCAAGTACACCGGCAACTCTCTCAAGCTCGCGTGGGACTGTACCGGTTTTGGTGGGCCCCTCGTCGCCGGCGCTCTGAGCAGTGAGGGGGGCAAGTACGCGTCCATCATGCCAGTCAACAAGGAACAAGTGGCCGCTATCAATCCCAAGGTTGATGGCCCGCACGTCACGCTTATGTACTCCATCTTTGGCGAGCGGTTTGTCAAGGCCAGCGAAACGCCGGCCAAGCCCGAGGAGCTTGAGTTTGCCAAGAAGTTCTGGGAAGTGGCGCGGCAGCTTCTCGAGGAGGGCAAGTTGAAGGTTCCCCGGACCATTGTCAACAGAGGCGGCAATGGATTCGAGGGCATTCTCAAGGGCCTTGATGAATTGCGGGCCAACAAAGTCAGCGGCGGGAAGCTCGTTTATACTCTGTAGTAAGAATTATGTGGCAAAGACCGCATAGCAAAGACGATAGACAGTCCTATTTCTACAGAGTATCTGCATCACAAAGCTATTACAAAAGTCTCTTATAAAAACAATATGGCCCGATTCCTACTCAATATTCACCACGACAATATCCACAATTCGTAGTTGTGGAATGGATTCACTTGGCCGTAAAGACGGGCCTACTGCTCATCGTGAATTGCGGAACGGAACGAAAGATGGGTGTTACTGCACCAGTAGCGAGCCCTTTCTGATACTATGTGATAGGTGCGAAACGAGAAGGTTCAAACCCATGCCGCATGCAACCATGACCTTAGAGGGCTGTTTACGAGAAAAGTTCGATAAGCTGGCGTTTGTGGCTTGCATGTGAAACCAACGGTGCAGCTGAAATGGAAAGACCGGTCTAGGCCTTCAGCCGCTTTCAGCCCTACCAAGAGGCATGACAGGACGTGTATTTCCATATTTGATCGTTCATCCGATAAGTCTTCTTAGACGAGATATCCATAATCTTCTTTCCATATACCATTCAGAAGTTCACTTCATGACAGGGCCGAAATCGACGATGGCCGGTAATCACGCGTACTATCCGCCCCCTCCCGGGCAGGGCAGTCAATCACCTCACACAATTCCATGCCCTCCTCCGCAGCATGCCACTGGACAGACATACAGCAATCAGTCACATCACCATGCTTATGCGGGACCTCCAGCCCGAGTAAGCCATCCGATGGCCGGCAACCCCAACCAAATGGTGCAGCCGATGTCAACCCAGGCTACGATGCAGGCCACAGCGCGCTCCTTCTATAAAGTGGGCAAAGGATTGCTCGGGGACCTGGCCAGCAACATCAGGTCAAAGTATCCAGCTCCGCCGTCTGAGGCTTTTCAACCCTCTTTCCGGCCTGAGGCACAGTAACAAAGTAGTGTTCAATATCCCCCACAACCGCCATGGCAAACCTCGGTTCACCCGGGGACACCTGCGTCTCCATCTCAGACACATAGCCAACAGTCAAGTCCATCGTCTCATCAACTTTTGCATCACTTCTCAGCATCAGACAATCAGAATCTTATCCCAGATTCGATCAGTCAACCACCGACTCCCAATCAGGCTCAGATGCCATCCAACGGATCATGGAGCTGCTCCGGAGCTCCCGCTAATTGCACCTCTGCAAGCTTCTCAGTCGTCCCTCACCGTGTTGCTCTGAGCCTTGAGCATATAGAAATTGGCAATCAACCAGCTCCACCACAATTATGTGCCCAGCCACCGACTATCGCCAGAGACTTGTCCACGGCTGGCGTCACCAGCCAGGAAACCAACCCGACATTTCGAGCGTCGAACACACCGCCTCCCATACCGTTTTCAACGCGCCCTTCAGAGTATGAACCGAGTCAAATAGTTCACCAGACACGGGTAACCCAAGAGCAGTCACAGCAAAGCCATTACTATTCGTCTTTTGCTGCGGAGGAGGTTCACCAACTTCATTGTGCGCCTGAGCATGAAGCTCTGTCACGTACACAAGCAACCCACTCGCCCTTCCAGCCAGAAGGAAGGGTTGAGCACGAGTCCTACTTTGCGCCAATTCCAAGACTAATGCCAGGAAATTACGCAAACCTGTCGCCGAGGCCCGAGCACGAGTCTGACTTCTCACCACTGCCGCGACTCTCTCATTCCCAAGAGATGATTTCGAGAACGGAGCAAGCACCGTGTCTCGAGTCTCCCACCCCACCAGCGCAACAGACCCAACCATCATTGGATTCAAGAGCTGAAAACGAAGCCTCCTTTGCGCCGATGCCACGCCCGCCTATTCAGTCCCCAGCCTCGCATGACCAAGACCTTCAGCAGCAAGCAGATCAACCTCCATGCGATTCCATGGCCTCATTGTCTTCACGGATAACAAACCTCAGTGTCGAGGACAGCACCCGCAACCTTGTAACAGAGGGCAGGACACCCACTACGCAGTACGATGCACCGAGACCACCGCCTGCCTGTAGGTCCGCTGGACCGGATTGGGAGACTCTTCCTTGCTGTCCAGAAGATAGGATCATAACATACTCGCTTGACTGGTATCGCCTCCCTGATGTCCCGGAGTACATCGTTTGCACCAAGTGCTACTCCGATCACATCGCAAGCACTCATTTTGCCCAGCGCTTTGAAAGATACCGTGAGGAAGAAGGTTCCATCTCAGCATGCTCCTTCTGGTCTCCTCGTCTTCGGGAGGTTCTGTGGCCACAAGCTGTTCAAAGCAATGATCTCACCGCCATGAAGGAGGTCTTGCAACATAACCTGACTGTCCCTCCATGCAAGGGTCTTGCTTGGACGACTGGAGGGGATAGTGTTAGATACTACACGATGGCCAATAGTGACATCGAAGGCTTCATTACATGCGAGGCTTGTTACGAGGACTACATCGCCGGAACGCAGTTCGAGCACCGTTTCTCCCTGCTGCAACAACAGCAAGGCAACGACGAAAAGTGGAGATGTGATACTGCTCTACCTTATATCAAAGGGGCTATTGTTAAGATGTCCAAGAACAACGACTGGTCGGGCTTCGTTGAAAGGGCCAGGGTCCGCCTCGCGGCGCCGACTTGCGAGGGAACATTGACTCAGTCCAATCGCTGCAATTGGTACCGCCCCCGCCGGACAATCGAAGGGATGCATATTTGCGAGGCATGCTACCTCGACCAAGTGGCGCTCACCCAATTTGCCGACAAATTTGAGCGTCATATGCCGAGACAGGGCTTCGATGGCTTCATGGACTCTTTGAGCGAGATGTGGAAATGCACGTTCCGAGAGGAGAACAGAGGCATGGCCTCTGCTCTTGAGGCAGCCATCTATCAGCGCAACTATGACGTATTTTGGAATGCCGCCAATACCATCATTCACATGGTGCCTTGCACCAAACATGGCATCATCCGCGGAGACTGGTGGACTGTGGCCGGTGGGTGTGATGGCGTCAGTGTGTGCAAGTCGTGCTACCATGGTATCTTGGAGACGTCGGACCTCGGGCGATTCTTTGAGCCAGCTGAACGCGACCCCACGATCGACATCGTGTGCAGCTTTTGCCCAGAGAGCCCACGCTTTGGTGAGTTTGTCAACAAGCTAGCCGAGTCTCTCGACAAAGGCGTATTCAGCTACTATACGGACTATGTCAAGATATGGGCTGGGGTACCCTCCTGTCCCGGGATTAAGAGCTTAGCCAAGGCCATCTGGTGGGGATACCCGGAAGCTCTATTTTGCCAGGAATGTTTTCTTCGTTTTGTTTCTGGCACTTCACTTGCAAGTTCACTTCCCATCAAGGGCGCATTCGATGAGCGGACGATGATCTGCCAGATATGGTCACCCCGAATGCGCAAGATGTGGCTAGAAGTCTGCGCCGCGGGACCTCCTGGGTCGGCCGAGTCGGACAAACAGTTGCAAGACTTCAGGGCTTTCGGAACAAGGCGACTGGAGGTCTACTGCGCCACAGTGCCACGGATAGAGATGATTGAGGGGATGAGGACGATTCAGATGCAACAGGCCATGCACCAAGGTCTTTTGAGTGTGATGTACAGGGGCATGAACAGCACGGCGGTCCTGTCAGACACGACGGATGGCTACTGGCACGGTAACAGTTCGGTTGGATGGTACGAGACGGAGCATGGGGTTACGGCTGCGGATATGATGAACATGCGGACCGGGATGGCAAATGCGAATAGTATGGGGGGCTGGATGGAGGTTGCACAGCTGAGGACCATGTGGACAGAAGTGGAGTGATCAGGGTCTGGTGAGGCTTATCAGGTTCTTGCCTCAACACTTTGCCCATGATAGACTTCTTTGGAGTCTACTGTTCCTGCCTTTTGATACAGTTGGCATTTGATCAGTAGTGTGGGCATGTAACTTGATATTTCAGGTCTCACCCAGACCTATCCCAGCACCATCATAGGCTTGCAAACTTTCGCAGGATCTCCGTTTCATCCTGCCCGCCCAGCTCAGAAGGACTAACTACGTACGACTGTATGACATGTCTACCTTATCCCAACTCAATGAGAGTGTAACATTTATTCCAGCTCATCACTTTATACCAGAACAATTTGGACTGTTTTCCCCTCCTGTTCTGCAGGACCAGATCTTACATATATTGCGCCCACTCTCTGAAAGATATTCCCCTCTTTATCATCCGGCAAGAGTCGAAGCACCAGCGAAAGGTAAGATTTCGGTGATTGAAGCATCCCAAAACGATAGAGAGTGTCGTCGGAAGATATTTCGAAGTCCCGATATAGACTTGAGTCTTTAAGCGCAAGCAACTCGGCTAGTGTTGTCGGTACAAGGACACCCTCGAGGTAGATTTCTCTGGTAGTATCGTGCATGTGGAGTCTATTCTCTTCCTTGTCTGCCTGTGGCCTGCTGACCACTTTTGAGACTTGCGACATCATAAATGATCCATTGTATTTGAGGTTGTTCCGAAAAAAGGCCACTTCTGTGGGGCAAGACGCCCAAGACCAGCTCGGGAATTCTGTCCGAGGATCACCTTCGCCAAATTCCACTCTGGACTTGGAATTGAGGCATGACAAACTGTGCCATGAGAGCTGGACGATTAGAGATTCACTCCATAAGCCATAATGATACCCACCAGCGCCTCGCTGACGCAGGCGATGAGCGATTCCGTCAATCGCCACAAGCCTATCTGATGCGTACGCCAGAGATGTAGCTGAATATAGTCGCACGATTGGGAGCCAAATATCGAGAACCTCATCTTTTGTGAGTGGTGTACTTGTAGACAAGCTTCCACGAGCTTTGATCCACTCCTCCCATGACACGATTGCACGTCTGGGTTCGACCTGTCTGACTTCCCTGACATCGTGTAAGATGCTACCACTGCACTGACATGTGGCATCTGTACGGCATTGCCATACTATCTCTTCATCTGTGTATAGAAGAAGCCGTGGGGAGAGCAAGAACTCTTGTATGACCCAACCGCGAGCAAGAAGAGGGATTCGGGTAGGGTCGTGCGCTATGCCCTCACTTCTACGAGCGACGAAGCGATATGTGCCCTTAATGTCGATTTCTGTGGAGTGCCCCTCGATATTGACGTCGCTCGGATTGAAGAAGATTCCGCTATCAGAATCTGTAGAACAACATGCTGCAACTGTGAGAAAGGAATTCTCATAGACAGAGCACATCTTGCTAGACTCTTGTTTCCAGTCGCGTGACGATTCCACACATTCCTGAGATGGATCAATCCGTTGGATGATGCATAGGCTGTCAATCCAAAGATACTGAAACTTCAGCATCCTTGAAATTTTAACAGCGTCTTGGAAGGTCTTGGGAAGTTCGAAGTAATCAATACGTTGTTGATACTTGCTGAAGCGTAGTGAGCTTGACCTGCATGGATGAGGGTTTGCCCCAACGGTGGCTTAGTGCAATGTATCGTCCCCTTTTATTGTCTGTATTGATGAGGACCTTGACAGGGGCTTCGAGGGTAGAAGAATCAAATGATGAGCCGAGATCAAGAATTCGGGTCGGCAACAAGGGATTCTCATCGGATTTTGGACACGTCGTGTGGGATTCAGCACACTCTTTGATACGATCCTGTATCCAGATAGGGTCTTTTGAGACAGCTGGGAACGCACTTTGCCATTCCTCAGGACAAGGCGCGCCTACAAGATTTGATTAGAGACCCGATAGAGAAAGAGCCTGACAAGAACGTACCAAAAGCTCGGTGTATGTGAATAGGGTGCACTTCACCAGTGCTGAGACGACAATAGAGTAAGCCGGGCCTTCCCACCCATCGAAGGCCTGAAAATGTGCGGTACTTTGCAAGAAGGTCTGTGCTCTCCCGAAGGATCAGTCTATCGATTGCGGCCTTAAGTATACCACACGATGCACAGCCATTTTCAGCTGAGCGGCAAAGTTGCCAGAAATGGAAGTGCTTGACGTTGCCACTGAGGGCAGCTGCATTGAAGTCATAACAGCAATTACAGCGAGCCATGTCACAACTAACTCAGAACTGTGCTACCAAGTCCCGGTGAGATATTTGGTATAATGAAATTCCTGGATCTCTTGCGTAAAAAAAAGAAAAACCGCATACAAATTTTTTCTGTTTCTGCAGGACGATACAAAACAAGAGAGTTGGGCGTCAATAGTTGGGTACAGATTCGGCACGGGCATGGAGGGTAGATAATGTCTGCCTGAGGCACACTCAACGAAGAGGATTATGAGTATAGGTAAATCTTCGCACGTAACAGTTAATTATTCCTTATCAACTAGTATAATAGATATGGATTTACATCCCTTACCACTTAGAATGCTAGCAACAATCGGTCTGCTAAAGCCGGTGCAATCCTATGCGAGTTTGAGAGAATTGCTGGTGTACTTGCGGATGTCCTCCGCGGCCGTGACGATTTGTAATCAAAGACGGTATCGGCGCCCAGGGGTTTGAGGTAGTCGAAATTGTGTGGCAATGCAGTGGCTCCTAGACGTCCTTAAATCGTACACACTCGCCATTCTCCACGTGCTCTGCCCATCTGCGTGCCCTGCTAAACCACACACTATCGCATTGCGAGACTACTTCGTAGAAGTCGTTCTCTAGAGGCTTTTCCTCGGCCCATTCCGGACACAATTCCTTCAATCTGGTCTTGTAGACCCTCCGTAGCTGTGTCGTCTCATACTCCATTCTGTGAATCCAGTATAGTTCGTTCTTGCCCTCGTTGTCCAGGTCGTGTGAGTCGTTGCGTTCATCCGCTTCTGTGCCAACCTCCTTCGGTGTCTCGTCCGTGTATGAGTTCCGCTGTGGCTCGTCTTGCCGAGATTGACCGTCAAGGAACTTGGGCACTTCACTCATCATCCAGAGTGGTAGTGCCGAAACGCATTCCCAATCGAGCACAGCTGTGACTTCGCCTTGTTCGTTGACTAGAATATTGTTGAGATTGAGGTCATGGTGATGGAGAGCTGTCGGCTCCAAATTGGTCAAGTCTGGGGAGAAAATCTTGGGAAGAAGGGCTAGGAGGCTCTGTGCTACTGGCAGGATGTCCTCGGCTTCTTCAATGTCGTCTTCATCCTCAGACTTCTCCAGAACCAAGGTTTGATGACGTATGATGATCGTCAACACGGCGCTTAGCCAGTCGTGACTCGAGCGAAATGGTCCCCTTGGGATGTCGTATTCAAGATGATCGCCCATGAAGAACTCATGGGACACTAGGCGCCAAGGTGAAGCCACAGTTTGTGGCGCCTGAGACTCGACTTCAAGGTCTATCTCTGGTGAATCCAATGTTCCTATCCTTTTGAATGCGGGTTCTTGCTTGCCAAGACCTGATAGCTCGAACTGGAAGGCTGCAAATCGCCTTGTAAGCGCGACCTTCTGCTCCATCGACATGGTGCGCCATCGCTTCCGAGCCGATGTGCCCTGCATGTACTCCATCAAGATCCATTCGAAGCCGATCTCATTGTCATTACTATCGTCAAACCCAAAGACCTTAGGGACCGGAACACTGGTGTTTGCGTGCACCCACCTCAAGGTCACGACCTCGGCCCGTGTTTTATGGCGAGGGTAGACGGGCAAGGTGACGCGCATGATGAAAGAGTGTCCGACTGTGCGAATCAGATAGACCTTACTGAAGAGACCTGCGGCGTGAAAGGTGACAATGCAGGGATCCTCGGAGGGTGTCTTCAGCTGCTTGCGGGCTACGCTCTCAATCGCGCTGGTTGAAGGGTTTCGCGTCCAGACCGGAATCAAATACAGCGGTGTCTGCTGCCAGCCTAAACCGTCCTGCGCCGCTCGCGGCATGCTGGAAGAAATCGACTAGAGATGTCAAGTCTGGGTCTTTGTGGGAAGCCGGCCGATGGAGGATCGCAGGGCAAAGCCTACTCACGCTTCAGAAAGTTTTCGAATGTCGTGGTGCACAACAGCCGAGGGAACGGATGATCAAGGCATGTACCTAGGTACTTGTAGAATGAAGCACAGTGCAAGTACGTAATCTGGTGGTGGAAGTTCGTGTGAGAGGATGGTCTACTTTGGGGGCTGCCGGGCAGCGGGGCGGCATCCAGTGGGGTTGCGGCGTTCTCGACAAGATGACAGGGCCCGATGCAGCCCCACTAAGAAGAAGAAAGCTGGTGCGTCATCGCCGGGCCATGAATTCGGGCCAACATGCTAGAGAAGCGCCAACTCATAGCTACAACCACCTTGTGCGAGGCATCATTGAACCTAGGGTATGTATACCCCTCTGTACCAAAAGGATGCATTTCAAAGAAGGCTACCACAACCCTATCTTCGATGGTTGATATATACCCAACCTAGACCATAGGACTAGATCCGCAACATAGTCTGGGCCTACAATATTGCAACGAAAAACCTCAAGCCACAATGAGGCTCCGTGCTGCTGACTTTTCTTCAGAGCTCGTTGGTTCCAGGCAATTGCTCCACCATAGCACTTAGCGGCCCCTTCTTGACCATGATACTCATGATCTCGTAGAGAGCGTCCGCCGCTGCCATGGTCGTGTGCTCTGCATTGGTGTCATAGGCGGGCTGGAAGAGCCAAAGGGATTAGTTGAGAGAAACCTCCAGGTCAAAGCCCTGGCAAAAGATGGATCAGACAGGTACTTACAGCAACCTCGACAATATCAGCGCCAATGAGGTTCAGGCTCTCGAGACCCCGGAGGATGGTGCGGAGCTCACGAGTAGACCAGCCGCCAGTCTCAGGGGTGCCAGTTGCGGGAGCGACTGTGGTTGGTAAGGGTTAATTTCTTTCCCACATCTCTGTACCACATGGGTGGGGAGACCTACAAGCAGGGTCAAGGGTATCGATGTCGAGGGACAGGTAGACCGGGTTCTTGGTACCAACCCTGTCGATGATCTTCTTGATGATGCCATCGGTACCGATGGTGTCGATCTCCCGCGCCTCCACAATCTCAAAGCCGCAGTAGCCGTCGTTGTCGTAGTCACTGGGGCCAGAGAGGGTGGTGCGGATACCAGCGTGGATGTTGGAGTCGTTGCGGAGCAGACCCTCCTGGGCAGCATGGTAGAAGTAGGTGCCGTGGTTGATCGAGGCGACCTCGGAGGGCGAGCCGCCAAAGACCTTGGGCTTCCCTACAAAGACACGACCGGTAAGCATCTGACAGGGAGATGAGGCGGGTTCCACTTACATGTGTCCAAGTGGCTGTCAAAGTGGATGACTGATACCGGTCCGTAGGCACGGTTGATTGACCTCAGCAGGGGCAGTGTGATGGTGTGGTCGCCGCCAAGTGTGATCACACGGGGCAGGGTGCGCTCGTGCTTGGCCGGGCCCCTCTTCCTGGCGTCAGTGGACGGGGCGCGGGAGAGAAGGTTGTAGTGACCCTCCTCGATCTGGCGGAGGGCGTAGGTGTTGTCGTATCTGCGTGAGCGATCAGTGTGAGAATCAGTGTGAGATCCTCCGGTGAGACATGGTATGGGGTGGCAGTTTGGGGCACGCACGAGGTGACTGGCACATCTCCACAGTCGAGCACGGTGGCCCAGCTGTTGAAGGGGTTGGTGGCCAACGGCACATTGTACCCGCCACTGCAAGACTGATCAGCTGCTAAACAGCAAGTGTTGGAATGACCCGAATAACATACTATAGATTCAGTCGTCGAGATCCCTGTCTGATGCCAGAGGGACCGAACCGAGCGCCAGGGCGGTACGAGGTACCAGTATCAAATGGGGCACCTATGTTGCAGTGAGTTCCTGATGCTTGCATTTTATGTGACAAGTGGAAATAGACCATACCCAGGAAGGCAATATCGTATTGTACACCGGGTTCGCTCAAGCAAGCCTTGTATGGCAATCTGCCAAACGTGGTGATACCGGAGAATACAGAGTCGGCCTTATCATGTAAGCAGTTATGGACATCTTAGATGTTGGAATGGTACCACTCGTTACGTACCTGGGTACCACCATCGCCAGGCAAGCGGTTGTACCACAGAGACTGGTGAGGACCAGAAATGCTCTTTTGGGAGTCATGGTCTCCATGAGCAGTGGCATAAGCCGCGAGGCCCAGGGTCAACAAGGTGATTGAGATCATGGTGTGCAGAACTCTATGGTGCGGACTAGATCTGCAGGCGTAACGAAAGGGGAAAGTGTTGGAGATTCAGTTCAAAGGTCAAGCTCTGGCAGGAGGCGCTACTGTGCGATGCAGCCCTTTTAAAGGGGTAACAATATTCCTTGGTGAGAGAGGATAGTAGCACTAGCTACAAGCGAGAAACGTAATGGAGATGTAGCAGCAAGGACGCAGCATGCTATAACAAATCGCGCCTTCGCCTTCGGCCATGGACGTGTTGCGTATGCTACGCAACAGCTGATGACGTTTTGCCATTATCAAACAATACAGTATCTACTCATCACCACCGCGGACTTCCTTGAACATGCTCTTCGATAGTCAATTAGGCATCTCTTACTAAACAGACTTTGTCAGGACACCATGGGAGATAGGACTCAGGATTGAGCTCAAGCTTCCGAGCTCGGCCACAAGATGCCTGGGTGTCATGGCTTGCAGGCCGGCTGTAGCTGCGATGTGATCTCGCCATCCGGATGGTTCCTGGACGACCGTGAACTGATGTGTGGGTGAGGTGGACTGGATGCCGGAGCTAATGCATTATATGTATTTGACCTACCGAAAGCAGACATTGGCGTCGTTTGATAAGCTGGTGCAGATCGGATTTGCCAAGGAGACAAGGATGTCGTCCAAACCTGGGATGGACAGACGTAGCTAGATCTGGGGTTATGCGGGGACAAAGATAAGAAGTCTGTCTTACAAAGATTTTCAACACCATTAGCTAAAGAGCAGAATCACGCAAAAGATAAGGAATTCGCCAACCAGGTTGAGAGTTGACTGATCACTTGCAGCCATTGGATGATCCTTTGCATATGTGCCAGCAAAGCCGCGAAAATGCCAAGGTCGTTCGAAGGCTGACAGGCTCGCTGTCGCAAGGGTCCTACGTTCATCTGCAGGCTCTGTGATGGACGGAAACAAGCGGCTGGTACCGAAGTCTTGAAAACTGAAGTTTCTTGCAGTTGATTCTTTTTTTTATTCTAGCAAGCTGGATTGCAGTCGTAAGCTTAGATACTACGGTATCAGACTGCCAACAGGCCGTCCTCAGGTCCAGTCTCAGTATTCCCGTCTTTGAGTCGTGCGAGTGCCTTGTCGCACTCTAGTTCCCACTTGCTGCAGCCCACAATGATCCATTCTAGCATACCAACCAGGTACAATGCCACGCACTGGCCCATCCACAAACCTTCCAGACCCCAGCCATGGAATGCAAGGTATATGCCGGCGGGTAGTGCCGCCCCGTAATAGCTTACGAGGTTGACAACGGCCCCGATCCACTGCTTACCCATGCCTCGGAGAGCGCCTCCACATGAGCCGTTGAGACCGTCTGCAATCTGGAACAGTGCAACATATGGCATCACTCGTGCTACTGCCTGGACGACTCGCTCATCATCGTTGAAGATCTTGCCGAAGACGTCCTTCGTGCCCATGAGCACGGCGAGCACAAGTGTGCCCAAGATGACCGACAAGATGGCTGCCGCGTGAGCTGCACGCGCTGCATCCTTGGCTCGCCTAGCTCCGAGGAGATTGCCTAGTCGCGCCGAAGCCGCGACACCGAGACCGAAAGGAATGGTGTTGATGACCTGGTCCGAGGTCATAATGACCGACTGCGCCGCGAGTGGGATGGTGCCAAGTCGTCCGGCAGCTAGGGCCACGATCTCAAATGCCCACCACTCGGTACCGACGTGGACAACACCGAGAATGGCGAGCTTCGCAAATGGGCCAACATTCTGCATGGCTCGCCGGAGCTCGAGACCACCCCAGCAGTCACCGCCCTTGATGAAAGCGGCATAAGCGACGAGTAACAGAAATGACACCCAGTAGGAGATTCCAGTCGCTAAAGGAGCACCGTATAGTCCCATATTGAACGTGTAGATGAAGAGATAATTCAGGCCAGCGTTCATCGGGGAAGTGATGAATAGGACATATGTTCCGGGGGTATAAATACCTGTGGTAACAGAGGGTTAGCCAGTGCACCTCTCGTGATAATTGTTGAAAGCTACACACCTTGAGCCTGGAGGTACTTCTTTACTGATTCGAACCAGATGTAGCCCAGCCCACCAGGGATCAAGCATCGGAGGAAGATGCAGCTCTGCACGCAAATGAAGTCTTCTTGGCCGAGCAACCGAAACAAGGGTTCCGAGAACCACCACAGTACTGCGACGACTGCATAGTATCCCGAGAGAATAACAAGGCCTCTCTGTAGTAGCATACCAAGATCGTGCTTGTTCGATGAGCCGGTGAATGATGTTGAAGCTAGGGTGTCGAGTGCAGTTGTTCCCCCAAGAGCGATGAGCCAAGCTGTCGCCATAGCAAACATATAGCTAAATGCTGCTGTTGCTAATGCCTCGGGGCTAAGTCGCCCGACGATGAGCACCGAGATGGTCTGAAGGCTATTCTGCAGCGTGTAGGCCAATATGACCGGGATGGCCGCTCTGGCAAGCAGAGCTATTTCGGAAAGCCATTGTCGTATAGAATTCCCAGAGATTGAATCTGATTCATCGTTGGTGGTCTTTGGAAGGAGTGATGTTGTCTCATCGGGCATATCATCCTCTACCATGCCGGAGGGATATCGGTCATTGGCGAGACGCGATTGTGGTTGCATGTCGTTAAAAAGTCTGCAAGGACGAAAGAATGAACTGGTGGCAACTCTGGCGTGTCTGAAACAGTAAACATGGTCATACGGCAGTTAAGTTTGAACGAAATCTATGAGAAGTAATGTAGTATCTTTGTAAATGGCATTCAAGTTGCATGTGCAAGACCACAGTATCACGCTGTGGCTGACAGGCCGCTCTCGGCGCGCAGCTACATTTTCCAACGCAAGAGACAATGGGCTTACTTGCTCAATGACTACGCAAGATTTGTAAAAGCAAAAAGCTTGTGTCTGGATATCCGATCCGCACTCGTTGTAACACTTCTGTGGTCCCATCAGAACGGCAGCTGTGGGCCATTGCTGCACGGCATGTCGACATTTGCCCAAATGGGGTTAAGTGACAACTACCACAGAACATTGTCTCCAGATCCAGGCTGTCTTTTCTTGTCCACAGTCGCCGGGTCTGGGCTGGAGTGGCATGGGAGGCGTCGTCAGTGCTGAGGACATGAGACGCCGATGCTCCTCACCAATCAGGAGGCGGCGATAGGGCCGGGATGGTCTCGGAGGCGCGGGATCAGTCCCTTGTCTCCACTCATTTCAACGTCGCTCGTTGGAGGGAAGACTTGCGCCTCTGCAGTTTCTTATCTGTCAACTAAGGGTCGGATCAATCGAATTCTATTCGTTGAGGTGTCTAATTCTAAGGGAGAAAAGAGGGAAGGCCGCCAGGGGGGCCGCCGGCCCTTAGGGGTGGCCCTAAAGGGCGGTGTGGTTAGGCAGAGACAGCTCTACATACTAAATTTGCCCTAGGGTTGTCCTTAGTAGACTAGCCCCTTCTGACACACCTCTCTAGATCTCTAGAATCTAGGATTCTAGAAGATCTAAAGCTATTTCTATATTCTAAATAAGAAATTAATAATTTTACTTAATATTAAAGATTAATTAGTTACTTCTGATCTTTTTAACTATATATTAGATATTAATATAGATATATACTAGATAGAAGATTCTATAGAGATTATCTCTTCTTACTATTAATTCTTATGTCTTTCTTATATATTCTAATATATCTTATATAACTTTAAATAATTTCTATTCTTTTTAATAATTAATCTAATAGTTTAATAGTTATAATATCTATCTTTTAAGATAGAAGACTTAGATTTAAATTCTAATTAAATCTACTTAGTTTATAAAAATATTAGCTTATTATATCTTTATAAACTTAGATTAAGTCTTAGCTAGGATGTTTCTTAGGTTTATTAGTTTCTTATTTAGATTAGCTAGACTAGAAGATTCTATAGGTTTAATCTCTATAAAGGATATTAATCTTTTTATCCTTCTCTTAAATAATAATAGAAAGAGATATATAGGAAATAATAATATAATACTTTCTATAAATAGTTTTAATAGTTTAATAATAAAATATTTATCTTCTTTAGTAGAAGGTTTAGATTTAACTTCTAATTAGATTCTTTAATAAAGTTCTTAATATCTTTAGGTTTAAGAAGTTTATTATTTTTATTTAGTATAACTAAAGACTACTAGTCTTTTTATTAGTTTTAATTATTCTTTAAGATAATAATAAGATAGAAGTAAAGATCTAACTACTTAATAAACTTCTAATACTTATTAATTAGAAGGATCTTAATTAGCCTATTAGTTAGTATCTAATTAATAGCTAGATATTTTATCTCTACTATCTTCTTTTAGACCTCTTACTAGACCTAATAATAATAGATATTAATATATCTTAAAGCTATCTTAAGTTATAGATTCTTACTTTTAACTAGATAAATAATTTAATAATTATTATAATAGATAATAAACTAGCCTAGTAATTATAGTATTATTTTCTTAAAGAATTATATAATAATAATAGTCTCTTAAAAAGAGCTTATAAGAGTAAGTAACTCTACTTTAATAGATAAAATAATAATAATATTTTACTTAACTACTTTTTAATTAATAATACTTTTAAATAATATTATAAGATATCTCTAAGAGGACTTCTAGTTCTTTAGATTATCTCTAAATAAAGTATTAATATAGACTTTAAATAAGAGATCTAGATTATTTCTATTAAATAGAATATCTAGCTTCTTTATTCTTAGGAGGTAGTAGATAACTCTATCTATCTTCTTTATTACTTTAGATAGAGGGTTTATAAGAAAGTAGGTAAGACTGATAATTACTTTAATAATATCTAGCCTTATAGTAATATTAAGATAGATTAAAGATTCTATCTTTTATTAATAGATATAAATCTCTAATAAGATTACTTACTTATCTAGCTTTATAATCTTCTTAATTAATATAGAGGTAGCTAGCCCTCTAACTATATTATTAAGCTTATATCTAATAATAAGATTAGTAATCTTATCTTCTTATAAGATCTAGATCTAGCTCTAATTAACACTTTAAATAATTCTTATTTCTAAGAACTACTTAATATTCTCTAGATCTCTTATTTTAAATCAGTAGGTTAAGACCTCTTTAAAGACCTCTTCTTTAGCTTTATCCTTCTTATAATAAAGATAGATAATATTATTAATATAGAAGAATATTAGAATAGAGTTATTATAGAAGAGGTATAGCTCTTTAGTTAATTAGATAAATTCTATTTTAATAAGAACTATTAAGAGAAGCTTCTACTATAATAATAGTAATATCTATAGGCTGTATAGTGCTCTAATTAAATAAGTAATCTTATTAGTCTATTTAAAGTATAGTAGAAGTTCTATAAATACCTTCTTATTAAGATAGGTATTAGTAAAGATATTAATTATATCTAACTACTTTATCTTAAGCCTAAATCTTATAATAATAGCTATAAGGATTTAAAAAGATCTTTCTACTAATATAATAATATAGATATTCTAATTATTTAGTAGCTATTAGTCTTTTTAAATATAGATCTTAGCCTTAAATCTCTTAATATACCCTTTATTATTAAACTTATAGATAAATACCTACTTTAATAATATAACTATCTAGCTCTTAGCTTTATAATAGTTTACTATCTTTAATATTCTATTATCTTAGATATTCTTAATCTTCTTCTATATAGCCTTAAGCTAATATTAGCTATAAAGGTTATTAATAGCCTTTTTAGTATTTCTTAGCTTTAATAATAGGTTATTTTAATATAGTTAAAGTAGCTATTAAGGCTCTTATTTAATAGGGATTACTTTAGCTTAAAAGTTAGTATAGACTATATTAATACTATAATAATTCTTTAGAATTATCCTATTAACTACTTATTATTATCTTTTAAAAAGCTTCTCTTACTCTCTTAACTACTATATATAGTCTATTAGCTTATGATTTTAAGCTAATTATCTAATTAGTATAGAACTTAAGAAATCTTTCTAAAAATTTTCTAGTATTTTTAAAATATTATTCTCTCCTTCTAATAAAGTTTCTAGAGTTATTAGATTAGAGGTTATAGATTTAAAGCTCTCTATAGGTTCTATTATAACTAGTTCTTAGACTAGCTCTTTACTTTAGTAAGAAGTTAGGTAGATAATAATAATCTCTTTAAGCCTCTCTTATATTAGGCCAGCCTTTTTAATTACTTTAGCCTGTTAGAACTAATCTCTCTCTTTAGTAGCTTTAAATAGTCTATTTATTAAATTAGAGAGGCTAGTAATCTTATTATTAGTCTCTTTAGACTCTAGCTCTCTCTCTACTAATTTTAGTAACTTATAGACCTCTATTAGTAGTATGAATATAGCTAATCTCTCTCTAGATCTATTATAATTCTTCTTTTTAAAGAAGGACTCTTCTTTAAAGGTTATATCTCTTAATAGGATAACCTTCCTCTTTTTAGAGATTTAGATCTACTAAATATTTATATCTTTATAGCTAATAAGATATCTAATCTTAGTATAAGATTAATATTTAGCCTTAATTAATATTATAATATTATAGTATTTATCTTTAAGATAATATACCTTTAAACTATACTCTTTAATATAGCTAAGGTCTAGCTAGTTTAAGCTATTTAGGATCTAGTACCTATTCTTCTAATACTACTATCTAATAATCTCTTCTAGTAACTTCTAGCTATTAGCTTAATAAGAGGATCTATTATAAAGATAGATTGTTACTTTATAGGTCTTACTAGCTAGATTAGTTAATAGATTAGTATTAAACAGTATTATATTAGCCTTTATCTATATCACTTTCTTAGATTACTTAACATAGCTATTAGATTAATATATATATATTAGTAATAGTTCCTATATAATTTCTTTATATTGTTTTTACTTCTTAATAATATTAATATTAAGAGCTAGTTTATTATTACTATAATCTTATTAGACCTAGAGATCCTATTATCAGTCTACTAGGCTATAGTAGTTATAAAGAGTTTTAAGAAGAGTATACTTCTTCTTATCTAATAGAGGGTATATAACTTTTAAGTCTAAAAATTTATCTTTAATAATTAGAGCTACTATTAAATTATTAAGATAGTTTAATATTATAAAGAGGTCTAAATAGATTTAACTAAATAGATATTCTACTAGTTAACTACTTAGCCTTCTTAAGACTTATTACTTTATCTTAGTTTTAATATATACTTAATAAGACTAATTAGACTTACTAGTAATTATAACTTCTCTAGTATTAGTAGATAAGTAGCCTAGAGCTTTATTATTAAGATGCTCTATTCTTTTATACTAGGTATTATATCTTATCTTACTTTTTAGGTTAGGCTTTTATAATAAGGCTATATTAATAGCTTTATCTAATTACTATTTATTAGCCTATTCTTAACTTTAATAGAAGTTAATTATAATATAGCTCTTAATTTATTTAGTTAAAAAGACTACTAGTCCTAATATAGAACCCTTAATAATATTATAGTTATTATTATCCTATCTATATCCTATCTCTCTTATTACTCTATAGAAGACTAGATTAATATAGAAGCCTTTAGTAATAATAATATTCTTTAACTTAAAGAGGGCTAGGCTAGTAGAGGTATTAACCTCTATTATTACCTCTTT